ATTTGTTGCATCCCGACTCCAACGACACCTTCTTTTTGTAGAGACTGAAAGTGTGTTACAGTGCCGTCTATGTCTACATTCAATTCTGTTCTGTATCGTTTTGATGGCTGATCGTTTCCATTAACCAACACTGCCTTCCATAGTATTGACAAATCCATATCATCTTGTTTTGAGTGCTCGTCAGCTACGTCCGTTTGGGTAGATTTGGTATCGGATTCTAGTTGTTTTTCCATGGTTACATTCAAATTGTTGAGCTGAGTATTGGCTGCATCCTCCGAAGAGGCGATTTCGTTCGTTGGAAGATTTTGGTCATTTTGGGTTGTTGACTGTTCTTTTTCTGTGTTTATTTTATCTTCTGAAATTTCTAAATTTTCTTGATCGGTCCTCGGTTTATTATTCCAGAGTAGAAATGCCAAGGCCGTAGCTACCACGGCGAGTGTAATTTCGAGAAATAGTGAATAAGATGGCTCGTTTTCTGCCATTCCGATTACGGTTATGACTATGAAATAATAGTTTTCTGTTTAATTTGTAAATGGAAGTAAATAATTAGGAAAATATATAGATCACATTTATTACATAATAAAAGTATAATCAATGGGCATACATATAATATTTTTTTAGTGAAAATGAAAAGCAAACAATTCCTAACATTAGCCGTTGTAGAAAAGCTGGTAGCCAGAGCACAAATTTGCATATTTGCGTAAATTTGGTCAGATTACGTCACGTTTGTCGGCTACTTGGCAAAATTCAGCTCAGTCAGGTACTTTTCATAACTTTCGTTCCTCATATAGTTCGTTCATTTTTCGTGAAACGATTCATAAAGGGTGAAGTCTAGTTTGATATTTTTACGTGGAAGCTCGATCTGACATTATGGTATCTTGCCAATAAGAAAGTGTTATTCACCGATTTAATTGCTGTCTCAGTTCAACACCAAGTCGAAGACTCGAAAACTCCTTTACTAGGATGCTTCATTGCGAATAAAAGTTTGAATGTGAGGAAAAATTATAAATCGTGTAACGTGGTTGGTTGGTTCATGCATTTGGAACGATTACCTGGATAGGTATTCGCACGTAGACTGGTAACATGGTTATCATACTCCGTTGGATAAACAGAACAACAGTAATAGTATACGGTCTCTAAACACCATAACAAAATCAGACGCAGCCAGTAATTCAGCGAGAAACTTGCTCTTTGAATAACGGCATAATACCGAAATTCCACGAAAAAATATCGAGCCTTCCAATCTTTTATTATCGAATGTAAAGTAAACACTGAAGCTAGCTGTCGTAAAAGAATACGAAATATGACTAAAACGACCGTACCAATAATGCAACACATTCTTCACACCCCCTAATGTTAAAAATTGTTCGTTCGTGCCATTTTCTCGCTGAGGGTGTGTACATTTGATGCTATTAGGTACAAAAATACATTCGTTTAAATATTCTTGTCGCAAACTGCATTCCCCAAAATAGGCAAAATTTTATTCTCGAAAACATACTACATTCTGCAAAGAATCTATACTCTATAATAAGTAGTTCGTAGTACAGTTAACTGATGATCAACATTGATGGTATAACGTAATATTACAGACTAAAGAGTATAAATTATTCATAATTTGGAAACCTTTATTCTTAGTTGATAATTACATTGTCGTTGCGTGACTTTTCTACGTTATTATAAGAGCATTTAAAAAGTTCATATATTGACACCTAAATTATCTGGAACGATGGATGAAAAGAGTTCAAAAAGTTTGATTAAATTATTAAGTTCCATTTATTTTCGGACATATCATAATGGCATAGACATCGGATATCAGTCACACAGGCCACAGCATAACAATTTGCTACACCTATTTTCGAGATAGACTACCGGTACCTGTCCTACCATAATCAAACTGGTCCAAAATTTGCAATCGCATTTTGTCTCCGCAAAACTAATCAGCCTATTAAGTCAATACTACCATCTCTGCTCTTTGATAACCAGCAGTGTGAAAGCAACCAGCAGTGAAAGTAGTGCTTACGTCGCGATTCACCAAACGCAATTCTGTGTGAAACCGATGTGACCGGGTTTATCCGAGCGAATCCAACGAGTGATCATGTCGCAGGAATAACCTTGGTTGAACTGCAGAATTTAGGTCGCTGCAATATTGATGAAACGGACAGACTTGGCATTTCGTTTCTCAACGCTGCTGACGAGAAAGTCATAGAGAAATCTAATATATGGTATAGCAATTTAAGCGACGTGCATACCTAGCGATTTTGAATAATAGCTAATAAGTGATAACTCGCCTCAAAGTCTGAATATCTCCCCTGAATAAATCAACTAATTGAACATAGGACTGGTATTTGATAGAAGATAAAAAGCTATTCTAAATTAGAAATTTGAATCCGCGAAATGCCTCTGGGATATAAACAGCAGTTAAAAATATTACCTATTAAAACCAAGCATGTCAATTTTGTTGTTAGAAAGCCTCAACTGAAATACATCGTACATTTCCAGGTTGGCGAATATTTCACTAGTTATGAAAAAATATAGTACAGAACTCAGAAATAACCTTCCACAGTATACTATTCAATTAAGAACAGAGCTTGCTATTATATATTCAAATGTACCAAACTGTGACTATAACGCAGCGTAGTATGACGTCAACCTTTCGACTTTGACGACAAGCAGCCAGAGATGAACGTCAAATATGTCCTTTCACGAATTCGAGAAAGGTCTTCAAATTTGTATTCTGTATCGTCGTATATGAGTTATTCAGCACATTTGATTCACTTATCTCCAAAAAAATCTCATTTGGTTTATACGCTTTGTCTAAAAGAAATTAAGATAGTAAAATAGTAATATCTCAACTTTATTTAACGTTTCTGTCTACCAATATATACAGCTAAACACTTTGACTGTCCGATCGCACTGATTGCGAAATCACTCTGTCTCTTTATCGATGTTATGCAATAAATTTATACACGAATATATGTAAACATTTCATTAGTATCGAATTGACTGTAAACCTGCTGGCTGCTGCTATGTTGAAAAATCTATAATTTACTCAGCATCCCACTCGATATAAAAGGGAACGTGCATGTTCCTCTGTTCCTTTTTGTTTTGCACCATAAATGTATTTATCCAGTGGGTTAAACAAGAATGTTTTATTTATTCCAAAATTGTCAGAGCGAAATGGTCATATCAATACATTTAAATTATATCATACTGCCTCTGTACACTGTAAAGATTGCTTGCAATAAGAATAACATGACACTTTGTCTTACCTAACAAAAGTGAACACTGCGCTTGTCTGTAATAACTGCAACAGGAAGTGACGTGAAACAAAACGTTTGGTATTGTCATTTATTGAGTGCATGAGAATGTCGCACGTTGTCATTATTTCGGTTTTGGCATGATATATTTTATTACATAAAACTTTTAAGGAAATTGTGTTGAAGATAATAATAATGATTGCAAATGAATATATGGATATGTCATCCGTGCTTTGATAGGGCATATAAAAAATGATTTTTGTGTGTACAATTGATGGATATGATATCAGAAAATGAGCCAAAATCATGCACTCAATATTATCCTTCAGATTTAATTACGTTTATAATTTATGTTAAGTCCAATCGTCAATGTATTAATTTGAATACAATAGCTTCAACCTTTTGAAATAAATAACGTTCTCTTCTGTCACTAGGTGCGGTAATGTGATACTGAATGTAAAGGTATATCGAAATACAATATTCATTTCAAAATGTAAAGTATAATGAAACTGATCAAGCAAATTTAAAGCGATTAGTTTTTCCTCGGCCGTGCAAAATGTTATTGAACAAAGCAATTCGTTCAGTTGTTCCAGAATTATATAGGCCTACACAGTGTTTGCAGTATTCTAAATCGGCTTCATTTATATATTAATTCTGGTGATCTCTCAATAAATCCTAATTGGATACCAAAATGTGGTTCAAATTTTCATCAATCAAAGACTGAAGAAGTTGTCAGAAGTTTACTACATTCAATTATCTACTTCAATTCGCTGTTTTTGTTAAAGTTCTTTTAAAGTACTGCCCGATTCTAAATCGCGTTTTTCTGTGTTTGATTCATTTATTCTTCGGTGGGCGGGCACGTACATTGAACGCTTTTTAACTTCATTTTGAGTTATGCCCGTCTCCCAGATATCTCTGCACTTTGTTTTGTACGTTTACGTTTTGTATTGTTTATGTCAGAGAACCTAGATAAATGATTGATTGATTGTTGACGAGAAAGGAAATGAAGAAGAACAACATAACTAGGGCTGAGCATTTCGAATCAAATCGAATAGTGAGTTATTCGAATCTGCTCAGACGAAAATTTCGAATCGCCGCCATCTCTATTATGCTATAAGTTTACTCGGAAGTAGGTAATTAATTTTTTGTCCAAATTTTAAATGTTAATTTTTTTCTTGATAAGATTTAATGTACATTGATGGAATTTAAGAACCCCGAATAAATCACGGTAAACCAAATATGTTACGGATTAGCAAACAATGTTAAACACTATTCTCAAGAACTGCATGGATGTTTGACATCAAGTTCTTTCGTTATACAGTACTGTGTTTGTGATAATTCTGTGTTTTATACTTAATGCGACCAAGACAAGTGTAGACTTAGATCGCTCATGCGTGAAAACAAAACAAGCAAATCCTCTCGAGTTGCCGACGATTAGAAGATATTTTGTTCCATCGCAGCGTTTGGCAATGCCAATCTGTAGCTAGTATATAATATGTAAACCGGTATAGTGTTTTATCCCATTACTAGTACAGAAATGTGACTGCCTATCGGTATAATTTCCTTGTAGAGTTAGTAGATATGTGAGGTGTTGGCACAAGATAGATGAGCATACTATCGCATCTCACCGTTTTGTGTATGTACCTTAATTAAAGTACCTTTGATTCAAAATTTTAGGTTAGAATTTACTCTGTATCCCTACCGCACACCTACTGTGATTGGTTACTTGGGGGAAACACTACCATGGAATCAAGCAATTTTATTGACTTATATTCAGGGGAAAGTTTAGCTGAAAAATATTTGAAATATCGACCTTCCTACCCTAAACACATAGCCGAAACTATTATCGACCAACTCAAAAAATCGGGCGCAAGACAGTCTGAAAATGGAAAATTTTTGCGCATGCTAGATGTTGGTTGTGGCAGTGGGCAAGCCACTTTCGGATTTTCTCCTTACTTTGATTCCATCCTTGCGCTGGATATCAGCGCCGATCAAATCAAAATGGGTAAAAAAGACAATAAATGCGACAACGTGTCATTTCAGCAAATGTTTGACAAGTATCTACCAGTCGAAGACGAATCAGTGGATTTCATAAACTGTGCTTCAGCAGCACATTTGTTTGACATCAAGTACTTTACTGAGGAATGTCAGCGCGTACTGAAACCGAATGGTTGTGTCGCGATTTACTTTCGCAGTATAAAATCAATAATGACAATTCCTGTAAAGCCTGCTCCAAACCAAGAAGAACTTAATTTGAAACTTCACGGATTAAATTTTCAGTTTCTCCGAAGTGTTGGAATGCATCCCAGTATGGAAATTTGCGAAAAGAAATATGTACCTATCTTCGAGCAGATCCCAGCATCGTCGAAGGTCTGGCTCCCTGGTTTGGAATTTTTCGTTGAATGGACACTGAAAGAATACCGTCACTTTCGAACTACCAATGGCGAGTACCATAAGTTCATGGAAACAAACCCTCCAAATGATCCATTAAATGAAGCAATGAATAATATAAAACAATTGCTTAATGTTGAAGGACAAAGTGAAGAACAAATCAAGACTAGAGTCACTTGGGATGTCCCTACTATTATCTTTAAAAAGGAATGAATCTGTTGGGATTTTATTAGTAATGTTTGATAGTTTATTCGTTCGATTAAAATGCATTTTGAAATGTAGTTCGTTACTAAAATGTGCCGTATTTTGAAAATTGACAACATCGAGACCGCGAATTAAATGCACGTACGTCATGCACCCTCAATATTTCTAAATGGTTGAAAAGTTGAAAATATTTTATTTTTCTTCAATTGATTTTTGCCAAATAGTTGTATATCACAACATTCGTATTTACAATAATCACTAACATTAGTTTGAAACATTTCTGAAGATGTTAAAGATATATATGTTTATGTAAAATACAAGCAACCGGAGCAAATTAATGAATTCTGTTTTATCTTGGGTGGTTGTGATTCATGTGTGCATGAAAACAGGGATTCGGATACATATGAATCTTTTCATGAGTTCAAAAGAGTATGGGAAGCTGTCAAACATATTTTCACCAATTCAGCCAAAGACAGATTAAGCTGTTCACTGTTCTACCTCGGCCATCGCTGTATATTAAGTTTCAAATTACCTACTACTACCCCAAGTCGAACTGATATAAATGGCGGGAAACATGTGATTTCATTTAAGATATTTATATATCTCCAAATTCAATATAAAAACCAGCGACTCTCAAAGTTCGTGTATTCTTAGAAACCATACCAAGCCCGGCGGTCTAATAAGCTTTTGCGGGGCCCCATGCAAAACGGATTCGCGGATTCTGTATGGGTAAACGGGTCCTCTGCGAACAGGTGGCCTAAGGTCGGTTTTCAATCATGCTTTATACAGCAGTGTACTAAAAGGTCAGAAACATATTTGAAATAACACACAAAACAAAAATGAAAAAGTAATAACGGGTCAAACACTATTTCAACAAACTCATTGGAAGCATTGCATGAATTTTCTGAGTTAATGAGTCATATACATGATTGTTACGTCACAAGTGAATCATAAAACAAATGATTGATTAATCTGTGTATTGAAAGCACAATTGTTTTATCGGACAACGCTACAAAATTAAATGGTATGGTAAATGGCCTATATTCAAATTTGCATTTCATATTTGTATTTCAGTTCTTCATCTATTGAAAGAGGTCAAGGTTGAATCATCAACCTTTTGCATTAAAAACATGAAAAATCAAAGACGACAAGCCCATAAGATTCGAGGACTTGTCAGTTCGACTATGGGTGCGGCTGTTATTTATTGAATATTCGATATAATATGTTAATATACGTGAAAATGCTTGAGATACAATAGAAAATATCAAGTAGTAAAGAAGTGTACTGTGACAACCGAGTTTCAAATACCGAACCGTTATTTTAATTTCTTGCTTCATTTTGTATCAGTCTTAGTTATATTATTATATCAATAGTTTTACATTAATATACAAGTCGGGCGATTTCTTTGTTTTAATCACCATATTGGTTTTTATCGCGATCGACGTCAGGAATGGGTTCTTCCCTATTGTGGCAGAAGCCATTTTCATTCCATTCATTATGCTCTTCTGCTTCTTCGATATATTCGTTCCCGGTGCCTCCGAGGACATCATCAATGACTTTTGCGCTACAGTAATGCATTCTGCAATCGAACTTAGTCCCGGCATTCGAACAAATTTCGTATTTTATATTCTCATCATCGTCATAATCAAATTCAGCGTCTTCATCGAATCGGCAAAGATAATTATCTTCTTCAATTCCAAAATCGGTTACGATTGTAAATTCAAGTTGACATTCTTCTCTGAAAACTTTCCTACGTTGTTTTATATTCTTTTGACTACCTTTTCGACGATAAATCGGACTTCGTTTTTCGCGAGACTTGTCCAACTTATCATAAAAAATTTCAACATAATCACTATATTTGCATTTTTCAGAATTCCCTTCACACTTGTCGCTTCCTGTGTCTTTAAGGCATTTTTGTCCAAACATGCACACTAGCTCCTTCTCCCTCCTTAACTTACGAATTTGTCGCGATGTAACATTTTGGTTGTTGACTTTGCCAGAGCAGTAATAAATAAGCATAACAGTTGTAGAAAAAATTATTTATGAACAACCTTTTATAGATGAAACAAAATATATATATATATATAAGTTTAGAAATTTTGTAATAAGTCAACATCGCAACCTATTATGTCTTTTTATCTGGGTTACAAATAAAATCATGCGATATCTTCTAGTGAAATAGAAAATATGATAAAATGAACCGATAACCCAAGCAAACTTGGTCTGACCCGACCCGACTCGGACGTGATCTCGTAAGGTGTTCCTTACTACGCGTCCACACATTTGAATGAAACTATAAAATGATGAGGCGTATGACAGGTTTAAAGAAACGAGGAAATAAGATGATGAATTCCATTTCAAACAATGTAAAAGTAATTAGATTTGTTTTTACGTCTGGCTCATGTTCGTATCAAGAATGGTCCGCTATCTGAAAGCATGATTACGTCATACATCTCGGGTTGTCACATTAAAATTGAATATTCAAATGAATAGTGGTGTGATTGTGAGTAGGCGTATCATATATATCACAAGATTATTTAACATGACGTGGATCTATCAATCGTTTTGCTAAATTCTTTTTGTTTGATTGTTGTTGAACGAGCAGATTTCCAATCATAGTCATGGTGGACAAATGGCGATATGCATCTTGACTATTCTATCTAGTTGAAGAGCCCTGCTGCGCACTAACACAAATGTATGTCGGTAAAGTTTCGACTCGCCAAAGTCACACTTCCTCACACAAGCAGTTTGCAACGATGCGTGACGTTCGTAAACGTCTATTGAAACAACTTGTGTTTGTTGGGTCATTTACGTTTGTTGATATTGGACACGAAATGGACTTGTGAATCTATTTGCTAAATTGTTGTTGTTAATACTCTTGTTGTGAAGAAATCCCTTTCTTTTCAACTACCGGACCTATCGATTTTAAATTTCCAGTGTTTCAAGATTGTTATTGTTTCTCGAAGGCTATTATCTTGAAAAATTTCTGTGGGCTCTGTAGGATTCGTTTGTCACTCTAAAGTTTTGTGTAATAACATCATGAAAATAAAAAAAACTCGCACCGTGTGGCGATTCCGCGATCGCACTTCAGAAATATGGTGGTTTGCAGAATCGGTTTCATATGATAAGAAAGACTACCGGTACTGTAACATATTTGATACTACTTCGTTTTAACTTTCGTGCCCATATATTCGAGCATTGCAATATTCTTCATTCTACATTTTTCGATATTAAAAATAGCCCTATGTTACCCTGCATTATGATGTCAAATCGTGTTCATGGTTATTATTTATTTCAAATAGGCAATGGCAAATGAGGAACTAATAGGGATAATACAGCACAAAACAAAATTTATATTACATTACATCCAAGTATATACAATAGCGCGAATTTTCGAACAGTGTACATGGTGTTGCCGGCCTTTCTCCAATCGAGGCTTGAACATTTTGGTGGTTCTTTGCTCGACATCTACTTGACCATGAACAAACACATGGAGATTTAGTTGGTTTGTACGATGTTGTCATTGATTGGTGAAGAATATCCTTCATCTGAATATGGTTTGTAAAGAAATTCTGTTGAGTTTTCGTCCGAACATTCGTCGATTTGATGTGGGGCGATATTCTGCACATAGGGTGTATTCTCGATAGTTTGCCATTGAGTTTCGCCTGGATGTTGTTGCTGCTGGTATTGATGTTGCTGATCTATCGACTGAGCAGGTAGTTCGCCATATGCAGTAGAGTAAATTTGCTGGCTCGTTGAAGACGCAAGATTCATATGCTGGCTGTACTGTTGCACATGCCCATTTGAGTAGTCTTCTTCCGTTATATTAGTTGTAGGTAAGTATTGCTGTGCTTGGACTGGATATTGTGGGACATGCGAAGCATAGTCGGAATATCTGTAGTTGTTTGTAGAATAATAACCAGTATTGTGGGGTAGAGAAGCCGAAGCGTAAGTCGATGTCACCAAATCATCGGAGACATATGTTGACGGTAATGAATCTGTGCAATAGGGTAGGGCGGAATATTGGCTAGGATCAGCTGATGGAATATTGGAAACAACGTTTTGTACGTGTGGCACACTTTGTGGGTAATCTGGTCTAAATCTCTTTGAAACAGAATAGTCCGGTATTTGATATTGTTCTTGTTGGTATTGGGCTCTTGCTGATTTACTTCCTCTTGCTCCGTCTTCGCGAAAGCCTTTTGCGAATGGATTATTTGCAATCTTCAGTTTTGTTAGCTGATAGAAAAGAATTGATATATTAATTATCAGGAAATTAACAATAAGAGCGTTCGAGTCAATTTTTTAAATTGGAATTATGAACACTTACCTCTGTGTTCTGGTATGCTGTAACGGTAATGAATGATGTCACTGGCAGTGGAAAGGTTTGCATTGTTTCGAGATTTGATGGATCCTCAGATTCAATAATGTGTATACGAACGTGGTATTTGTGCATTGAATGCATGATCAACTGAAATTAAAAAAAATAAAATGTCAATTGTATACAATTTAACGTTACGAACCAATGAACAGGACAAAAATGATGTAGTTTTTTTGGGGGTTGCCATTGTATAACTCACAAACAAATCTATGCTCATAGACAGATGGTAGCTAAGTTTGTGCATTCAATTCAATTTGAAATAACTTACTTTTCCGTTAACGTAATTTGCAGCCGCGTTAGAGTTTGACAATTTTGCTTTGTGGAAAGATACGAGCCCTTTCATTAACTTCGCTCCAGTAGCTGGTGAATCTTGGTGAACAAAGTATCGAGGAGCAAATTCAACTTCTCCTGGACCAGCAGCAGTCCATTCTCCATTTTGAAATCTGTATCGATAAGAGTCATCTCTGGCAACGCTCATCAAAACACAATACTTTGATGCTGGCTTGAGTCCTGTTAAGCGTATTCGACATCCAGGGAACATTCTCCTGTGAAAATCAAAATAATAAATAAATAAATTTTCTTACTTAAATTTAAATTGATTGAATGTAAAATAATGAATATATATAAAAAGTACAAGTGAATAATATCAATACCTTCCAGTTTTGGTCAAAATCATTTCAGTACCGACATTGTGAAATTGTTCCCACAGTTCGTGTTGATCTAGCGAGACGTTGATGGAAGAACTGATGGAACTGGATACTAGTTGTGGAATAGTTGTAGAAGTGGTGGATGATTGTGCTGAGTATGGATGGAGCCGTTCTAAAATTTTAAAAATAATTGTTTAGAATACCCATTCATTTATTATGTATACAAACATTATTGTAACAAAATTATTTAGTTACAACAATGAAACTTACCTGTGTTCAAATGACCCCAATATCTCTGTTCGTATTCAGTATTGTTTTGTTGCCCCTGTACATCGCAGGGCTGGTATTCATAAGCTCCATATTGATTGGAATATAAATCCGTTAAAACTGCTTTATGGCTCAACAAATTCATGATTGAATATATATTTTTAGTTAAGCTTTTTCTCGTACTTGATTGCTTGATGGTGGATGCTTTGCAACTGATGTCTTCCTCGAGATTTTCGGGAGATTTATACCTTATGATATTCGTACTCACTGAGATATTTTTTTTGTAGACGACTATAAAAATTGCATCTGCTTGTGCTTTGGAGATATTGATGCCGCCGTCAACCTACATTTTCGCAGTTACCTTCGCAGGAAAGCACAGAACTTATCTCATTTCTCACCTAATGCTCTTGATCGGTTGCAATCTTCTCAGTGGGTTCCTGAGCAGTAAACTTAAGTTACGATATGGTATCATGCCGTTAAGATAAGCCTTTGATTTTCCGACAAGAACAGTCGAGTCGTATATTCTGATAACAAAGTGACAAAATGATAACGACAAGTTATGGTAAGCCTTCATTAAAACGGGAGATAAGAAATTCGATATTAAGATAATAAAAATGTTTAATATACGCTAATGAACAGATAAGAAAGTAAACCTAAACAATCCAAAATGGCGTATATTATTAAATTCATGATCTTTTGTATGTTCAATGATACAACCCAAAACTTTAATTTTTTAAATTCGAATTTTCAACAAACCCAGGAAAAAGGCTGCAAACTTTTGTCTCTACTATACTGTAATTTTCCACCTTACAAATACGTTTTTAAGTTGAATATATAATTTTTACATTCTCCTGAGAACGATTACCGTAAAACAAATAACTAGATTATATGGAACTGGTATTGACTTTACAATAGCGATACTGTCCAGTTGTTCTCAGATGATAGAATGAAAATGAAATAATATTTTATGAACACATGAATTAGGTTTTCTTTTCTACCCAATTTCACGCGTGTTGTTATGTATGTTTCCCGTTTAAATACAATAAATTTACGATTTACGACGATTTCACGCATTTCAATGAATGGTTCAATACAAATGTCATGGCACACTTCACACTTCCTAACAACAGGTAGATGACTGTTTGGATTTGCAATAAATATTCATTGTAATTATCCGAAGCGAACTATCTCCTGTTTTAGGAATGTTTCTTCAATATATTGCTCGTTTTTCATCAAAGCAATTTCATCATATTTTTGAATTACAAAATTTTACTTCCATTATGAACAATAGTTTTAAGTAATGTTCATCGCTGACGAAGCCAGATACTTCTAAAATATTTCGATTCACCATACACTTATTGTATTGCAAATGTACCTATGTTGGTACAACCCGAAATTATTTTTCAAATCGCTCATACAATAGTCAAACATCTTTTTCTATCAATGAAATCCCACAGTCAAGGCAAAACATTATCATGAAAACAAAGTATTGTCAATGTTAGATTTAAAAGTATTCTTCAATGCACCAAACAACCGTGAATATTGGGAACTTCCAAAAGAATATTCAGTTTAATACAGTAAAGTTCAATCCACACTGTACGAGTATTTGGCGCATAAACTAACAACAAAACTAGCACTCAAATATTATTAGGTGCACATGCTTTTCCTTCCACGTCCACGATGTTATATTACAATCAATAGTTTAAAGCAGTAGCATTTTAACGTAGAATAAGTACAAAATATACTTTCTTTTAATTTCCACCACCATACAATAAGTTCATCAAATAATATATATAATATAAATTCACCGGAAAAAATATAGTAAAGAATTTGATGAAAGTAAGACAGTAACAAGTAATAAATACTAAATGATGCAAATACAGAAATTACTTTTGACTGAGAGATATAGTATGGAAATGTACTGCCTGTTTTGGTGACATAGAATGAAAAACACAATTGTAAAGTTAATAATAATATAAATTCTCCCAAAAAATATTCACTTCAGAAGTGCGAGCAAAAGTAAATATTATATTATATAATTATATGTAATTTCACTCTGTTCTATAACAAATAAGGGTATTGTTCATCGAAACAATGAACATCGTATATTGATAACATCCGCAAAGCCCAACATATGCGGTGATTACATATTGTTATCATCGGTGTAAAGACAACTGTCGGGAACTTCAGGAGAACGCGAAGGCGATAACAAAATTGTTTTCATTTCCGTTATCCCCGCTAATTACCGTTAAACAACGTTGATCAATTAATATTCTGATAGTGTAAAACATTCTCTCAATTAGTCAGTAATAACTGTTTGAAAAGAATAAATTAATAACCGTGTAATAAATATTATATTTCCGTTATGATTTTAATGTAGCAATTTTGTAAACTCGTTTTTGGAAATTGAATACATAAACTTTTAAGGTGAAATTTACGTTTTTTTTTAAATGTATTCTGAAAGACCCATATTTATTTTATCTCTGATTTTTACAAACTATGGAATTATTAATATCTCACATGTTAGGCTAGGATTATTTTGAACAATCTGCAGAAAGAAACACCCAATTTACATCCTGAGTAACATTATACCAATTTAATTTACAGAGTGTTGTTGAAAGTTGGGGCACTGGTGATGTACATTTGAAGTTAGTGTTGAAAGAAGTAGAATTAACAAAACAGACGCATACTTGAGTTATAACTCAAATATGTCATGTGTTTTTGCTATTTTGCAAGAATTGTACTATATCAACTTATATATTATTGCCTATTCTTAATTTCTAAATCTACAAAAAATAATGTTTCCTCATCAACTAATAAAAAAATTAAAATTAAGTATAATTCAACAAAAATGAGCATTTTAGCTCTTCAAAGAAATAGCACATATCCAATATCTTCTGCATTTACTTTATAAAAATTCGAGTATGCAATCAGCCTTAAGTTGCAAGTCTTTCGAACTTGAAGAGACTTGTTTGGCAATCGTTTTTTAGTTTTTCTCACTTACTATAAGTTATTTCGTTTGAAAATTTAGGCGCTGTCATATGTTTTCACGAATGTGTGAGATATCGTGCTAATAATGTTTCTCCTAGCAACTGCCAAAATCGTATGTTTTCACAGTTTTGCGTCACCATAGGCTTTCAATACCGAGAGATGAGTTTAATTCATAGCACCCTAAGCTCAAGCAGCTGCGATTTATGTCGCTGCTATTCGCAGAGTAAAATTTTACAGTTGGTGAAATTCCATGGAAAAAAACAAAACAATGACAGTGCACCGTACGGAATTATGACAGTTACGCTTACATCTTTTAGTTTCATCTACCCGAATCTTTGATCTCTTGCTTTCAAATAAAATACCAGTAGAATTTCTTATTTTCGATTTGTATGTTCATCATTGATACAGAAACTTGTTGAATTTACCTCACTCAGTTACAGAAATTGTCAACAAAGTCCATTACTAGTCCACGGTGTTCACCGAATTAGACCCCAGATCATTTCAAATATAACATTTTCTACATCAATGCAATGTAACCTGAACTGACATTTATTTTATTACAAATAGTAACAGTAATATTACTCCGAAAATCTAAACACAAGCAGAGTATTAAAGACAGAAGGCAGTGGTTTGTTACAACACGACAAACTCACATTATAAACCTGTGTGTGAGTATGACTGTTTTACACCAACATCCTAATTTCAACTTGTATTATGTGAATTGGGATCTAGCTCTTTTGTTGCTTTGAATTCCCAGCGTCATCTTATTCAAGAATCCTGGAACAGTACAGTACAGGAACGAATAATAGACAGTTTGTCACATTATCCCACAACAAATATCCTGAATATTTGAGTTGAAATCTTTCATCTTGCGTAGAGTCTGCCTCGATACAGCAAATATCACACAAATACAGCAAATTTTAATCAATGGAATAATTAGAATTCCATTGTAGGGACATTGGATATATTAGGATCTACTTTCTGTATTCTCCAAAAATATTGGTCCCATTTTGTATAATTTTTAAATGAATTGAAATATGTCATTTTTACTTTAGAGAACATTTTTGCATATTGGCCAATATCTTTATTTAGATAAATGTTGCATGCCGCCCAAGTGCGAACGAATGTATCTTGATACCACCCACAGTTTTACTACGTCAGATAACCGCTGTATTGGGCGGTTGAATAGGAGATGCCGACACGTTATCTTGCATCTGTACGAAAGAGCGAAAGTGTGAAGAAGAACAATAGCGGACGACAATACAATAATTCAGCCACCGATAAAAAGTTGCGCGCGATACAAAAGCTACGGAACCAAAGAGGAAATCAGTCATTATAGAATTGTCAGCTTAGTAAAAGGTTCTATATTTTGTTACACCGATTCTCTGCCAGAATATTATTATATTGAATTATAGTTTGAACGCATTTGGTCAGTATTGAAAGAAGAAACATTAAGTTAAAGGTTTCTTACAATGTCGGCTTTCCCAATGCCAGATGTCTCAAGCCCTTGGGGCTACCATCCAGGAGCTACATCGACGAGCGTATCAGGATATCCAGGAAGCAACGCTACACTGCCTATGCATTTTAACGGGTATTCATATATGGGAGCAACACCTTTGACACAGCAGCCACGGAGGCATTTTCCCAATGCAACACCAGTTTTGGGAAATTATATTGGAAATCCAACAGAAAACGACCTATCGTTAGATCCATACGTTTCAAAGTTTTCACCAACTACACAATGGCAAATGACTGGTGAGATTTCTATTTTTTTAATAATGTTAAGTCTTGAAACAGCAACTGTAAAATCTTAGAGGATTAGTAAAAATATAAATTGCCAAAATTGAAAAATTGCTAGTTTCAATATCATGTTTTATCATAAAACCCACGCTCAATACGTCTGGAGAAGAATATCTTGGCCCAATGTATCGATGGAGATTTCATAGAAAGATATTCTTTTTGTCTAGTATGGCTAATTTTGTTATAGCGCAAGTGACAAACTTAAGTAATGGCCTAATAAATCATATTAATATTTATTACTATCTTTCGGATATTGTATGTTTGTTTTACAATGAAAGTTTTAATTAGCAAAAAGATAACATAATTATTTATTGTTCAATTAAATTTGTTCCCACAGGTAAAACATACACGGGAGATAATGATCATTATTCACCGCAAGATAACATCGATAACAATAAGAACTTTTACGACTCTCCGGTTAATAATGGACAATTAATGGAATTACCGGATCCGAAAATGCAAGTGCAGTTATGTGACAGAGAATTGTGGGACCAGTTTTCAAAAGCTGGAACAGAAATGATTGTTACTAAAACCGGAAGGTATGGTTACTCACATTGAATTTGGTGTACTGATGAAATATTAAGCATATATTCTGATAATTTGAAAATCACAGGCAATAAAAGTCTGATACTAAACACCCTGTATGTGATTTAATTTTTTCGATCAGAATGCTCGTACATGTTTTCAAATAGATATTTAGAGTTATAATAATCACACATCAGCTACTTACGCATAATGTAACCAGGAAAACTGCAAAGCATTGAAACTGCATTTTGATCATTGAATGAATAATCGCGAAGAATATCGTTGAATGTAATCCCATACATTTTATAAAGCTCTGTTTTTTAATTATATATGACTTTATCTTCTCTTTCAGACGAATGTTTCCTGGCTACAGAATTAAACTCTCAGGGTTAGACCGAGACGCAAAATACTGTGTTATGATGGATATTGTTAATGTGGATGACCACCGATATAAGTTCCAGGTAAGCAATATATTAACAACATTATTGTAAATAGCGAGCCTTTGTATTGATATAGATTTGAAAAATTCCCATTTTATCTTGACAGCATGGTGAATGGACAATTGCGGGAAGGGGAGAACCACATCTTCCGCAGAGATTTTTTCTTCATCCTGACTCTCCAGCAACAGGTGCAAAATGGATGAGTGAAATTGTGTCTTTCCATAAAGTGAAACTCACGAATTCAGTAGGAAGAGACGTGGATGGCAAAGTGAGTAAAACATTCAGTTTCTTTATTTTTTTTTGTGACTAAGATTTTTACTTTTTTCACATTGAGATTGATTTCGTGTTATAAAGAATCAAAACTATATTTTTCTCTATTTTTCTATATTTATGACTTTCTCAAGCAAATTCTATTTAAATCCTCTAAATCAACCAACTTTTAAAATAATGAATTTTACAAATGTTTATACATCATTTTAGATTGTCCTGAATTCAATGCATCGATATCAACCTCGTATACATATTGTTCGTACCAATGATCCTACAAGAGTTCACATGCAACGATTATGTACGTTCGCATTTCCCCAAACAGTTTTCATCACAGTTACTGCATATCAAAATCCAGAGGTAATATTTTATATATAGCAGTATTTTCAAATTCTTACTTTTGATCTCCAATTCCGAGAACACTGTTTGTAATTCCCTTCACCAAAGTTACTAGGATCATACGACTGCTTATTTTAAATTACCCATGTCATGTTTCCATTGTTTCTGCTGTATGAAAGTTGTGTAACGACATAAATAAAAGTAAAATGAGGAGGAGAGGAAATGATAAACGGGAAAATACCAATGAAGACTTATTGTTAAACTTTATATTATAATTTTATAGGTAACAAAGTTGAAAATTGACAATAACCCATTTGCAAAAGGCTTTCGTGAAGATGGCGCAAGAGCGAAGAAACCAAGAACGTCGCAGAATCAATTTAATAACGAATTTCATCAAGCAACACCTTACGCAGAATCAAAAAGGCCTGCTTATGAAATGCATTACAGACAAACACCTTTGCAGCATACCCCGGTTATGGGAAATCCTATTTCTCGATTGGGTTTTGACAATGGCGCATCTCCAGAGCTAAACAAACTGAGGTCGCACAACAATGGCTTTTCTCAATATAGCGGGACAAGTTTTTCAGAAGACTACAATTCAAATGCACATACCAGCTACGGCCAAAGTGTTTCTAATTCCACATTTCCAGACTATTGGAAGACACTTAAATCGGATCAGAACTGTTACGGTTCCTCAGAACTTTATTCACAGCCGGGGCAAAATATGCAAATGAATCAAAATCACCATACAACAGTTATACTAGCTAACAATCTGTCAATATCCCAAGGTACGCCAGGAGCACAAGGTGCGAGTAGTTTGCCGCATTTCAGCCTTTCACCAGACAATAATACAATATACAAATCCAGTACACAACACACAGATCTGAGGACAGGATCCCCGCAAAATTTTGACGATATATTGGAAGAATCTGTTCATAGCATCACACCATGTCAAAGCAAAGGCCAGGACAAAGTTACTCGTTCTTCTGATAGCGGGATTGGTTCTTCGCCATCTACCATGTCCGATGACGACAATTCACAAGCGCCAACTATAGCTATGAACAACAGTGTACATTCAGAGGCCAGGGATATTGGAGAAATGCCCAAAGCGCGCACAGAAATAACAGAAGAGCACGATAGTAATAAAAGTTTCGAAGACCTGCTGACTCAGTCACCACAAAACATTCAAAACCTTCAAGTTGTTAATCCACTCACCGAAGAGAATTTGCTAACAAATGATTCTTCAAACGATTCGGCATCTACTCACCACGACAACTCATTCCCAACAACGGCTTATGTTCCTGAAAGCCAGCAAAGTCAATTTGGAAACCCAGAAGCTATTTTTGCTTTTTCACAAGATACGTTTCATCGTGCTTTCACATCAGAATCGAACGGAACAGATGATGCCATAAACTGGGAAACAGGACTTGTTAAGATGTAATTTTGATAGAAACAGTCAAACATTTACCAATTGGTCGTATACTGGGCGATCAACTTTTTGCCAATGTTATTTATCTGTATATACTGAATTTACTTCACTGTCTTTTATTTTGAAAATAAAATTTCGAACCGATAACCGGCCAGTTTGTTTATGGAGAGTGACGTCAAGTCCAGGTGACGTTTTTTGTGACTGTGACAGTTTTAGGTTTAAGTTTCTGTGCAAAAATGAAAAGTGATTCAGATTCATGAAAAGAATAGCTAGAAAAATGCTTTGCCAAATTATTATCTGTAGTAAATACAAAAATGCATTAGAACACAGGGTTTTTATGATAGATTACGGACGCAACACTTCATCAGCATTTTGTGCTAACTAGATCAAGATGCGATGCACATTTATATCGAACACACGATGAATCCTAATAAAATGAAAAATACCTCCATGGAATTTCGTAACAAATTTATTAAATTGCCTATTTTTTTACGACCTGATATAAAATTAATAACTGGCACACTTTCCGCCAGCAACTGTTGTTGTGAGAAATGTGGAAGTCGTTAAATCACACGGATATTAGTTTATAATGCGGCATGTCGGTGACCCCTTGTTGTTTTGTTTCAATATTAATAAAATATAAATAACGACATTTTTTAATATTTACGTGGGAAGTAAATTTACCTCAGCGGTTACTTGAAACATTACTTCATACATTACTTAAAAACCTTAGTTGCATGCCAACATGAGGTCAAAATCAACGAACACCATATGTTATCATGGCTCGACTTTGAATCGTTTGTTATCAACAATAACGTTATATACATATTTGGGTGAAAAATGGTAGTTGAGCCTAATTCTTGTACTAATATTAAAAATATATTTTCTTATAGATCTGTGTATACTAATCATATATATATAACATATCGTATAACAGAGGTGTGCAACCTGCGACCAGCGGGCCAAATGTGGCCCACAAAAAAAAGTTGTGCGGCCCGCGGAGAAGTGCCAATTTTGAATGGTGTGCGTCCCGCGAAACGAGGTTTTGATTCAGTTCAATCTGGTGTATGCAAGTAATTCCAATCCCCTTTTTCGTTACCCGATTCCTATTTAATATCTATGCCTATGACGTTACAACGCCGTAACAGCTAGTTTGTGCGAAGCCAACAACGCATTTCATGAGACCAATAACCCAAATTTATAGGCCTGCAACTACTAGAAAGTCTATGTGGTGCTGCCCGCGGTGTCACCCAGTTATTTGTATTGGGCCCTCATGTATTAAAGGTTGCACACCCCTGTTGTACAACCGTCTTGTTTTAGCAATGCGATTTTTAATCAGGATGTAAAGAATATTTGGTACTCCTTAAGTATGCGCACCAAGATGTCGCATAACCTGAACCCTAACCTGGTACACAACTTAAGTTCAGGTTGTGCGCCATCTTGGTGCGCATATTTCAGGAGGTCCTATTATTTTTAGCAGCATTTTCGTAAACAGAATAAAAATATTGAATTTGGAATGCTTCGATTTAACCTTATATTGAAACGACATTTTAAGGTTAATGAATTTATAGCAGTTTGTAAGTCACAACCTTAAACCTCTTATGTTTTTATTGCAGCTATTTTTCAGTTAAAACATAAACATATCCAATGTTATTATTTTTTCCGCGTCGTATATTGACGCAGAGTGGATCGTTTCTGTATTGTTGAATTAAACTTGCTTCTGTTATTTCGCAATCAGTTAAAGCAATGTCCGCATAATATGTTGCATTTTTTGCAAATTGCTTTTTCCATAATCTGCTGCCTGAGAGAAACGAAATAATTTTAATATATTGAAAGCAAGAGAGCAATGCCCAAGTAAATGGACACGAAAGTACAATAACTACCTCGATGTCAGGAAAATCGCAGTTAAAATGTAAAAAAACTATAACGTTTATGGGTCTTTGCATAAATTATTTATAAAAAGATTCTTAATATGGGGTAAAATATCAAACTTTACAGCCAGGGACGTGCAACCTGCGGCCAAATGGGGCCAAGGAAAAGTTGTGCGGCCCGGAGCAGTGCCGATTTTAAATGGCGTGCGGCCAGTAAAACAATTTTTTAATTTTATTTAATCTGATATGTGCCAGTAATTCGAATTCTTTTTCGCAAAACTTAGATACCTGAGTCTAATTTATTATCTATGCCTTTGACGTTACAATGACATGCCCTCGCAGCTGGCTTGTGCAAAGCTAACAACGCATGTCATTGGATCAATAACGAAATTTTTGTGCCTGTCGCTACTAGCCTATGGTAAATAAAGCTGCGGCCCGCGGTTCATCTGATTATTTGTACGTGGTTCTCCTGTATTAAAGGTTGCACACCCTGCCTTACAGTATTCAGAGAAAAAACAACAGAATTCAAAGACGTAGCTTCCTCGCGATTGCGTCCATCTTTAAGTACTTAATATTAGGAATTGATTGACCCATTAATTACGAAGAGAAGCGATTTTTCCAATCACCACAACAAAAATTAAAAGCAAGCCGGTAAGCTAAATTTTTTTCCCGGCGGAAGGTATCGTTCTCGGAATTTTCAGTGTTTTTACCTGGCATAGTGTAACATATATATCTGCTATCCACAGTCCACGAATATCCGATATAAAATCGTTTTCCCTGATTTCGAGCTGATTCTATCTTATCCTGCAACTGATTAGGTTCACACTGATATATAGATCGACATTCCGTACATGAATGAGCTTCAAATGTTGGAAAATATGTCGGAAGTTTCCGAATTGCGTCTAGTAATCTATATGAATATGTAAGAATTAAAAACATGAGTACGGATGTCAGAGTGCCACCTATTGGCAAAGAGAAATCGAGAACTACCACAAGTAAACCTCGTCTTATAAATATACCCAGAGTGTGTCCTATGCGTATTACGATAAATGGAACTTTTTCCAGTGACAATTTAGCAAGAAAATTTTTCAGCAAAAGAAGGCCTCACTCGAAATTTTTTTACGATCTATTTGTATTGTATGACGATCGAAGGTAACTTAAACGGTGCCAATTTGGTATGCGTTCATACTCATAAAGACATTCTTATAGAATTCAGTTCCTGTCCCTAGCAAAATCACTTAGATCGCATACCAATGTAGCACCACATAAACTTCACAGTGGATTATGTATCCAGAATGATTGTATTTGGCGGCCGCGCGCTCCAGTATCTGCGAGGTTGTGGATAATAAGCAATATTGCAAATTTGGCTAAAAATGGACTGATGTTGCGTGTATTGACCAGATAGATATAATTCTTTGAATTATCGTGGTCCATTTCTCCTTTAAGACCAATTTGATAAGCAGTAACGACCTAAGCAAGTATGCAAGACTGTCAAGTGAATAAATCAAATGCTGCTCACCTCGTTCGTAGCATTTTTTATCATGTTTGAAGGCTTTTGCTTAAAAATACCTACATCTAACTTTAATATCGATATCTTCTTTCATAGTTGCACAGAGTTGTATTTATTTCAAGGCCTAGTAGTCCTCCAAATTCACCATTTATTATCACATGATTTCAGTAATTTTGTGACCTTCTGACCTGAATTGTATTTGTTTTATCTTGATCTTTTGTGATGTCATAAATCACTGTTAGTTATAATAGGCTTTCGTATTCGAGTATATGACAAACACGAAAGTTGTAGGCTACTTTACCAGAGTAACAATTCAAATATAATATTTTGGTTCTTCTATTCACTCATTAACATACTATCTATGCGCCATGATTTAAAACAGTTTATGACATTTCTTCCGAAAATAAAATTATTGTTGGTGATATATTATTTAATAAACAGTGTTTATATATTTTCACATTTGATGAAGAGCTGGTGTCTCGACGGGTTATCATCAAGATACCTAGACGAGTTGCTATGAACAAATCAAGACCCGAGACTTACAGAAACACAGTTTTTATTAGGTAATGCATGAAGCATAAGAGTAAAGTAAAATATAATTGTACAGTCTTACATTGGGGGGATTCCGTATTGACAATAGCACGATGTACTCGCAACAAATACACGTGAACGGGAAAAATTCCAATATATCTGCTTTTGTTGAACACGAAATGGACTTATGGTTCGTTTTGGTATTTATTGTTGTTCTTCTTCATGTTGTTACAAGTTACCTTATGGAAAAATGCGCGTTTTCCATTCACTAATGGTTCAATTGCTTTAAAATTTCGAGTGGTTGAGAAGTGTATTTTCCGCTAGAAGACTTTAATTTAATCTTAATTTTTCTATGAATCCTTTGAGTTCTGCTTTTCATCCAAAATTACTTTATATTCTAAAAAGTTTCATGGCCACAAAATGCTTACAACAAGGTTGTCATTGGCGCGAGTTGATTTATCTTTAGCTCGCCACAGATATTCAGTCTTCAAAGTGTCAGTTTCCGTATCATTCACTGCAGTATCAATCACTTGAGCATCATTTCCGGATGATGCTGTGATGCATGTCATAACCCTGTACAAAAATTCACATTCTCTAGCCGTAGTGCTTTACTGTTACAGCCGATAAGTCAGACTGCGGAGAAATGGAGATACCGGTTATAAATATTGCAAAAATACTTTCTTTGAGATCGGAAAACGAATCCAATATCGGGTATTCCGATTCAGTAAAAGTAGGTGAAAAATTAGTCAAATCATTTTCAACTCATGGATTTGCATTAGTCGAAAATCACGGAATTCCTAAAGAAAATATTGATGAAATTCGCTCTTTATCTTACAAGTTTTTCGCATGTGACTTGGATTATAAAATGAAGTTTCTCTCTAAAAGTGGAACCACGTTATGTTATGATCCGGTTGGAAGTCAATTTGCTACACCTGGACGACCTTTTGATTATCATGAATGCTTTCGTGTGCCGTCATGTGCTTATGATTGCGACTGGCCAAATATTAAGGAACTGAAAACAAAATGTCAACAATTTGAAAAAGTGTGTAACATGTTGCTTCTTCGTCTGCTCACATCTATTGGTCAAGGAATGGGTTTGAAAGATTCTCAATTATTCCTCAGGTATCACAAAAAAATTGGACACAGTACCAATACGACCAGACTAAAATTTGTTCATTACCCTCCAATACCTGATGACGTTGTAATTCAGGAATACCAGCTTCGAGTTGGGGAACATACTGATATCGGCTCCCTGACCATTTTATTTCCGGACGGTGTTGGTGGCCTACAGATAAAAAGAAGGGATGGAAGTTTTATGGATGTACCCTACATTCCTGGAACCGCCATTGTCAACGTTGGTGACATGCTACAGTACTGTAGTGGAAGGAGATTGAAGTCCACCGTTCATCGAGTAGTCATACCAGAAGGAACAGCTAATCGAGCAATCTCCAAACTGACAGTTGGATATTTCGGTTGCATGGACAATGAGGCCGAGCTCAGAAAAGTGGAATTCAACGATGCGGAACTCAACAGTGAAACCACAAAATCGATGGATTTCATCAAAGCGGGTGATTTCTTCAACAAGCGATTCAACGGTTTTGTGAACTACGACTAATTGAGTTTCTTAGCTAAGAGAGATGCAAAAATGTAGATTGATCAGTACTTTTGTATTCGTGTGATGCACTCACGACTCCATAAATTCATCCAAAATACGTGAACTATAACTTTCTTTGATTTTTGAGCTTAAGAAAGCTTTGCAATTTCAAAACCTTACTACTTTTTCAAAGTTTTTTAGGGAAGAATTAGCAATTTTCTACGAAAAATTATACTTTTAACAAATATATACTCGTGAATCGAAAAAATGATTTCTGTTGTTCAACAAAATTTAATTATCATAAACAGCCTACAGAAATGATGTCATTGTCTCGAGTTGTTCTGTATATATATTTAGTCATACAACATTACATTATCAATCACTTAGACATCATTTCCGTAAGAATTTGTAACGCAAACAACGTATCAATTATCATGTTGCTACTGTATAAGTTAGGGCTAGGCCATAGTACAAATTCTACTTTTAGAGACTTTCCGCCCGATCTCAAAATAGAAATACTAGACTGATTTGGACGAATTATCATTTCAAATATTGCATGATGTCTTGTTGATTTCTTCGTCAAGGGATTCAATGGCTATGTGTACTGTGAATAATTGTGTTTTTAAATAATGTTTGACTGATTTTATCTGAAACTAATTTAAGATGTAGTCAGAAATGTAGATTGGTCACGAGTCACGACATTTATATTCCTTTGATGTACCCCTTGATTAAAAATTTGTGAACTATAACTTGCATTGATTTTTAAGTTTAAAAACGACTTCCAGCGATTTCAAACCGCCATTTATATATTTGAAAAAAAAAACGAAAATGGTTCAGGAGAGAATCAGTAATCGGTACCAATTTTTTATGTAAAGAAACAAGCTGAAATATTATTGAATAAATAGATTCAAAAGCCAATACCGCATTGGTAATCATCCATCAGTCCATAAGGCAATTGGATTGATAAAAATCCAGTATAATTAGTAATTAGGCGTGAATCACTGATACTAATTGGATAAATAGGGACTATTCTTGTTTACTAACAAGAATTGATTGTCTCAAACCGTTCATGAAAACTAGGATTTTAGCACGACATGCTAACTGGACAGCAGTCTCAGAATAAGTTTTTTTACGCTGCACTACACTACTTTGATTGATATTCATTTTATGGATGACAACACCCTCACCCGTCACAGCTCTCAGAGTTTCAAGTAATTGGCCAAATTAGTCATTTTAAACCTCGGACCACATTTGCGCAAAATTTCATGCTTCGTCTTAGCGTGAATATAGGTTCGACAGCCTCTGGATATGATTTCTTTGCGACGATCGTGAGGCTTCGATTACCTCTTTGCCCTCATATTGCAAAATTGAATGAATGTGGAAACTAACTGGCGGCTAACTGAACCATCATACAACGATTTTGCGGCATTTGCAGGGAGACACAAATTCGCGCGTCATTTTCAACACTATTTTGGCCACTTTTTCGTGGGCGATTTACCGATAGGTCGACGTTTTTGGCGTGACTATTACCAATCCTTCCTCCAGCGCAGGGCTGCTCAACTGGCGGACCGCGGTCCAAATACGGACATTACGGGTATTTGATTCGGACCTCACCCAATTCTATATTTTAAAGCACTGCCCCGTTAAATTAGGATATGTATAGATTTTCTTCCAATAAATTCCTTTTTTTTTCAATATTTTTGGAACTTATGTTAATTATTTGCTCATATTGAAAACTTATAAGAAAAAAACTGTGACGCAGTAACATTTAGAATAGCGTTGTCTGGATTAGCGAACAACCACTAGCCGGAAACTACCGGTGCGTTAGGAATATTTAAGTTTTTGCATTCACCCAGTTTTCCGTGATTCGGTTTTCTGTTTACTTTCTAATCTCAATGTTGAACGCACTGAAATATATTTAGGCGCCACGTGCAATATTATTTTCTGGAAAGACCAGATCCCAATAATTCTAAAGTTTTGTATGAGGATCTTCGGCGAAAATAGTTGAGTAGCCCTGACTAGCGAACCAATCAAGATTGCGCTAGTTTTGCGATGATTAGCCTTTGCTGTGTTCTGTGTTTATGTCATAAAAAGTTAAATGAGTCGCCATAATCTGTGGTAATAAATAGTGGGTCCCAACTCTATGAAAAGTTTGGGAACCATTGCTCTAAGGCAGTGGTTCTCAAATTCTTTAAGCCGCGCCCCTATCTATAATTTGTCAAGTCTCGCACCGCACCTCAAAAATAACCAGCTAACAATAAGATACAAGTGACAGATAGTAAGGCGACAGTGTGTTTCATTCAAAAAAACACTTGAAAATACGTGGATGGAACATAAATCATGGGATAAATGAAGTTTTAAAATGTAAATATCCGAAATAAGGTGGGTAAGATCAAAAAATTGTCTACGCGCCCCACCGATTGAAAGTAACTGCTCCAAGGTAATGTTTAGGTTAAATAATTTCGACTGACTGATTTTATTTACAAACATACTATCATAATCGTTTATGCCAAACATCGATTCATGTCTCATCTATAAAATTTACCGCCATATAGAGGAACTTGTGCAATACAGCAATTAGCAACCAAGGTTATTTAAATTCTGTAATTCCATGGTTTGGGATGTTAGGATAGGATTTACATATTTATCCCAGGGCAGAGGAAAGTCGATAAGCCGGCTTAACCCTATGGCGAACCACGGCCTCTCGTCCGGTTACCATTTCATGTCGGGTATGGGATAAGTTACAGTAGTTATTTGTTTTCGGAGGCATGGACACAAATAGGTAGAATATTTTTGAAGTCACATATTATCGGAAGATGGTTTAAATATATGATGTAAATTTCTTTTGAACAATGATCCAAAGAGAAGTTGATAAGCGTGAACTATTCTTGGTGAACATTTGTTTCACATGGAAAGTGACTCGGCAGTGTTGCGCATCGTGCTAAGCGTTAGGAAGCTGGTATTGATTACATTTCGTCTCATAATATTTAGAATCCATTCTCTTGCTAAAGTGAGCCAAATCATCAAAGGATAGAAATTGATGTTTAAAACATTGCAGACATTCAGTCAGACTTAGAATGTGAATTCATAGGCTCAAATCTTATTCCTATTATTAAGAGAATACTCAGATTAAAAATCTGTATTTATTTTCATGATACAGAATTGTATCGAAACTTGTACAAATTTTTATCTGCACCTCCACTGAATATAATGTCATCATTACTCCAATCCAAACACATAACTTTATCTTGGTGTGCATTCACATCAAAAAGTGGAGTTTGCGGACTTCGTATATCCCATAATTTTACTGTATAATCGAGAGATCCAGACACTAGTTGATATTGATTACTGGGTGACCACTTTACACAGGTGATCCATCCAGTATGTGAAGTTAGATTACATTTTATTAAAGATCCTTTAGAGAATATTTCATCTTTTCCTCGTGGATCCCAAATTCTGATATGCCGATCCGAACTTCCGGTCGCAAGTAGATTACTATGAAAAGAGTAGTCACATGCTAAGAATACTTTTGCTCCACGCAAGTTTAATTTTTCTTTACCCTCATTTATGTCCCAAACATTGATTGTATGATCCCAAGACACACTGCATAAATCAGAAGATGATAACCATACAAGTGATGACACTGCTTCTCGATGACCTGCTAATGTCGATTTCGGAACTCTTGTAACACCCCGCTGCTCTATACGCTGACGTTTTTTCTTGTTTCTTGCTTTCCGAAAATCTTCTGGCTCATTTGAGTCATCTTGTGGAACAGGAGATGTCGACCATAATTTTATTGAACTGTCCCATGAACCGGTAGCAAAGGTTTCCATTTCAGGATGAACTGACACGCAATCAACACTTTTAGAATGACCCCGGCAGCAAAATAAAGGTTTTACAGTTTCTTCACCTTTTTCCCATTGCCATAATATGGCACTTTGGTCCTGGGATGAGCTTATCAAATAAGCAGTCTTATCATTATTGACACGATTTACCCATGATACTGCCTTTACAGGTTCTGTATGACCGAAACCATATATACAAGGTTTTGAACTATCCATATTCCAAATTGATACAGTGCAATCATACGATCCTGTCAAAATGAATTCTTTTGTACTTTGTACACTGCTAATCCAATCATCCTGTGTAAATTGATCTTCTGGTTTCGGACTTTCTTGTTTCAAAATGTATTCAATTTCCACAACCTTTTCTGTCGATATACCTTTATTCTCGATATATTGGTTAAGTGGAATTCTCAAAAATTCTCCATTCACAAGAAAATCAAATTCCATATTTTGATATTCATTTTCATCCTCTATCGCATCTTTGACTCCTTCCTTCAAAACTTTATTTACGAGATTTGTTAATTCTGTAACAGTTACTTCTCCCGGCAGTTCAAACATGGTATCTGCAATCTTATATTTCTCATCCTGAGTTACAAGCTTAGCTTGAATATGATCCGCCATATTGTTAGGTAACTTTTAAAACAAAATATTATTAACACATTATTACATAAAGAGTACATGTGAATGAGGCTCTTTGACACATGATTTACGTTCGTTCATTCACTGAATATGCAGAAAAAATGTGAATCACATCATAAAAAATATTGTTTCTTATACAGTGATTTCATGCATCCACCCCAAACGCTCTATAGATACACTGATATCTGGATAAGCAAGAGATATTGTTTTATTTCAGGTTCAGCATTGCCAACCAAATGAATACACCCCAGGCAGCCGGGATAAATGTTGGACAAGAGGCTTGTACCTGGGATCATGAATCTGTGATGTTAACATAGTTAATTACAACGTCTGGTATAGTTTAGTAACACATGCACTTCTAGTTGGCCTGGCTCAACTAAAAAAAACGCGCAGACGATCATCCGAAATCGAGCAAGCTATTTCTCTCGTTTTTTCGTCACAACGATCCTGATAGGAGAGAGATCGCCGGCGTTAGCGAGTTCGTTATCAGCGGCGCAGATGCCATTTCGGGCGATCGTAATTATACTTTGACAAGCCCTATGACGTGATGATGACGTCGTAGTGACGTAATTTTTGGATGGCATAGTCAGGTGGGGGTTAGGAATAACATATGCAAAATTCGTTATGCTATGCCACTGTAAGTACTTGTGGTACCAAACTATACTAGACCCCAAAATACTACCGGTACCGTAATTGGTATGCAGCCTTAATGTACCCGTTAATTTATTTTGGTTCTCTGACATAAACAATACAGAAAGTAAACAGACAAAACAAAATGCAGAGATACCTGGGAGACTGGCTAACTTAAAAAGCGTACAATGTACGTGCCCGCCCACCAAAAAAGATGAAAACAAACACAGAAAAACGCGATTTGCAATCGGGCAGTACTTTGAAAGCAATTTAACAAAAACAGCAAATTGAAGTAAATAATTGAATGCAATAAACTTCTACCTTTTAAATTAAAATAGTGCTTTTCCTACAAAACATGGAATAAACCATTTTGCCTGCCTACGCCTTACGAAAGTCTGCACACGTGCTAGTTGTAGTAGGTCGATTAACTTCAAAGTGACTGACAATGAAAACCAAAATACAGTGGTGTATGGAGTCGAGCATGCTTCTAATGGACGTTTTTGGATACAAAATAGAACTGTGGATTGTTTTGTTCTTGGACACGAAATGGACCTATGGTCATGAATCGTTTTGTTGTTATATCATTTGTTTTGGAATATTCATTGGTTAAAGATTGGGTATTGGGTATTGGGTACTCCTGCAGTATGCGACAGGAGCACCAAAGTTTGTATTTTTCGCTAAAAGGGTATTACTTTTATTTATTTCGAAACTTTTTGTGGGCTCTATGGGATTCGATCAATGCTGAGTTTGTATTTTTCGCTAGAAGGCTATTGCGTTTATTTATTTTCAAAAATTGTATGAAATTTGGGATTTTGTTTTTGTGTGCGATGAAGTCATCAAAATTAATTGCACATCTTGTGGCGGTTCCACGTTCGTATAACAGCAAAGCGTATAAGACTGCGGTACTGGTAATCAGTATTTGGTATACTGGTTTTTGTAACAGATTGCATAACCGTACTACTTCATGTCCATATATTTGTGCATTGCTCTTTTGTATCTCTACATAGTATAATTAGACAACAAAAAAGTAGAAACTACTGAAAATTTAACAAAAGTATAATTTAGTGTTTAATTTAAACTAAAAACTCGGCTCCACGGTATGATGCATCGCGCTAAGCGTTAGAAATACGCTCGCCGCCACCCTAATTATCTTGCGTGGGTTTGAATAAACAAGAGCTGGATATTTCAATGAAATAGAAAATGTCAGATTTACCTGTATCCAGCTCTGTGTAAATATCTCATCCCAACCCCACCGCAATTTTAAAAAATGACTAACTCAAATTGTACAAGGACAAGAAAATGGCAAAATCATCGCTGTTGAAAGTGGGATTGATAATTACTCCTCATTCTTATCCCTACCTACAAACTAATAACTATACGGCGTCTTAAACACCTATTTGGAAACCCAACGACAAGCAATTTTCATACCTAATTTGACGAAGTCTATTTAGCGCCGGCCTGGTCTGTTGAAATGGTCGAATCGTTCTCTATATATTCTAACCGGTGACCGTACATTTGAACCCATGTACATTTGAACCCATGCGTATATCCACGGGTTCAATCTATATGCTGGTGCTAAAACCCATGGGTTAGGGTTAGTATGAGTTTAACTATCCGTGAAACAAAAAAATTCCATAGGTGCAATAGCATACAGGTGCAATTGTCATGGGTTCAAATGTACGTGGATTCAACTGTAATGGAACCATTCTAACCTGCTTAGAATTAGCTTTCAGTAACCAAACCTGGTTTTATTTGCACGGGCGGTATCCCCCCTGCACCATCTCAAATATTGAAGTCTTGAGTCTGTTCAAGAGTGCTGTACTACTCTCTTGATGAAGCTTAAAGCTGGCCAGAGAAGAAAGACAACATCTACGAGGCATAGAAGACGACTTTGCTTTGGCGAGCAGTTGGTCTAATCGTTATCAGTTTCAAATTCCAATGTTTCACCACCATCGTGTTTCCACATGGTTTCGGGGTCTAAATAAAAAATGTGCACTGCAATTTGTGTGCTATAATGCTAACGTACTCATCAACTACCATTCGCCGTAGTCTAATCTACCTTACCAGCAGCTTGGCGCTGGTAAGGTAGGCTTTGCAACATTGACTCGGGCTTCAACAAGCAGAACCCCCACTCACTATTAAGCATACCAAGACTTACGTCTCTGAGTGAAATAGTGACCAATGGTTTTCAAATAAATCCGAATATCGAAATAATCAGAACAAATGATTCAAAAACTTTCTCAGACCATTTTTTTGATATATTTAAAATGTATTGCCATTTATTGCATTAGAAAAGCTCCCTCCGATGTCTTTCGTCTGCTTTGTCCTTCAATTTGAAGGCATTCATTCTGTACCATGGCCCAACATGCAAAGGGAAAAACTAAAGCTTCATCCAAATGTGAGTGACCACAAGAAGCTATGCTTCAGAAGAGAACGCAAGCTCACGTATCATGTGAATAAGTGTTCCATACGGGCTACCGATTATATTTAGGAGGCGTTGAAGCTTAATTCTCTAAGAGAGAACAAAATCAGTATATATTTACGGTCAAATTTAAGGAGCAAATTTTGCAAGATTCCAGAGATACTGCTAAATAAAAGTCACATTACTAATTACGCATAGATAGGCTTTAGGCTTGCACGTAATTGACAAAAATCAATTCCGTAATTACGGCCAAATCGATTACGTAATGACCCCGTAATTGCGATATTTTTTTCACACATTTAAACCTATCATAACAACCAATTTAATCCACTTTTATTCCGAATGGGACATCGAAGTTTGGTTTTCATATTCCCGGCAGTACTACACGCCGGCGACAGATGTTAAAGACAAATATCAAGGAGTGAATTCAAAATAATTTTATTCTGATTTTTATCTTTTGTATTAGCTTTGATTTTTTTTCATCCACTTTATCACCAAATTTTATGCTATCAATTTTATCATTACCAACACTGGTAATATATTTAAGAAACGATAGTTCACTTTTTTAAAATCGTATTAACGTATTAATACGACTTTCGTATTAAATAAAAATTCCGGGTTGCTAATATATTAATCAACTACAAGCGTATTCTCTCGTTTGATTATACTTTCGCTTGCCTCGCGACGAAGACTTGTTATTTCCCTGTTTTTTACAATATCCGACTTTACTACTTAGTTAGCATTTTATAATAATTATTGATGCCGACTTATTGACGATATTCCGAATTCCATGCCTCATTTTACATTAAATCATTTCGCGGCCTAAAAGTTATAACATTATTTGCGATAAATTTAGATCAAATATTTTTTATTTGCGCATCATTTAAAATACCGTACTTATATGACATGCCTTCTCCGAAAATACAAAGATATATCGCAAAACAATGCATTTTGTGACATTTATTTTGCACTCATGAAAATATTAATTTATTTTTCTAACTCAAGTCGACAATCCTATTTGCCAAGATTGACACAAGTTTGGTCGAGTGCTGGTGGTATTCAAGTCGACGATAATTTATATAGCTGTTTGATAAGCGCGACATTGATTATCACGGCATTTACAAATAGACCATGTTTTATTAGTTGATCTCTTACATTCTTTAGTCATTTCACCCGAAGAAGTTGAAACCAGGTGTGTTGACGTCCATCGGTCTCAACACAATTTTATTCCTTATCTACGGTTAATATGTACATTGGCCATCCTAGATAGGTTGATAATAGTAAATGACGCATTATGCCTTCCCATTCTGCCTAACAAGAGAGAGAAAAACGGCTGCGAATACCGGAACTTCTTTTACTTTAATTTTATACAATGGACGGAATTGACTGCTCTGAAGAGAGCTCGTTTCAATCGCGAAAGCGCTCGACCAATAATTACGACTTTACGTAATTCGTAACTTCGCTTCCGTAACTCGAAATAATTCCGTAATTCCGTAAATCCGTAAATTACGTGCAAGCCTAATAGGCTTAGGCATTGAATCAAGAAAACATGATTAATTCACCTATTAGCCTACGCCACTTTCAGTTATTGTCCATATTTAGTCCTGGGCAACCACAAAAAATAGTCCACGAGTTATTATTGCGTGGAACGAAACAACAGAATTAAACTAAATAGAAGTACAATCATCAATTTACACTGACAAATGTATGCATCATGTACACGCCCATAAAGAGCAGATTATCATCAAAAAAATTAATTTCTAAATTCCTATTACACGTGGACTGTTGTTCCCAACTCGACAGTGTTGACAATAGTATTCTGAACACCTAGTCAAATTCGTCAGTCGATTCTAAAACAAATCTTTAAAGTTTTACACCCCTATGGTTAACCCAGCACTAAATTATACTTTAACATTGTAATTGTGTTTTGGCCAATTTTTTTAACATCAATATTCTTCAACTTGATATATCTTACTAGCACTCATATTCAGGATTGTTTACAAATCAATAAATCATCATATGTTTATTTATGTATAACTTATCTCACCAGTGGTGCTCTTTATATTCATATTTTATGAAAATGATGGACTTCGTCTCTGCATAGTATTTGATGTAATTTACATATACATTTCTTATTTAATTTCTCTCACTTTTGGCATTCCTCTGCAAACAAAAAATTGATCAATATAAAATTCTAGAATGTTCTACATTTATATTTAGTCATCTGAATTTGCGAATCTTAAACATATTAGTGTGAGGGGGAAGTTGACTTTGATGACCGTCCGGTCTTATCACTCCCTCCTGTCTATACCAAATTATTTTGTTGTTATTATTTTATTATTACGATGACTGCTATTTATTTTGATTGACAAAATAATAAATCTCTCCCTCTCTCTCTCAGTCAGCTCGTGACAACACAAACAGACATGGCAGGAATTGCAAATTAGGTTTCAAGATCGTCGTCCTTAACTGAATCTTTTTCGGCTTCTGTGAAACGTTTAGGACTCAGTTATCACTGAAATTATTTTAATTAAATATTTAATAAGTATCATGCGTATGATGCAGAAGCAGATGCCAAATTAAAATTTTTTATGATTCAAACTTAAGTTTGAATTAGGTGAGAATATTTGCAAACTAATATTGATAAGATTTTTCAAATTTATCCCGACGAGAGAAAAACCGACAGTACGAGTCTACGACCTATATTCATGACCAGAACTACAGTTTCTCGTCCGTTGCCATTTCAGCTAAATGCGTGCACCAGATGGAAAGCTATCTACAACCTGCTTCCGCCTGAACCACCTTCTACGAATGCCAGGAATTTATCAATGATTCAGAACACGGATTCAAACTTACGAGTTCACGCAAGGTAATAAGTGTTAGTAGTGAGCCGGATTGCATACCTAACGCTGAGCACTGGGTACCCACGGTTGAGTGGAATAAACTCATGAAAGTCCTTTGACATCTTTGAATAGCATGAATAGACGATTGCATTTTCTTTCGAATAGACAACCTCTCTGAATTTGCAGCATGTTATATATATTACAGTGAAACAATAAAATGAGTTGATAAATCATCACACTTGATCAAACACCTACTCAATTTCTATCAGTCTAATGTATCACTCAGTGACAACTAATCGATTCCCATCAGTAAGCTAACTGAAGAATAAACTGCCGCACTTCTAGCACTGGGTGCGCCTGCAGCGGTGATGACTGACCTATGGAAGCTGATCTAAAACAAAACAGTCCAATCAGACACATCCGCCGGAGCGTTGGTTACATCGGGCGTTTTCGCGAGTTGGCTTTTACTAACTTATGTACATGTTTTAATTAAACAGTCATTTCGTTTCAAAATTTTCAACAACTTTGCATTGAAAAGTACCGGCAGTTTTCGCGAGTTGGCGCTTACTAACTTATTACATGGATTGATCAGTCATTTTGTTTCAAAATATTCAAAAACTTGGCATTGGAAATTTTAGGCAGTTTATTTTAGCCTATAGTATAGTCTATATCTATAGTCCATCCCAGATTGGAGTCCGTTTTTGATTAAACCTCAACCCTCCTAGCGGCAAAATAATCAGTAATTTCTTTTATTTACGTCTAAATGTTACAAATATGGGGTGCACTAGGGTATTGTGTATTGAACTGCAGGTCCTTTCTCCTCAACTAAACTAAATAATGACTAATACTTGTCGACACTGTGATGACTAGTCAACCACAGTTGAATATCTGCCTGAGTGACGAAAATGTCTGAGAGGCTTTCAACTGTTATGTCAACATTATGTTATTGCTCATTGACGACTGCTACGTTAAAAGAAATAAGTAACGGTCGGGGAAAAATCCATTCAGGGCCATAAAAACCATAAGCCTTGCTCATTTGAAAATTTTATTCCAGCAAAACTTTTGAACTCCGGTTCATTAATATATCGGGAAGCGAGAGGGAGGGCGTTCTCCGTGGGATTCTCTTTTCAACAGGATAAAAATATATATTCTCACTATCGCGAATCCCGTCGAAATTAAGATAACAGAAGATAATAATGATTCATGAACAACTGATTGACACAACCATGGTCGGGTCGGCGTTGATTACCCTGAAAATTATCTAGTTTCTAGATTTTTCGGCCCATCATCCACTCTTGTTATGGCCAGAAGAATATCAAATCACCCGTTGAGAATAATTAAATATCACCCTAAGACACTGAACACAATAAAAATCAAATTTGCTCAATATATTGTTATCGTAAGTGCTTCACAGTGAACATTGTACATACAAACACAAACAGAAAGTAAAAAAGTCGAAAACCATTCAACACTGAAAAGTGACTCAAGTATATCATCTTCTTTCAAACATTATCAGTGAATGAAAATTATTTAATAGCAAAAACTTATCGAAATTAGGATTTTCCACAATATTTAAATCGTATGGTTAATACAATATCAGGCAAGTATAAATAATCAATCTATGGCTTATACCGGAACGGAAGTAGTTGTTGCAAACTGAACCCAACACAAAAGAAAGGGCAATGTAACTTTCTTTGAGTTATGCTAGCAGAGTTTTGTACAAGTAAGACAGCAGCACATTCACTAGTATTATATGCAGGTTAAAATGTTTTTGCCAATATGTTTATATATATATCATTCCCCACCAAAAGTATGGCATGACTGGTCACATATATTTCACCCAGTGTTATCTGACTAATGGGAATAGCCATTAAAACACATGTCGTCTGTAGGTCTAAAGCTCTATACAAGGAGCCGAAATACACCATTGTCAAAAAGTAAGAAAACCCGTATTTCTCCATATGATAAAATCATTATGGCTTCAAAAATGTGCTTGATAGCAATTTTTTTATTTGAACCTAAATGAGAGCTCATGATTTTTTTAATTATACAAAGATAAAAAAGAAAGTTAAAATGGCTTTCAAAAATATTGTGAATTGAAGGCTTTTTAGATATTCTTTTCATATGGCTTTGAAGTCTAATAATTATAGCAGATTTTATTTTTATTTAGTGCTTTGACTGCTATACATAGTATGGCTCAGTTTGGTTTAGTAAAACACAGTCGAATTATTTCATACAAAGAGATAACAGTGCAGATATAAACAGTGCGTCACCTAAAACTATTCTTCAAATAGGCGTCGATAGAAGTAGACGAAAATTGAAAATTGGAAAACTAAAATTTCACGACCACAAAGACAAGGAAATATCATACAAAAATTTGGTAATGTAAAGTTAAAATGATAATAAATGGCTTTCTCGTCTTTGTATCGCAAAATAATGAGCAAATCCAGCTCGGATACACCTATTTAAATATTTCTCCTTCTCCTTCTTTACAGCATACGGAGTGAAATATTTAAATAAAATAATAGCAATACTGCATTGGAACAACATATGCGTACACTGGGTATGGCATATCAACATAATTTTCTACTTAGTATCTCAAACTGCTGATTTGTACCAGACACCTCTATTTGGACTTTTGTATTCTGGGCTTTGTGTTTGAGAAGGATGTCGTTTTGGTATATAAGGATTCGTTATCTCGTCCTCATAAATGTTCAAATCTTTTTCTCTCCCAAAATGCGATGCAAAAGTCATTTCGTTCTGTTTGATTGCATAATCTACTTGGTTTTCAGAAGGTGTGGTAAATCGCCCACTAGTTTTGTAGGTCGATGTTGGATTGGTTTGTACTCTTAATATCTGAGTACCGTTAGGAGTCCCACTTGCCCTAATTCGCGACTGCGCTTCTTCACGTTTTCTCCTTTGAGAAGAAAGGTAGGATAAAGCAGCAGAAGTTGCGTCGTTCGATCGCGGAGATGTTGGCTTCATGATGTTGTTTTGAGCGGTTTGCGCTGGTGCATCTTCGCCATTCATCAGAGCGTGGAATTTTTCGATAATTTCTTTCACACCACTGGCTGTGCCGCCTACATTATTTTGTCTCACATTTTGTATGGAGGGAGATTGATGAAAGTGGTATCTGGATGCCAGATTGCTGTAACCTAGCGGATTTGTTGAAACGTCAGTGTGGTTCCTATCCGTTGATATAAGAGGCAACAGTCGATTTGGCGTGTCGGAATTACGACTGCTATCTAGACTGGTTCGGTTATGAAAACTAGGAATTCTTTGTGGAAGCGTCGGGCGACCAGCGTAGGTACCCACACCCCTGGTCGATCTTGGACTAGTGTAAAATCCATTAGATGGCAGTGGAGAGCGAGCAGGACTACCCGATCTTGTGCTCATTGACAATGGCGTCGGAGGCGGAGAAGTTTCTGGGAGTTTAACTCGGACCGGTGCAGTAGCATTAGGCAACTGTTTTGATTGTTTTTTACCAATGTGTGGCGATCGCCGCTCCCATTGCATAACAGGCGGTGTTTCAGTATACGGCTTGCGCTCTTTTATAGTTGTGGCTCCGGAATCGCTTTCATTTCTAGACGATAGTCTACGGAATTTGTTCAATTCAGGGCTTTCAGATGTCCCTTTTTCTTCGCCTTTATTAACTTTACTCTGGCCAAATAGGCTTCGTCTCTGAAGCACGTCTCTTGCTCGAGACATGGTTCTCATCAAATCCCGCATTGACGTTGGACCTCGTGATTTACGTTCCGACTTTCCGCTCTTTCCTCCCGGCGTAGATTTCAATTCCAGAGTTTTTGAAGGCGTAGACTCGCTGATTTGCTCATCGATAACATTGTTGATTTTGTCGTGAGTAATATCGTCATTTTGAATTGTATTCTGCTCCTTTGTTTCATTCTGTTCAAATCGTTTTTGTGCTCGTTGCAACCTTTCTAAAGTTCTGTCTATTTCTTGTTTCGATTTTCTGACGCTGGATCGATTAGATGAGGGTGGGGTGCCATTTCTCATCAAATCGTTTTCAATTTTATGGTGCACCATGCTTTGCCCTCTTCCGTCATTCTTATAGTTAGAACTACGCCCGCTTTGACTTGAAGATTCTCCTACGTGCTTGACAATCAAATCATTAACAATAGTTTTATTACAAAAAGTGGACCCGGAAGCGTCTTTTTGTTTTGACTCCAACTGTGGAGTGGATGGTTTCACTGGTCCCTTGAAAAGAGATTCTTTTTTGAACGCTCCATTGAATATGACGTCGTCGGTGACGTCATCAATGTCATTCAGTCCTTCTTCCTCGTCACTGCTTTTGTCAGATTCGATTTCGTGATCGAGGTTGCCATCGCTACCAATGATATCATTATGGCGTTTCTCGCTGGGTTTTATACTTGATTTTTGCTTGTATAATAGGTAATATGTGGCAAGTGCTTCTCCCGGCCTGTTCTTTCGTACGCAGTTCAGAACGTCAGAAAATTCAAATCCGTGTCGTGATGTCATTTCTTTGATAACGTCGGTGTCAATATCTCTTGAAGAGTATATGCTGGTATCGAGGCTGTTCAGTTTGCTGTATGGACTGAAAAATATAAACAGAAACATATTAGTTGGGTAATACTCCCTCATCAACTGTGGTTAATTATGGAATAATACCAAATAAACCCGATCCAACTATTATTAGCTTACCTGCTTTTATGTGCTTTTCCGTTAATACTGATCCAAGACATTTTCTGTACTTGAGATATTGTGGGCCTTATATCAGGATCGGGCACAAGCAATCGGCGAATGAAGTGTCTGAAAAAATAAGGTTTTAGCATACTTAGTAATTAGCTAACTTGAGACTAATACAAATCATTGCTTTTGCACTCCTGTTAGCAAACTTGGGTCTCTGGAAACGTCTTTATGTAGTATAAAATTCCAATTTGTAGCGATTCACTAGTCGCTACCTCCATTTGAAGTACCGTTCATATGGCCTGCCACTAACAGACATCACTTTATGTTAACCGTACCTGCAGTTTCCAGATAAATGAGGTGGAATAGGATTCATGTCTCCCAGGAGCATTTTACGACAAAGCTTTGGAATTCTGAAAGGCTCTACAGTGAATGGTAATTTTCCAACTAGAAGAGCGTACGTAATGATCCCTCTGAAAATAAATTGTTCAAATGAAGTTTAACGTAAAATAGAAGATTAGCAACGCAACGTCACGCGCGAAGTATGCACTGATTGAAAAAGGATTTTATTGTCCGTTAACCGTATCATATCTATACCAAATACGATAATTCAATTCAAAACATTTAAAAACCACCTCGGCGATAAATCCTTATCTCAATATGAACCTGGATTCCCTTTGGATAAGCACCTGGCCGCGGCTGACGCTTTATATTCTATAAAATCCATTTTGAAATTGTAGAATTTCGGATGTCAATATTTGTTTTTCTTATAGTTATAGTTTCTTGAAACCAGTTTCAAATAGCAAATTTTACAAAAAAAATTAAGAGTCAAAATTTAACTTCAGGATCTACGAAAATCACTTGGATATCGCGTGATTGAACGAAAACTCACAAACTATCGGGTATTAAAAAATATATCGGTCAAACATTCCGGTCTTTCTAGTCTCAAGGGTACTCGTGTGTGTACAGCGCCTCACCTATATAGCTAAGGTTAAAGCATGTCAAAAAACTTACATTGACCATACGTCCACTTTTGGTCCATATAAATTCTTTGCTAAAAGTTCCGGAGCGGCGTATGCAGGGCTTCCACATTGAGTAGCCAGAGCCCTAGCTGGATCGTTTGTGGTGACAGCGTTAATTACATTGCTCAAGCCAAAATCAATGATTTTTACTTCACCGCTGTCATCAAGTAATAAATTCTCAACCTTCAAGTCCCTGAAAAATGAAATTATCGTTGTTATTTGGATTCTGGGAGAATTGAATGCCCTTAAATGGATAGGATTGATGGTTAGAAAAGCCTACAAACCAACAGCACTCGCATAGCCTTGCCAGAAGAGTACAAAGATAAGTACGCCAATTTAAAAACATCCAGGCCTACTCTAGAAAGTTACCGGTACTTGTACAGAAGTTTTTTTTAAACAAAAAGTTTCTATTTCCTTAAAAAGATTCCAATGTATTCGAAAATGAAAAAGTGTGACATATTTTGTGTGAAAATGAAAAAGTGTGACATATTTTGTGCGAATATTTCATATTTATACAGCGAACGCACATTTTCAAAAATATTTTTCAGTACATATACGTTTTCAAAATCAAATATTCGCCGATGCGGATGCACAGTTAGAGCCCTAATTACGCTCAGATATTATCTATTTAAGCGGCCATGTTATCCGTCAACCACATACCTAATGTCAAAACTTTATAGTGGTATGTGGGTTACAATTAAATACAATTATAAAGACATAATAAGCGTCGGAAGCAATAATTTGTATAATTTATTGATCGCATATCTGTTTCTGTTTGAAAATTTGAAAATCAAGCCCAAGCCACGCAAATTTCTTCACAACTGGCTATATATGAATGGATATTAAATTATTCTGATCACCCTATTGACATGCGTGATAAAGTATAACAATGCGAGTATTTTTCGAAAAATACGGAGGCAGGTAAAAAACGTTTAAAAAGAAATGTACACATTGGGACATATGGGCAGATGTAATTCATTGTTTGCACAGTGACAGTATAGATAGCGTTGGTAAATGATCTACGTTTTAAGGATTTCAATATCAGTAGAATAAATACCATTCAGTTGAGTATCGAAAATTTCAGGAAAAACAGATTCACAGGTAAATCTTTGACGAAAAACAACATGTTAAATTAAGCCGAAAATTATATACAGAATTCCTAAAATTGATGTGAGGAAAAAAAAACATTACAGTTGACACGACATTTGTGTTGAATGTGATTAACTCCCTCTTCGCAGAAGAGAAGGGCAAAGTAGCCAACAATAAAGCCACACTGAGTATAGCTTGAGTATGTTAACATTCTTTCAAGGTATACACATGATTAAATATGTATATTAGCTGTAAATCTAAACATGTCAAATCATATTTTTGGATAAATATTTCATATAATTCACACAGCTGCATTCGGGCTTATATATTTCAAAAGATTTACGCAAAATAAACCCGTCTAAAAAGAAATCTGCCCGGGATACACATACATATATGTCGATAATGTTTACATAAATGGGTGCGTGAGACCGTCTTCTGAGACGAAATCGTTGTAGTTATGCGGAGAAATATAAATAACATGTCAAATCACCATGTTATACCTTGCTTTGCGTTTTTACATATAGTTAACACATAAAGCACTAGGAAAGAAATTAAATACTACATAATCACACAATAAAAGGAAACAAAAAAAGTTTGGAAGATACAGTCTTATTCGAATAAATAGCGCTTGATGGAAACTTCATAGGAAGAATTCGAAAATTGGATCAAATTTATCTCTATAAGATTATATATTCCAGCAACCGGTACTGGCAAGAAATCATTACTAGTAAACTTGCATAAGGCCCATTTGGGAATAAATCGTACTAATTTGTATTCACGATGCTATAATGACGATATCGGACTTTGTAACGGCTCAACAAAGCCTGAAATTGCTGAGTTTCGTAGTGCGATTACTGAGCTAAGTATAGTCCTTTGGGAGCTTTATAACGCAATTGCACTTACATATCGCTATAAGTTTAGGGGAAATAACATTGGTTGGTAAATAACTCATTTTATAATCAACGACTAGAAACGTTTGAAAATTGAAATCTTTAACAAGAACGTGACTATATATAAGTTATAAGGGTACTCCCGTAGTATGTGTACCAGGTTAGGGTTGGGCCATAATTTTATTTCGATTTTCCTTACTAGTTTTATCACGAGTTCGGGGACTGTCTGTGTTAGCCAAGTCAATATCTCCCCTGCCCATAGGTTTCAGTCTCTTTACACGACTTGATGTAAAAGAGGCGAACAAAATTACTTCTGGGACGCCGTTAAAAGTACTCATTGTTTTTTAAATGACTATCGATAACAATATCGGTCGCCTGTTTTTTCGATCTATCTCTATTTGACGTGTGGAAACGCCCGAGGTACATCAAAATTGTAAACTTAAGAAAGGCGAATTATCATTAAAAAACCAAAATTGGTAGGTACCGAAGAGTATATTACATATTATTACTATCTTTTTTAATATCTTGTATTATAATATGTAATTATCTATTAGTCTTTGCGCCCTTGGTAATTCAACGCAAGAAACGATACTTCATTATAGCTTTTGAAAAAATACAATTTCATAATAATATATTGGAGTAATTCACTATAATCGACAAATGGAAATTTAAAACAACGATAAAACGAGATGATACTTCCTCAATACTGGTCGAAGTATTTGAAGATGCTTTGATGTTTCAGCCTAATTGATTTTGGTAATGTACAAGGCATCGCAAATAAAAATAAAAATAGGCCACTCAAGCCAATGCGGAATTTGTATGTGGAGAACTTTGAATTAGAACTTCATAAGCATTTTCTGCGTCTGGTTTAATATATGATTCAGACAAATGCAAATTATCGATTCACATTATCACGGTATAATTCGATAAAATTTAAAATAATCGCATGGTAATACTAATCATTTGAAGGCCTTGACCGTGCGTACAAGGTATTAATAATGGAGGATCAGTCAATGCCATCTAAAGAGATTCACTATTCTAGATATACCATATAAATATACCAGCACATCGATGTATAATGATATAATAATTTGTCTGCGGTTGTCGATGCATATCGCGCTTAACATTATGATATACTTGCATTATATGGAATTCAGGATTCAGCTCTAATGTTGTAATATGTTAGGATTTAAAAACCAATTCCATATAGCGAGACCCATTACAACGAGCTTACTAATGGTGGTAATAGATCAGATAAATCATTTTTTACGTAACATTAAAATCCTAGAGCGAGTTAGTTAGAATCGATATGTTTTGAACTAACCAACTAATTCAAATTCGTAATATGTATTGTACGGTATTTCTCCCGGCCAGGCGGTCGTTTTATTGTCATCTCATTGTATATTTCTACACTCTGACCCTTTAGAGCCGTTGAAAATTATTATCTTTTCTGAATGACATTCGGGCGGTGAAATTTGAGATCTTCCGTCAGTTAAAATAATTCTAGTAATTGATTCCGGTTTGCATCTAACGAACCTTAAGATGCAAATTGGTTATGTATTTTGCATGCAATCGCCACACACGCGGTTTTTAAATAATTAGACTAACACCGAAGCGATAAATTGTTTTCCTTGCGATTCGGAAGAAATTCTCAATCCATAAACGAGGTGATGGATAATTTTAATAGTAAATAGCAAGTTTATCAACTAGAAATTACAGCAGTTCGCTAAATTTACAAAGAAACAATGGCGCAATATGATTATTTGTTTGTGAGCAAGTTTCCGAGTTCCGGAGTAAATTTGCTCTTTCTTAGAATAGTGTAAATTGTTTATGACGATGAACGCCGTTCTTAAAATTGTTTTACTCATAATTTTTCTGACAATTTAAGTTTTCAGTTTCAGAGAATAAAGAGATGTTATAGCAGACTATTTATAATCATTTGAACGATATAATTTACCTACGAGATGAAATTACATACCATGATTATATAGAAAAATAACGACAAATTTCGTGGTGTTATGATACCATTTGTTCATATTACAAAACCTCAGTTTTACGTTACAAGTGTACAATCCAACATGAACTAACTATGTTTTATGCTTGAGAAAGAATGATATTTCACTTGCGAAAAATATATAGTTTTACACAATCGAATGGTCGCAAATCGCAATGGATGTGGCGCGTTTCGAGCTAAAATGATATTGTCTCTCCAAACACAACTTCTCGTTGTTCAATGTTAGATTCAAGTTCGATCAAAAATGCCTAGTGCTTTGTTTGCAGCATTAGTGCGAAACTTTCCTATTTCAAAATAAGATCACTACTAATAAGAACATAATCACCTGTGAACAATTCCATGGTCGTGAAGATGGGCTACAGCAGAGACCAGTTGTGCAATATATCGTCTGACGTCATTTTCAGGCAAGCAACCCTATTAACAACAAAAATATAACCAGTTGGTTAATAGCCTAATTTAAAATCAAATTGAAAATCGATGTAAGTCAGGCATTTTACTTCTAATGGGCGGGATTTTTAACTGTAACAGTATTTAACTGCAGTGGATTGGTCGCTTGTATTTAAATTTTAGTTTGTTATTTAATTTTATGGTTGCACTAAATAGTGAGCCCGTTGCATCTTTCCTGGGTTTAAAGTCCATTGCAACCACCTCCCTCGAAATGTAAAAAATTGGTAAACATTTGAGTCCTTTCGAAAATAACAGCTCCTTACAGCCACGTACCAGTGAATGTCTGAACAAATCCTTGGTCGAAATGAAGGCGTGAAAACGGCGTATAAAAAGTTCCAAATCTGCTAAATCTCAATAAATTCACCTTATCTGTTACGATGTCAATGAGTTCTCCTCCTCTGCAGAATTCTGTCACAAGGTAGTAATTGTTGTCTGTTTCTAGAATATCGTACACTTGCACGATATTTTTATGTCTGGCCATTTGTAGGATTCTTCCTTCTCTTCGCAGATTCTTGTGAACGTATGCATCCTTTCGAGCGCGAGCTTTGCTCATAACTTTGATGGCGACCTGTGGTGAGAAATACATATAATGCATTAAAAATGATACGACTCGTAAAAGAGTCGCTTAGCATCAGGTTTGGAGACATTTAATCAAAGCAAGATCGCGCGTGCTCACTCAGAAGTGAAGGAGACTTATATCTGAGCACAGTTAGGAGTGACCACTGTAATCCAAGAGCAACAGGAACTAGATATTTATAGTGGTACATTACAAAGTTTGCATGGTGAGGCTTCAACGATGGTTTGGATCAAAAATGTAAGATTGTTTTCACGAGAAGCAGACGAATCTCAAAAGTCGATAACACCTGTGATCTCGTGGGCGAGAAATGTCATGTGAACAAGACTAATGAAATCCTAATAGAATTGAAATCAATAATTGGTTTAAAACGACTTAAAATCAATAGAACGCTAAAATGAAGGTCCTTTTCTGAAAATGACATATGAATAAAATGAATGTTTCTAAAAATTTTTTTAACATATACGCACATTTGAAATATGCCAGAGTTAATATGATAAAGCATCATGCGCTCATTTATTTCTATTTTGTAAATAGCTTTGCATTATTGTTCAATTTGTTTGGAATCGTAATGCCCTTCTTTAGAAAATGACTACCACGAAGAATAATGTTATTGCAATAAATGGTTTCCTATATAATGCCAGTGTCGGAATATTAGAATCGGCAATGCAACGATGATAACCTTTACCGGGTCGTCCTTTGACATTTGACACTTGACCCGATATTTATGAAAGAGGACTTATGTTTTAACCGTTGTTAACGTTGTGATAGCCTCAGTAAAAGTATTTCTTTTGAGTCGAAGAGTCGCCCGGTATAGTCATTTCAAAAAGACTTTCAAGTCGATATTCACTCGCCAATGGTTGACCAAACATGAAAGAATTGATATCCATGTATGTACAAACGCAAACACGTCATACGTTATGCACATTATTTTACTATGCTTGCAACAGCTGTACGTTCTAATCCCAGAGAGCTGTATCGATTTACGTAATAACTTCGTCGATACGTGGCTACGTCGTACATCATAAGGACGCTAATGAGCAAACGGTAATAAAAATATAAATAAAAACGACAAACTGGCCTAATTATGGCTTTGAATGATAGAAATTAGAACGGGTTAAATAATTTTAATATTTATCAAATTGTATACGAAAATAAATTTATGAATTGCTGTTTTATCAATGATTCATGAAATTAGAATCTTTTTGTTCGCAGTGGGAGCCACATAAAAAGATGAGAACTGGAATTGATTACGTGTTTTAAATAATTTTATAATAAAAAAAACTCATTTGGATAAAAATAACTCTCTAATCGATATGAAATAATTAAGCCTCAGTTGATTTTGAATTCATCACTACAGATGGAGTTACAGATAATCAATTTGGCCACATCAACTTTTGAAAGTTTATTTTTATCTAATAATGAGATTCGAAGGACCGTTGCCATTATATTTGATTATATATCTCTAATACGAGCTCTTCTTTTATAACTTTCGCATGCGTTTTGGAATATATCTGTTTTTCATTATGAAACTCATTCAGACGCAAAACTAGTTTTAACCGGTTATAACCAGTGCGTGATATATTCGAATGGCAGCTAACTTGTTGATTCGATTTTATTTTATTTTGCGGAAGAACAAAATTGGCACAAATAAGTTTGTATACTTACTTCCTCAGCAGTTTGAACATGCAGTCCCAATCTGACTTTTGCAAACGATCCTTCGCCAACACTCTTTCCCAAAAGATAGTCCGCTACTCTTTTGTGGTGAGAAAAATTGGCAACTTTTTCTTGTCTAGCCATTGCTACTTCATCTAGTTCACCTTTGACCTCGCATCCGTTGATAAGATTGTTGTTTATCCCGGTAACTATAAAAATTATTAAAAATAAAAATGAATTAGAAATACAAAAGAGATATACAACTCCATTTCTGTATGTAAAGGATCGAATATCCACAAACGATTGGTATATAATAATGTTATTAAATGATAAAACAATCAAAAAAATATCTGATTATGAACTCTTGGGTTCAGAAGTTGCCTTAGTGCATCTGAGCACATTTAAAGTTTATATTCGCCGTCATTCGTTCGTGCGTAAATAAATTTGTCAAGCAATTCAGACAGACGATCATTTTCAAGTACTCGTTGATAAGATTTTACATGACTAAGAGTTCGGAATTTTAACCAATTTCCATTACTGCTTTGATAAACCTAAGAGTTCAGTATGTCTAAATGTCACAACAAAGAGTTCTAGTCGTTCGTCAATGCTATCTATTAAAGGTCGATATTTTGATAAACAAAACATTTTTTTAACAGTCTAATGCTGTAATTTTCAATGACACGCACTATCTGACTAATAGAGCATAGCTCATTCATGCTAAAAAATCTATCTCATGTAACTGATCAAACATGATTGGACCAAACTAACTCACGAACATGAACTATCCCACGATCTGATAAAAATCGTACAAAGATAACATAACAATCATAAGATTTAATCGCTGATAAACTTCACAAACAATAAACAAACCTTATTATTACTGACCAATGTAAAAACTAAACGCGGCCTGTACATGAAATATATATAAAATTGCTCAACTTTTTTACGAGAATGCGTGGCCTTTCCATAGCTACCGTAACTATTTGTCGTGTTTTATGATCAGAAATTACGGGATTTTGAAAGCAATCTATCGCGTTTTAAAATCCTGTACAGTACGCGAATTTACTACAAAGGCCGACGCAATTACGCTTTGGGCGGTTGCCTTGGCACCAAAAGGTAAACAACAGTCGTGGGATAATATTTCTCCAACGACGATCAATCACATTTGAATAAATACAGTAGCTTATACATTGATTGGTGATAAATTGGACGAATATTTGCTCTTTGCTCAATCTATGCCCTATTGCCCTAGTCTCATATTTTATGTACACAAAAAGGGCGTGAAAATTCAATACCCATTTTAATAGCAAATTGCGATACATCTTCGGTTCTTATATAGGTCAGGGGACCGCGAAGCTGTACAATAGTTAAATTCAATATTAAAACTATGTTTTGCATAAATCTATGATTATATAAAATAAAAAGTTAATACCCTTGACAAGCAGTATTACTTATTTTTTGTGAGATGTATGGCTGATTGTGAGCAAAAGCTAAATGAAATCTGTTCGATGTTTTGAAATATTCCGGTATATGATTGTTAATGACATTCCCCCTCCCTATTTCTCAGACACTCTTCCTTTGGGAGTAAATATAATATCAGACTAACGTATTATTTCATTTTAGTCTTTTATTTGCCGATACTATTGTTGGACGTAGCGGGTGGCATCGGTCTAGTTTTCAATTTTCTATCAATTAAGATACTACTCCCACGACGCTTGAAGGCTGTTCCCGACGGGGAGCCTGCGCTTCATTATAGCTACCGCGTAGCGTCGACGTTTATCAGGCGCCTTGCCAAATCAATCACCAACAAAGTATAGCTTGGTTGTATTTAGTCATTTTCATTTCATTATTTTCAATTGAATGTTATATGACGTATTCTCGAGCGAACTGGGTTACTGATCAGGCGATGCACACTGCGTGCAATCAGCAGGTGTTTCCGTTAGTTGATCAAATTCGCGGCAACGAATATTGTCTCAATCTTAATCCGATTTCGTTTGAAGTCTACCAAAAATTTCGAATAGTGTAGTGTTCATCACTTCAAAATCGTAATTTATGCCTCAATCATTATCTTTCGATGTCGATTACTTTTCACTAGGCGACCACGTATTAGTGGTGCAATTCATAGTGATTTCAAATATGACGTACACCAAACTTTATGTTGAAAAATAGCTCTTTCCTTGTTGTTCTCTATATTATTAAATGGAAAACCAGACAATAAAAAATGATTGACTGCTTTTAAAACTGCTTGTATGATAAATTGAGCTTATATCTGGATTATTAAAATCTCACGATTATGAAACATCCGTCCGTATAAATGATCGATAAGTTGGAATTCTTTAATGATATTAATCATGTTATCAAACTTGACAAAGCTTTAAAATATAAGCATGTGACAACGCCACAATAATAAGTATGCTATTAAATTGCCGCCCACATGAAGCTTGTTATTTATCAGAAAGTTAGTACTCCACATTTCATAAAATTCTAATTGAATCCTACGCTCATAAATATTTGGAACTGAGCATGTGGTTTGTTTCACTTATGTAAAAAATATGATTTAATATTATGAGTCGTTTTTCAATCTGTAATTGCACCCAAACAACTTCATCTTTTATATTTTGTAAATAAACTGGATTTATGAAATTTACCAATTTGGGATCATATATGTACTTCTACTCCGGGAATCGAAATAGTAATTTACGTATGACAGGTTGATATATATATCGAAATGGCCGTTCTGATATATATATATACATATAAGGTATTTTCTACATTGCGCTTTCTTAGCACATTCTTATAACACAACAAGACTTTATTTACTTCTCAGACGGATAATGGAACCTCAAGTATATCTTATCTACCACATACCGGTTTTGTAATCATATCTGCGCAATAAGGATGATTTCACGTATATAATATGCAGCCATAGGCTAAATAATATTCGGAATAATATTTTAGCATCGAAAATGTAACGTATTTCCAATGTTTGCTGCAGCTAAAATCTTGGATTGAAGCATAATTTTCACAAAAAGAGGATAGAACATATATACTTGTTTGAATGAAATGTAAAAAACATTGCGCCAATTGCTATTGCAACCAAACCTGTAAAGTTTTACACTACCATCCACCTACCGGTACGTCGCCTCCGTTTTCGTTCTTCATTTGGCTTGATATCATGTGCCGGTAGCCTCATTTTGTACGCAACCGTCTTATTACTGTTTGCACCTTGGTTTAGTTTTCTGGTATGAATTATATCCGTGTGAATAGCTTTAGCTGTAAACACTGTGCTCTTCTCTATATAGATACCATATCCTCTATGTCGTCAATGTTGTACTAGTAAATAATAAATACCTCTGCGTATGGGACAAGAATAAATAAATAATTTAGGTGTTAGTTAATTATACATTACACGCTCGTATATTTGGCCTGTCTGAGGCGAGCTTGAAAATTTGGTAAAGAACTATGGATGGTTATATATGTGTCTGCGGTTTAGTTTTTGAACGATAACACCTTTTTGAGAAAATCAAACGAAATCCATGTGTAGACTGATACGTAAGACGTTATACGCCGATACTTCCTCGTGGACTAGTTAACACCTTCAATCGGAGCCTTTGTATTGATTTATCTGCAATAAAACTAACGCTGACGACCTTGTTGCAATTTTTATTCCTTCAATAAAGAATTTTGCAAAATAAAATTTCAGGCCGAACTTTGAACAATAACGAATATCATCCATTAAACTGAAAAGTACTGGGATATCGTAAATACTGAAATAAAAGATTCTATAAATCTATGTTATCCTGTTATGCCGATAAAGTATTTGCCTCTGTAGTGGTCAATGAGCGTATACTCACTATTTAATCCTAGTCTATAATAATATTGAACTATCAGTTGGGGTTGCGTGAAACTAACCAACTTTTCTTGTTCTACGCCTTTGCGCAAGGTGGTCCGGTCCGTATACGTAAAAGGCAAGGATACTGTGGCAATAATAAAGATAACTATTCAATTCAAGAGTCTTGCTGCACACCAACACAAATGTGTTCATCTATAAAATTAAGCCGCAATTTCAAATAATAAAATTATTTTATTGACACGCATTCGAGGTACCCGACGACTTATCTCAATGGGCCCTGTGCGCAAATGAGTGAAATCTTCGACGAACCGTCCCACTGCTGATTAACAGTTGCCCGACCATCCCCAGGGCGAAATATGAAAGCGCCGTTCTTCAATTCTATCTAATTATATATTCCAAGGCCATAATTATAAGTGCTTATGAAACGGGAAACAAGCTTCGACAAAAGACTAAGCCCATAGTGCCAGAAACGCTGCGGGGAAATAATTATAAACTCTTACCGACAATGTCTGTACTTTTAGGTTTCGAGTAAGTGTCGCGACTGAAAAACTTAACAAAGCCCGTTTCTCTTAAAACAAAGCACTTCAGTTGAACAAAAAAATGGACTTTTGTATCCTATACTTATTTAGTTACGGAGTAATTCTCGTTTTACCGTTAGATTTACGCCACAGTCCTGCAAACAGCGATAAAATTTTCTCAATTAACCGTTTTAAACAAAATTTACTTCAAATTCAAATTGTTTTTCTTTTCACTAGTTCTCGTTTTCATTTGATGCTAACAATTAAAATTGAAGTATTGGATCAATGAATAGCCGTCTCTTTCTCTCTCAATAAATCATTACCGAAGGATGGGCGGTTGTTAAAAATCGTTTAAATTAAATTGAAAATAAACTTCGATTTCCAGGGCTTAGTTTAAATAAATTATTGACATGAGCTTACGCTCGTCACCTCGTCAGAACCTAACTTTGTTACATATTAATGAACCAACCTTAATTAACTATTGAACGCGGTGGAAATCAGGATTGAAATTAGAAATGAAAATAGAATTTTAGTTTCGTGCGTGAAAAACGCAAATGGAACATATAGTTGGTTGAATTAAATTATATATATATATATATATGATATTTAAATTGTATTTTGTAAACATAATCACTACCAATCGATAAGCCCGATGTCAAATCATATGAGACGCTAAGTATTACAACAGTAAAAGAAACACCACAACTTATTATTCAAACTGTTTCTTTTTATATAAAGGCGTAAAGTGCTCATACTATCTAATACCTCAAGAATTTATCTATTAATTCTTCGTTTCTCAACGCATACCGAAATATGGTGGTTTATGAAGACCGAAGCATGACAATATGCCTACATGTAGATAAATTGCTGAAATACAAATTCGATAATCTCGTTGGCCTTTATTAATACGCGTAATCTCTCTAAGTTAAAAGTATAATTGTATCTACGTTTTTTGGCATATTTTTTGCCTCTTTTTGCTCGTAATTCGTTAAAACCAAGCTTCCCCATACAAACGAATCTGCGCTAAACGCAGCTTAGACATAACATAAATAAATATTGCGATTCTTAATCCTTTGTTGCAATTTTAAAGAAATATGATAAGCTCTCGATTTTGTTGTTAATGATAGAGCATGAGGCATAGCTAGAACTTGCTACTAATATACGGGCATTCTTTGGCTCTTTTTCGATAGAGTTCTAACTGTAATTCGATTCACCGAACGGCTAACTTAAGCCGATAACTAGTCGCTACAGACGACGGTTTTATGACGTCACGCCCGTCGGGTCGCTAACGACGGCGATCAATATGTTCTTATAGCTCGGAGCTATAATTAAAAAGCAAACTTGTTAACCTAAAGCATCGCGACCGAGTTTTAATAATCATAAAGTTATACGAGTACCTAATTCCCAGCAGGCAATGGGTTAATCGATCATTTACCTGTAGCGATACATGACCTCGCGTTTCCCATGAAATTATAAGCGCGACGGGATGTGGAGACTAACAGGGTTAACGAGATATAACAATATGGCCGAAACGGGCATTAATTACCATATATGAACAATAGTCGATGCGGGGTTTATAAAAACGTTTCTGAAACTTTTTATACAACGATATTATCCGTATTTCCGAAAGAAAGAGGTAATTCCGCTAGTCGCTGTTTGCGGAGGCGTGGGTGTTTCTAAAATGTATTTAATCTAAAGTTCTTTGTATCAGTCACAAGTTTATCAGACTTGCACGAGTCTATATCACGTGATTAATATTCCAATACGATTTCCATCTAATATGACGTCATTGCAAGTTGGCGACATTAAAATGAAACGAACGATTAAGCGATTGTGGGTGGGATATTCCGCGACTTAATCATCGTCAAACAAAGAGGTTGGAACAATTTATGACGGTAGTTATGTTGTAAATTCATGAACGGGAGAAAACCGCAAAATTAATAAAATTTCTCGGGGAGAATTGTCAATGTCAAGATTTTAAATTTTTTTCATTAATATCAAATTTGAATTATGAAGATTGTAATATTAGAAATATACGACATTGAAATATTGAAATGTGTTTTCCTGCTTATTTTTTTTTCACTTTGCTATAATTCCATATTAACAGTATTAAATGAGATCTATACACACTAAATTTCACTTTCTAGCGATAAAATTCACCTCCAAAGCTTTCCAGACGGGTATTTAATTTTTCTTATCAATAATAAATCAAGATCATTATTTTTGTTTGAAATTTCAGTTAAAATTTTGTTATTTTCGTAAACTGCTGAGGCAATATTACATCGATAATCCTATATTTTTTTTCATACCGATATACATTGTTACGACGTTATTTCAAAGGACATCTTGTAGTGAAACGTGAATGCAATACTTGATTACTGTTGGATATTCGTTTAGAAAACATGAGATAATAGTGAGAATAATATTAACTTAGAAAGAATCACTCAAACTGATAAAAATAACCAAAAAATTCAGTGTGAAAATTCCACGGCGCTGCATGATATTTCAGTCGGAATTTTTTCAATTTTGATTAATTTTTGTCCCGGGCAGCAGATTTGTTACTCGGCAAATAAGACCCGAATTCCTCAATGGTTAAATGGTGTTTGTGGGTATTTACGATGTCGTATAGGACGATAACTTCACGTATGATAAGGTCAGGTATTTCCAGTTTAAAATGTTCGCATATGTTATGCTATTGATGGCAGTAAATCATTTTATAGTCGTACATTAATAGTCTTAAAATATCTTGTATGAATATTGTACACGGCGACAACATCAGTCATACGAACTTTCTAAAACACGCCATTCCCATCTTTCCATAGTTGGGCATTAGTTAAATTCATTGAATTCGAGTTGACATCGAGGCCCACGTACGGCACATAAAAATTTTGACGACTAATTTTGTGTAGACAGATAGAATATTAAAGTTTGAGATTATTATTTGAACAGACGGTGTGGCTTATTTGAAGATTGACAAAGTTAGCATCGTGTCTTCCTTAACTACAAGACTCAGCAAACAGTCTAATAAAACGATCTTTGTGCTCTGGTTGCGTTTCATAGAATTTTGAATGAATAAATTCCTCTACGCAATTGTAAAATATATCTCGTGAGTCGTGACCTCGAATTTTTAGGAAATATTAAAAAAGACTAGGTTTCCATTTATATTAAACATGGATATCAATAGCCAGTCGTGTATAAGACTCTGTAGTCTAGTAGATACACAATTCCAGTATCAATAATAAGCCTTCGTATAATTTCAGGCTTATACAAAGTCGAACCTCATTCTTTATTACTAAAAGTATATCATTTGGTAGGCATTTTCACTCGACTAGTTACGATGTCAGGATGTTATATTCTTTCATGAAAATTTGTAAAATCATCTTAATTGCGTCCCGTTTTCTCAAAGGTCCAAAATGTTAAATCATACCAATAAAATCCTCTATATACGCACTGCTTGCAAGAGGACTAAGCAACACTCAACTCATACGCATCTCATTTCCTACTAAAGATTCTGACTAGCTGCGCGTTATTCACTTTCCCTGTCCTGAATGCGCAAAAATCGCGTACAATTAATTTAACATCAACTCAGGAGTACTGTCATGGGGCCAATTAAATGCGGTAATCCTCCGAATAAATATGTCAATACCAGATAATCTGAAGATATCCCCTCTACTTTAAAAGATTGTCGTTTATGACAAGGCGTGAAAAAGGCTTTACCGACGACAGCCGTATTCCCGAGTCTTAACGATTTCCATATACAGTATGATGACTATTATACTCAGCCTTTATAAAGCCTAATCTGCAAAACGCATTAACTTCAACAAGGCTACATAAGCTACAGTTCTTAATGAACGAGCACACGCTATGAAGAGGGGCAGACAGATTAAATAAACAGAGTGATGCGAAAAGTACATCGGAGAGGTTGGAACACATTAGCACTCACTTGACGTGGTTACTTCGGCAGCTAATGTACCCGTCTTCCTCATTTTCAATCTTAAAAGCTGTTATCAAATTATCACTATATTGAAAAACAGATTCTGTATAAATCCAACCTTTGATTTAGCTTGCAACATAATCAATTGAAATGAGTGTTGCAAGAACTACATCGATGTACACCATTACATTCCTCAAATACGCCTTAGTATAGATTGGACGGTCTGTTTTAAAATGCCTTATCACCTCATAGGAGGTTCCAATTTTAGAAACGTTCAATTTAACGATAAGGTAATGGACGAGTTATCTTGCTAACGTAGGATGTGCATGTTACGCTAGTTACATAACGGAAGACCTTCCGCAGATAAGTTTCTATTGGTGGAATTCGTTAAGAATTTATATGTTGCACAGCCCCAACGGAAATTTATTCACAATTATCTGAAAAGAGGTCTTTTATCTAAATGGCTGATACCGGTTTCATTGTACCGGTAGGCGGTAGCGTGTCCATTTTATAGAATGGAATCGGGTTAGCAAGTCTTAGTGAGGAGCGACAAGTCATTTCTTAAGGTTCAGGTACGGTGACCTTGCTCCATGGCTACACATGTCGGCATATATCGTTGAGCAACAAATTAATAAAACACATCCATCATACTAACTTGAGTTAAATCACGTTATCAAGGGAAGTGGGTAGCTCAATGACTCTTGATAACCAAGGCTCTGTGTATGACTAATTCAAATACATATACCATATTTCAGCAGCTGTTACTACAAAAACAATTGTCATTTCTCTTCACACCTGCGTATAACCGACAAAATCCTAGAATTCCCCCAAATCTTATAACACTGATGAAAAGCTTACATGTCACATCTAACCAACTAATTCTCAAACTGTTCCATATAGCCAGGCCAAACCTTCCGCCTTCTACACACACGAATAAACTACATAACAGCCCGCGGGAGAACCATCACACGATGATAGACAAACATTGACATCCTGTTTGTTTATTCTAACATGAGAAAGCGAGTTTCTCGACCTCGTAAATTCGCGTAATATACGAAGATAGCTTCACTGTATGTATATTCATTTCAAAATAGAAGATTCCGTGTGAATCATGTACGGGGTACCTCACAAAGGTAACAGGATATTATAGAAAGCATCTTTCGACATAAAACGCGAGATGAACGAAAATGCGCTCATATTGTACAAGGTCACGTTTCTCGTTCAACGCTATCTTATCGCATCGGCCTCACCATCTGCTCTGCGATTAGAAATATTGCGTTCAAATGCAAACACAAAGCGCGCAGATATTAGTATTATAAATCATATCGTAAGTAATATTCTACTTTCCAAATATATAACTCCATAACCATGGAAGTTTGTTTACACTCCCAATTACCAATCTAAATCTCTCGGTTTATAGAGATTGTATACACAATCGGCAGAACAGGCAATTTTAGTTTCTAGTCGTAATTCAATTCCAATATCCTAATGCGGATGCCATATAAAGCCGGAAATGAAAATATTGTGGGGATTATTATTCGTGGGAATATTATCAATGAAAATTTGGTTTCAGTGGGCCTGTGTCAAGGCGACTTCGCTGCTGACGTGCCGACTAAGCAATCGGTATACTATATTTACTGCCGCCTAAGCAACCGCATAAGCAAGGATTTTTCAATTGGCTTGGGCGGAGTTTTATTTTCACCCGATTACTATTTAAAAGGGTATAGAGCAGACATGGGTAAAGTAGGGACCGCGGGTCAAATCAGGCCCGTTGGGTAATTCGATCTGACCCGCCTCATGCTGCCACAACAATACTGAAACCAAATTTTGATGTTTTAGGTAAAAATAGCTCAAGGAATTTGTTGAAATTGCGGTTAAATTTAGTTTTGGCACGAGGCTTATTGTTTTCCACTGTTGCTTGTGTAACACATAACACATTGTTCATAAAATGTAACTTTTTACGTCATACTCACATGGCCCGCCAGTCCATGTGGGCAAAATTTTTGGCCCCTGATCGAAAAACCGTGCCCACCTCTGGTATAGAGCGAACGGTTACACGAAAGTTTGGATAGCTGCCACCCAGTTATTACATCATTTGAAATTGGGTCAAAACTGTGATACCTGATGAGAGGTATAAATTTAAAAATTGGCTCAAATGTTCATAATTAAAAAACGCAGTGCAGTATCCGGCTATGACGAGGACGTGTTTAAATGTCGATATTTTCATGAAATTTATTCGTGGACGCGATCCAGACCTGAAAGCTTTTGTTTAACGCTCATGTAGATAGAAACATCAAGGTTACAATGCGATTTGGTTGTGTTTTCAAAGCGATTGTGTTTTCAAAGCGATGAGCTACGACTGCCCTAAACAAGACGATGGGCTTCAATCCAACGAGTCCATTCATTCACCAGAAACCTAAATAAGTTTCAGACCACACTGATTTCGACTTCACTCAGTTGTCACTCGCAATTGCGGCATTTTTGACTCAATGGTGGACTTTTGAGACTGATTTAATTATAATTTTAAATAACAAAAAACTTACAGCTCTTTCGGAATACTTCATCTTTTTCTTCCAAATCATCGATCTCGAAAATGCATTCCATCGTATTTGTATTCCTCACGCGACGAAGTTGGCTTGGACAATGAACACCAACTGTTGACCATGCCGCATTATGAAATTTTGTTACACTAACTAAAACAACAAGGCATAAATTTGTGAATTGTATCCGAGTTCGACGGAGTCCATTCACTTCGTCGAATATGGGTGCTATTAACAAAGTAGTGCGATTCACAAGAGTTCAATAATATTTCTATCATTGAATATTCATTCAAATATGATACTTAACTAAAGTGACCCGCACATGAGGTAATAGAGAACTCAATCTAGCACAAACGACCTCTCAGAAATAATAAATACTGGTAATTTTTTGTAAATTACTATTAATATACTGCTGTTTTTTAAAAGTCTTCTACGATTGTCGCTATTATTTGCGACCAGTATATCACACATTGTTACGAATGAGTTGTAATGCTTCCAGTAAAAACAAAATATTGCATGGAATTAATTACCACCTAATTTATGCTGTTGGTAAGAGCCATTTGAATGAAAAGTACCTGAGAGTAAAGTAGATTTACATCATTTTAAAGTACTCGGCGGAAGCTCAAAATTTAGACCACTTCATAATTCTTGTTGACGTAAACAAATCATTGTTTATTCGAAGTTGTGGGTTTCTAGTCCACCGGGTCGAGAGCGATTGTTATTGGTAGGGAATTTTTCTAATGTTCATAATAAACGGGTCACTGGATATTGTTGGTAAGTTTTAAAATACTGATCACAAGCACGATTATACGAGTATATATTCCTAAGGATAATTCTCAATCTGAGAATAGCTCCGATTGTTTTGCGCCAACGTCATATAGAATAGTACAAGACCAAGTGTGTAAGCGTCTATGGCACCTTTATTTGTCGATATCTCCTTCTATTTGGTTTCGATTCAAAATGGCACGAATGACTCGTTCGAAAGGGCTGGCAGAGCGCATTCCAGGAAAATAAACAAATCGTTTGTATATATCACATATTTGTATACTACATCACTCGAAAAATAGTTTTACTTCAATTTTTCCATTCATCTCTAAAAAATACAGCACGGGTCACTCAAAATGCTTCGGGCCACGGGTTGGACGACCCTGCTTTAGATTAAAAAGCATTTTTGAGAACAATTTGCAAAACTTCGCTTTGAATCTAACGTGAAATTGCGTTGTAATCAAATTGGAAGTCACCCAGACCTACGTGTATCATTTGATTGTAGAGTTGAAGATTGGCAATGACAAAGATTGAAACGGAAGCTCAACATTCATTTAGAGTCTTATGATGTCATATTTTGTTAAAGGGACAATAAAATTGTGCATATCCACGATCGTCAATGTAATTTGAACTTCACTTCAGCATGTAGTAAGATATTCATCTCTATACCGGCACCTAGCGATATCGTTGTCCCGCAGGTCATTCGACATATAGCTCCAACAGACACTTTTACATAGAGCAGTTCTATCAGTACCTTTCCCACTTTTAGTTGAGGGATCATGACCATTCCCTGAACAAACATGTATGAAAAACTATGCCTAAGAGGTTCATCACGTGAACGACAAATTTGGTCCACTTCAGGATTATATCAGACCTGTTCGGACTCGGAAGTTTTATCCAAATCGTTATAAAAACATAATCGCAGCCAAGTTCATTCATATCAAGATAACAAGTAAAATCTGTCACTGCCGTTTTTTGTCGGATTTGTCAACGTGCACGAAACGCATATATACAGAAAATACTATTTTTCTGGATGAAATGTATGAATTAGGAACATTCGAGTTCAAATTTAACTTGAGTTTGTCAGGCTAGAAAAATATTCAGTCTTAATAGGGGAAGCAATAAATCCGAGTCTCTTAGAAGCAACGTATGCGTTTACGCCGGTACGACGCAAACTGCAGTTCCACAATTGTACATGATTTAATCAAGGAATTACACTTTATACAATAAATCTAACTTGTATTGTGCTAAAATTAGAAAAGTTTTTCATGCCAATAAATAAAATGAAAAAAAAACAAATTAAACATCGCTATTGTACCTCCAGTATCACAATACGTATATTAGAAGCGAAGCACATTTATAGTGTAATGGCCATATTATATGATTGACTATAATGATACAGCGAAGAATCAATATTAATTGAAAAACGAGTTTTGTACTCTGAAAAATGATTACATTTTTATGTTTTAAAAAAAGTTTTCTTCAAAATGTTGAAAGATGATTTTTTTACTGATGTTCGCAAGGATCTCCACAGATGGTTCGACTTATTTCTCTCGCAAATTCAGGAGTCAGTGTTCCAAATCCATATTCTGCCAAGGATAGTCTTGATTCTGATCCAGCAATATCCATCAATTGATCGTAGTCAAGATTTCCATTTCCTGGCGTGATTCCGAGGGCAAATGTCTAAATAGGAGAATAAGTATTAAAGACGGTGAGGATCATTCTGAGCATATTGGTTCAATCGGGGATGAATATTTCCTTCTTCGTATCGGAGGTCATTGAGCGCTATTGACCTGCTATATATACAGAGGGTTTGATTCTTAGGGCTGCTAAACAAGAGGTATATGCCAGTCAAGTGCAATGTATTATGCGAAGACTCGTTATATATATAATTAAAAATGCCTCCATTCTAAATAAAAAATGGTGACAAATATGCCAAGATATATGTGAAGTTTTGTTACAAAAATCCTGAACTATTAAATTGCCAACACGGTTGCAGAACAACTTACCAGAACTCCAGATCTTCGCAATTCTTCTGCAGGTTCTTTCACGCTGTCTTGTGATCTTCCGTCAGTAATTACGAGCACAACATCCGGGGCATTTTCTCGATTTCCGTATTCGGGCTTGAGCATGTGTTCATGAACGTATGAGATTGCTTGGCCAGTCCAGGTACCTAAATCAATATGAATTATTCTCAGTAATGTTAATAATAAAAATGAATTTTACTAAAAAGTTGAAGCCGCTCCTCATAAGCATAACAAATTTTAAAATAAAACTAAATTTGGACATTTTTTACGTTAAATATTTTCAGCCGTTTTCAAGTTCATTTAGTAACAACAAAGTTAATTTAAATTTTACCCTGTCCATTGTATGGTAATTTTGATACTAGTTGTTTCAGCATAGTTACATTTCCAGGGCATTCATTCAAGTTAATTCTTGTTTTCGTGTCGACTTTTCTATTGTATCGAACAACTCCAAAATTCATGGCGTCTGGTTGCACAATAAACAAGCTGCAAAGTCATTGAATTAAATTTAATTCATATCAACACATTTTACAGAATATTGTGAAAATAATTTGGCACCAGTAGCCGAGAAATATTCCTGGACATGAAAATCTATTTGTTTTATTTGGCAAACAGTTAGTTGAGTAGTTAGAATAGTTTCGAAGCGATCCCGTCAAAACGACTCATTAAATTCTAGTACTATTGTAATGAAATGAAAGTACTTTTTAACAGATTCTGAAGTCTAAATTACGGAAAATTTTCAAATTTTTTAACAAAGAAATACCAAGCGAAAGAATATCATCTTCATAGAGAATCAGATTTCATATAGAATTACAATCATATAGAATAATTATTTACTACTATGGGGATAGGCATATATATATATATCAATTTTGTCCTCAGATACTCACTCAAATATGCTATTTACAAACTTCAACATCACTTTCCAGCTGGATGCCCCAATGGAAGACGAAGAATCCAGAATAACAATAAGATCCATGAGAGCGTAAGGAGGACATGAACCTGTATTCAAAATAATATGGAAGTACTTCGGCACTTCGAGTTTTATGAATAATAACTGCGTCGGATACACCAACACAATTAATGCGAATTAAAATCAATCTTATAAATATTTCCAGTCCACAAAAAATCTGTCCTATACAAAATTGCGAATAAAATTGAACACGCGCCTTTACTTGGTAAATGTGCATACATAGGTTTGATTTGTATTTAATATAATGAATTATAAAAATGAATCTTATACTTACGAGCACAACATGGGGGCTTGGCAGACCACATAGCGTCATACTTGCATTTTATCGAGTCTCTTCTTCCCGGATATAAACTGTAGCCATCTCCGGTACATTGAAATTTACATTCCGAGTTTACCTTGTGTCCATCTGTACAGTTTACTTCTCCAAACTTGAGATTCCTCAGTACAGGACATGTGATTACTAAATGGAAATAGTAGAACAGAAAATATGTTTTTAATGTGTCGAGTAGGAACTGTTTCGATGCGGATAAATAACCTACATTCACAGACTGGTGCTTGGGTTTTCCATTTCATATATCCGTTAGAATCTTCTTCACAAATAGTTTGTGTATCTCCTACTAATGTGTGAGTTTCATCGCATCCATACACGCATTTGGATCCAATATATTTATCATCAGTACAGTCGATGAAGCCGTTGTCTGGTATTTGTATGGCATCACACTTTTTTTCTGCAAAAAGTCAAATGTCACTTCTTTATCAAAAAAAAATTGCAAAACAACATAATTATTTATTATTTTGAAGGAATTTTTTGTTTAAATGAGTTGAATATATTATCAACAATGAACAAGAAATTTTAAAATCAAATACCAGACCAGGATTGCCCAAACTATAACTTAGAATCTGGCAACTATCATCGAACCGAACGAAAGTACCGTGTGATTGCTTTCTTTGCTTGTCGAGATATAACAGGATTTCCAATTAGTCATTTTATTTAAAGGTTGATGGGGAATATCATTGTTGTTATGGGTATTGATTGAACTTTAAAAATTAGTTGGTAGTTCTTACTTTCACAATATGGCGATTCGAAATCCCATTTAGGTTTGGGGTTGACTTCTTCCGACAGTTCACACATAATGTAAGACGGTCCAATTCGTTTATAATCATCATAACATGTGAAAGTACATACTGATCCGTAAAACTTCTTATCTGAACAAGACATGCTTCCGTGTGCCGGAATTTTAGGCATGTACGAACATTCCTTCCCTGGAATAAAAAGTATTCAGTTGAATTGACCGTCGAGAGTTGAATTCGAGTTTGTGAGAAAACGGGAAGGTAGTACATATATATTTTTGCCGTTGACTGGTGCCTACCTACATCGTAGCTGTACGTCAACATATCATAAATGTGTAATTGAAGGCAAATTAATTTCATGCTTGATTTTAGTAAATTATATTGTGTCCAGCGATAAATTAGCTGAAATTTTGACCGAAACTGTATATTTTTCATGTTTCTGCATGAAGATTGATCACAGTTTTATACTTACTATTGTAATTACTATAACATAGAGTGGCAATATACTTACTTATGCATTCGGGATATTCATTATCCCATTTTAACATATGTGTTTCATACTCTTCCATACATGTTGATATTTCAGAACCAACAATATCGTAAGCATGTCCACAACTAAATTGGCAAACCGATCCTAAAAATTTCATGTCACTGCAGATAACAAATCCATTTGTTGGCGCTTTCGGATTGGATGAACATTCTTTTCCTGGTAAACAGCAACAAAATAAATGGAAATTAGATAGGCTACATATAAAAAATATGCAAACGAAGCTCACGTTGTTGCAGTCTTTTTATGTCATCAATTCAATTAAAACACGGAGATATGCAAACGAATACAGCTTACTTATACATTCGGGAGCAGCTCTGTCCCAAGATAGCTTCCCATTTCCATCTTCTGAACAGGTTGTGAGCTGGTTTCCATTTCTGTGATAATCCTTCTCACAAGTGAACTCACATACCGAGCCTAGAAAATCTTTTTCTGAACATTTCAGCTCTCCGTTCAGTGGGGCATCTGGCGGGTTGCCACAGCGTTTTCCTAAACAATACAATTTTGAAAAAACATTCAGATGAATATTACTGTCGGAGAAACAAAGTCAGTAATAGATGTAAGTTTCACCAAACATCGACTTCCTCGAGCATTTCCCCAGCAATGGATAATCTACAAGACATTGACAGTGACGTACAAATTGCAATTTATAATTTGCCCAGACACCTTTTTACACTCCAGCACTCAGACTCTCGTGCATGATAATAAACATGGATATTTTTTGTAGTTTCGAACTTCATCTCTCAGTTTGAGCCCGCTATGGTTTACAAAAGAGTTTTAATTTAGTTGCAATAATCGAAAACGTGGTTTTAAATTTAGTTGACGCCACTTTTATAGATAGGCTGCTTGAATATTTAAAACAAAATGGTAATTTTGAAGAGCGTATTAGTGTATCTACAGAAAGCACACACACAAAATGAACATAGTAAATATTGCAATGGTAGAGTTTAAGAAGATATTTTGGGTCAGAGAAACATACATTGGATATTATGGAAACATTGTACCTTGGCTAGAGGGCGCAAACTAGCTGTTGTGAAATCCCGCACGTTTGTGTGCCCTCCATGCAAATGCGGTTCGATTATTGAAATATTCACCGATATCCGCTTACAGTCTTAGCTAATCGTTGTGGCTTGGGATGTACAAATTATTACGGATCGGCATATGAACTATTTATTGCTCATATTTGAAAAAAAATAATACAGACATGTAGGAACATGAATTTCTTCCCATTTTTAACTTTTTAGAGTTAGACGAAAAATGTCGTACGCACTTTTACACTCGGGCGTCTCTTCATCCCAATGAGGCATGTCGTCAGACTTTCCTTCTATACATGTCGAAGATCCTGCACCGATCAAGTAATAGGATTCATCACACGAGAAAGAACAGACTGATCCCAGATAATGACCATCATTGCAATAAGTGCCGCCATTCGATGGTGGTTTCGGTAAAGATTTGCAGTATTTTCCTGAAATATTATACATATAAAATTTAGGTTTAGGATTCAGTTTGGTCTTTTGCATTGGGCTACAAGAGCTGACCACTTACTCTTGCAAGCTGGTGTTTTTTCACTCCATGACGGATATTTTTTCGTAGTTTTTTCTCCTGTCAGCTCTGAGTATTGAATGTTTGTGCAAACGGTAATAACCGGTCCCATCAGATAAAAATTTTCGTCACAAAAGAATTCACAAATTGAATTCATGAACTTCCCGTCGGTACACACCATGTAGCCGTTCGATGGAAATCTAGGTGAATTTCGACATTCTTTTCCTGGAAAATATTTAGAAAATTTTGCAACAATCAAACGAAATTATGCGAACTAACATGACGCGAAAACACTTTATAAGGCGGCGAACATATCAAAACGGCTTCGACTCACCATTACATATAAATCTCATTTGTATCAGGCATTACTCACAGCACAAAGCGACAAAGAACTTGAGCGACGTTAACATTATTATTTAAAAATAAATGATCAAAATTGTAAAATATTCCTATTTGTTTTGTCTACTTCTATTACTGTTGAATCTAAGTATTTCTACAGTAATAGGTTTAGTGAAAGTATATGTGTAAATTAAGAACTCTCTGAAAATATCTGAGCATCCATTCAGATTAAATATATAATTATATCAATGCATTTCTGAACAACGAGCATATTTACTTTTACAAGATGGTGCTTCATAATCCCAGTGTGGATTTGAATACATTGATCCTTCTACGCACAAGACCTCAGTCGGTCCAACCAACTCATATTCGTCGCCACAAGTGAAAATACAATTCGAATCAACAAAATCTTCATCTGAACATGTAATATTCCCGTACTTTGGTGCACTTAGTTGGTTATCACAGCGCTTTCCTGTAATATCAAATCAATTTAGGAAGTGTTATGGACAGTGTTGGGTAATTGCAAAAAATATATTCTGTAAGCAATATATCGTGAAATGAATGATGAATGAATGAAATTTGATCTGCTCTCCCATTCGTTTTTTACCGAATTGACACTGATACGTACGTTCACAATATTGTCCACCGGTTGTCCAAATTCCTTCATCACCGCCAGACTCAGCAGCTTGACAAATTGATAATTCCGGCCCTACTAGTCGATATCCGGACTTGCAGGAAAAACTGAATGAGAATTTAACAGAATTAGATAACCAAACTGTAATTTCAAATTTTGACGCATTTCTGACATATCTACCTGCAAATACTCCCAACGTATTTTTCATTGGAACATATGTAATTTCCATGTTGTATTAGTTTCAAATCTGGACAAATAGATGATTCGCACGTAGCTGGAGCATATGTCCATCGTTTGTTATCTTCTGCAAATGATAAGGAATTAATTTTAAAAAGGAATTTTCTGATAAACTTAGCTGTATAACTTATTGTCAACAGTTGCATAAACACATATATTATTTCTAGCTTAGAATACGGCTACAAAATATGTAATTTCATAATAAGTTTTGGAAAAAAATTAAACGCATAATTTTTTAGGTGGCGGCCAATTATAATAAACTTTTGTATGATGAAATTATATTTTTACTCACGGCATTTTGAGACTGAAGATCCACTTATGTAATATCCACGTTTGCATTCAGAAGTACAGACACTTCCTACGTTGCTTCCATCACTACAATGAATCTTCCCGTTCTCAGGCTGTGGGAGAGATGGAAAACACGTCGGTGGCTCTAAAGTAAAAGAAAGGTTGGAATACAGTATCAAAAATGATACCAATTAAATACTTGTAAATGTGCACAAAAAAAGACAAAATGAGGGTAATAGTGAGTAAAATGGAGGAAAAATATGGCTTGCATCCAAAGGTACGACAAACAGATCCTGAATCCCTCTGGGAGAAGGAATGGCTGAGAGCTAACCTTCCATTGTCAAGCATTTCAAATCGCCTCTGTTACACTCATCACCCTCACAGCAACATCGACAAACGGTATCTGGATATTTCGGATTACATTGAGTCATGGCCCATGCTTCTTTTGAGTTCTGGAAAAATTGGTATGACGAGTGAAAACGATAATACGTTATTCCTGTTTTGTAACCAAGATCTGTATTTATTGCCTTCGAATTTCGGCGAACCAATTCAAATATCATTTGAATGCATAGCACGCCTTTTCAGATAGGCGATGTAGGTTTGAACTAATAATCAACTATCTACTTTTACAGAAATTTGTTACCTGGAGTTGATTTTGTGCACAAGCGTGAGATTGCTTACAAAATTTAAAAACTTTTATTTGAGATGAAAGCTGCCAACCTCCATTGTATCGAACTACCATTTCGCACGAGTCCTGGAAAGGGAAATTGAAATTGAAAACTTGAAATTGAAGTCTAATTTGATAACACAGTAAATGCAAGCAAGCCTTGCAAACAACACAGGTGTCATACTTTTGAAATTATTCAATCAAACTTACGATGTAAATTGGCGATATGTATACTGAGTTGTTTATATTTATGATCGAGAGAAATTTTATTCAGTAAAAATGTATTATGTCAACTCTAAGTATCCGTAAACTCCAATTATTCATTAAAATACCTGATTTTCATCGCATAGAGTTATATTTCCAAGTCTATCACACTCTTCTATGCTGTCAGCATTTTCACAAGTTAAACATCTTAAACCTACCAAACAAGAAGAAACATCAAATCAATTAAACAAGACTAAGTTTCCCAGTGTTAATTTCTCTCCCAAGCGCAGTTTTGTAATTGATGCTTCGATTCTATAACTGATTACGGGCAAATTCGATATGATCCATATTATAGAAGGAAAGTGCAGAGAATATGTATTGAGCCCGATAAAGATGAAAACATTTGAACATAACAGACTTCTTTCTATTCATTTACATTTAATCATTTTAGGAAAATTACTTACCCTCGGTTAACGCAAATTCCAGTATAATGTATGCCAATAAGAGTATAATGATCCGGAAGTACATTCTTATTTGCACAAGAGTTATTAAAATCTTTATATATCAACTAAAAACCAATAGGTTTCTAGTTACCTGCTTCAATTAATATATAATACCATTTAATATCAAGTCACGTTCTATTTCTACCAATGCGGGATTGTCAGTAATTCAGGACTCTAGTTCTTTCTTATTGTTCAAATATAAGCCTTCAGTGAAATAAATCCTTGTATTCTCGTCTAACCCAAATCTATACTGCATCGATAAACTTCTTTACATAAAACTTTTCCTATATTGCTAATATCTATGCTTTTATACAAAATAGAGTATCTACATTTATAGTTCATTTTCACTAATAGTCCAATCATATCCTTGTTTAGATATAGCATTGATTTTATAACAAATTTCTAATATATTTTTATAACAACACTTAGTTAGATTCCATAAAATCGACTTGTAACTGAACAAACAGTTTCTAAAACTAGTTGATGGACGATTCTCCGCACATAAATGTGAGAATTTAGGAAATAATAAAATTGTTATGTTTTCAATTATCTTCTCGTAATACTACACATCAAAGGCGGGGAACGAAGTGCGATTCTGCTAATTGAAATCGCAATAAAATTAGTGTCCTGTTAAATAATCTTACTTGTACTATTTCTTTATTTGGAAAAAATCGATTTTAGAACTTTTTTCTAAATCTATATTGGAGAACAAAAAAAAAAAAAATCGGCAATTTTTATTTAAATCTGTGGGCATCATACCTTATAACATCATGTATTATGACTTCTCGTATCACGTAATAATGTCACTTCAAAATTGATCATTTCTGTAAAAAAATTTTGGTGAGTTTTTTAATCTCTCCGGGGGTCATTAAATACCAGAATTACGATTTTCAATTCGAGTTCAGACGTAAAAATCATGTTATTTATCGGACATTGCTGTGAATTCTCCATTTGAAGTAAGGGTAGTCCGCGTTTCAAGTTTTACTAAAACAAGTTTGCATCAAATTTACGTGATGCACTATGTCCAAGCTATAGAAAATCGGAGAGAATATGTCGAATCGGAAAAATATTGGGTACCCTGAAGCAGTTTGAGTCTGTATGAATAGGGTCTCGTTCAAATATATATATACGGCGCTAGTTGCTAAATTAATTAAACGTAGAAATATTTAACACGGTCACACATATATCGTGTCCTTTTCTGATTTGTTTTCTTTGACTCTGCTTCTCTTAGATTAGACTGGGTTGGTTGCACCGCTATTCAAGATATACAAAATAAATAAAAAGATCTGAGTAATACTGGTTGGCAGTATCAGAGCCCATATATCTTATACCATTAGTGGTATATTTATGATTTTGAATAGGACACATTAAAACTAAAGAGCGTTGCCCAAATGTATGGACACGAAAGTCAGAACGAAGTTGTATCTAATGTTTTACATTTCCGGTAGTCTAACCACCAGATCAATGAGACGTGATCACGGAACCACGGCACGCAATCTTTAATTTTGATGACGTCATCATTCGTTGTGAATGGAGATGGAAGTTTACGGCAGGATATGGCTCGAATAATATGATCTTCTATATCGACATCACCTAAGAATAACATTGGAAATTCATGTTAGATGTTTCATTTATTATACCCAAATTATATAACATTGACTTGACGGTAATCACGATAACACGGATTTCGATTGTGGCACCTTCATTGCATGAAGGCAAAATGGCGCTAATGCAAATTGGCAATATTTAGACATCAATTGTCTAAATGTGGCTTCGTCTTCCAATATCTGATTGAAATGTTGTGATATGAAAGTTATTTACAAAGTTTCATATTTTCGATTAAATCTTAATAATGATGATAAAAAAAATATAGCCACGTTTCACTGAATAAAATATTTGAATGTAGAAAATATATTTTCAATAACAAATCAAGTTTATTGATCTCGTCAAAACAGTTCCCATCTCTTGTGACACCAAGACACAAGCTTGTCCATGGGACATATTTTTCTGCCCATTCCATAGCAATTTATGCCACATCACATGGGATTCCCATTGGAATACAATTTAATAAAACCTATCAAATTTATGAAAATTTAGGTTTAGTGTCCACTAAATAGGACTACATGTACAAAGAGACATGAGAAACAAAACTTTAAAATTCAGAGGTAGTCTTCGACGCCAAAGGGCCTGTAAACCACAAAATCATTCGAGTGTAACTTGATCGACAGGTACCCGCCTTCAGATCACAAAATGAAAAATTTTCTGGGTTATGTGGATACCATCCCAAACCTACATGCCGAAATTTCAACCTACAAGTTTCGTCCGAATGTGCAAGCCAGTTTCCCGGGAAATCCCGAAATGTTTTCGCGCTACAGAATTTCTCATTATTACCTATCACTTGTCTTACGCTTTACGCGCAACGATTTCTGACTCTGCACCATCATCATCTGAAATCCGCGCCGGTAAGGACATACTGTTAATTTTTTACGCACAAAACGTAATATTATCTAAAATTGTTCAAATTGTCTTACGTGTCCCGCTTGTCCCAAATACCCCATGAGTACACTTGTCCCACCGTAAATACAAACGTGTCCCATCCCATGGACCAATGGACGAACCTGCTGAGATACTTTTAGGCGGCGCATGTCAACAACCATAAGTTGTCGAGTCGGTATGATTGACTTACTTATATTCAGTCCTATAGCAAGCTAAAGATATACCGATACCACTTTTGTCACCGATACCGATACCAACTAAAAACGCCCATATCGATATACCGATATTTGAAAACGGCCGATATTGCCGATACTATGCAATTATTGCCTCAAGTGTGCAGGGCAGACGGGTTAAAACAATAGTCGTTGGGCATTATTAATAGTGCACATCATTTCGGACCAAAAAAGAGAAATATCGCATATATATATATATATTGAGAAATTGATGTTTGGGATCCAAATGCGTTACTTAATTCAGATGCGTTGAGCACTGGCGCTAGTGTTCAATTAGAAAACTAATATGATTTGGCTACTGTTGGTGGTAAGTGTTTAGACTTCTTATCCAATCAAAATGATACATTGAGATACGTGCACAGGATATTGTGCCAATATATCGTCGTATTCTATAATATATCACAAACATCGGAAAATCCATTAATATTCGATTGATATATTTCTTCATAATTGCCATATAATATTAAAAGTTCAATATAAAAATTCGGCAGCAAAAATATACAAATTGACTGAGTCAGTTTGGTTGATAAATGACTAAATTCAGGTCAGAATCCGATTCCCGTTTCTACTCGCGGGGATGGGGACGTGCATGGCTAATAGTTCACGATCTATCGGAGCAAAAATAACTTTTAAGATCAGTATTCTAAACTATTTTTTAAATCATTCTGGATCATATTGAGAAAATAAACATATCGGAAATATCGGTCTAAATTCAGCCCATACCGATACACTACGGATACCGAAAATTTGGCCGATATTACCGATACCCGATACATCTCTAATAGCGACTCGACACTAGAACGTCGAACATCACGTTCGAGTTCCCTATCAGCAATTCATCATGAGACTTTACATTTGATTTACGAAAGCCATTTAAAGATAGATTGATAACTCTGGGAACATTTCACCATATCACGGAGTAAGATTACAAATTGAATTCATAAAACAGAAAAGGATGATTGGAAACTCTTGTGAGCGGTAATTCTGAAACAACTGTTCGTTTTCGTTAAATATATACAACTTCTTGTATTAGGTATGGTTCATTTGGATGGTGTTTTATATTGCCTGACGATATATCATTTGAAAGATATATATTTTGCATTGAAGACATTTATGCTGAAGCTGAAATACAGGTGTGGTGTAATACGCCTGGAAATATTTTAAATATTAGATTAGCGCAACTTCCAAACCAAATTTAATGAAACTATTCGCAGTATAAGTTTCCAAAACAAAATGTTTATATTACTTTGAAATGTAATAATATTTTATCTATATTTTCGTAGTCGCCATATAATACCGTTCACTAAAGTACCAGATTACAAGTACTTGACTTCTAATTTATAATGCTAGATATGTATGTTGGTGATTTCCAATCCGTTCGAGATTGATAATGACCTCTAAACTCATAATGCAAAATAAACGTTCCATTCTTGTTGCGTTAGAAAAATCAAATTCTAAACAATTATCAGATGTTTATGTTGAGTGGCATTTGGAAGTTATCGGAGTTATCAGGCTATTTTCCAGGGTCCATACTGAGGATACGCATAAGCATGAATACATATTTCCCTAGGTCTGATGCGTAAGTATGCCATGATTCACTCCAATGTCTACTTATACGGATCTCATTTTGGATGGACGAAGACTTATTATAGCACTTCAGATTAATAATGATATCGGATATATTCATTCATGTACAAGAGAAAAAATTCTTCAATAAAAACTCCATCAAAATAAACCTTATAAATAACTATGTGTCAAACTATATATAATAGAACGTTTAGTAATTTACTCTTTAGCTGCTACACCCAATGGTCGCAATGGGTAAGTTAGCTTTCAAGAAAGGAATTTTATTTTTATTAGCTGACATTATATTTGTTGCCATGATGTAGTTAAATACTTTTAAGCGAACGACCGATACAGTTACGTATGGTTTTAGCATAGCATTGAATTTCGAAACGATTATTTTAAGTTTTGAGAACGTTGCACCATTCGTTTTTAGTATTATAGCCAATAAACTACGTTTTCAACATTAAAAATAAAAATTAAGAGAATCGTATGCTATAAAAAAAAAAATTCCAATCTGACTTCGCAGCTTAATAGAGCGCTGAATTTAAATAAAGAAACTAGCTATTTATTAACAATAGGATTTAGAAGTCCAGATTAAGGGAACTTAATAATAGTTTATGGAACGTAACTCAATTAGGGCGCATTCAATTTCATTGCCAATTGCAAAGCGACCTTTAATATCTAACGTTCAACTAGCCGCCGTGTACTCAAAGGTGATCATTTGCGTCGCTGAATTAGAATACCAGAATTGAAAGAACGAATTACAATAATGTTCAAGCACGAAACATGGATATATATTATAAAACAAGTATTTTCCATCTCTGGTTCATTTATGATTGCAGACATATAGCTTAAATATATCGCCGACGTCTTCACGTTTAAATATCGGTTACAGGTCCTTTCTAATTAATTTTATTAAACTGTCTTGGAAAGAAATCCCTATTTTTTCTCTATGTAAAAGAAGAATGTTAATATTTAACGTTTAACGATGGTATATAATCTCTGGAAAGGTTGAGATCGCAGGATTCATTTATTTGAGTTGTAGGAGAGATTTTCAACGCGTGGATTATGCAAGAATTTAAATATGAGGTATTTATTTTATAAACCATGCGCTATAATGCATTAGCTTGAAACTACTTTTATTAAATCCTAATTTATTTTAAATTGCGACAAAAATTTTTGTAACTTGTATTTGCAGAGCTAAATGCAGAAAAATAACATTCATGATTTTAACAAAAATTGGAAATAATGCAATTTTTAAGTAAATGGAGTCAAAATCTGATGGAGGCTTTGATGGAAGCAAATTCGCTAATTTAAAAGATTTCAATTTGCGATTTGATTAATATAAATATTCTGATATTGGAAAATAGCTAATCAAAAGTAAAAATAAAAAAGTAATATATATATGAATAAACCGAATTTGACATGATATGAAGGTGAGGGTCATTGAATTAAATAAAAAATTGCCTAAATCGTCCATCAGTTTTGATGCTCAATTAACAGTATTAGTTAAAATTGGAATACCAAAAGGTTTACTACATTAAAAAGGTAGTAGGTTTTTAGAAAATTCCTCGTAGAAAAATTCGAATATGTGCAAGATAACAGGTGGTATTAATTTTTATTATCGATAAAGAGTAACGTTAAGTTTTATTTCATCTACCGCATTGTTTTGGCGCACGTTGCATTAACGTGCGTATTACCGTATTATCTTTCTATTGATATAAATGGCAACATTACTGCAATTAATTACACCTAGTTATTATCGACCAAAAACGAGAATAATTATTGAAAGCTGTTCTGGCATTACTTCAGAGAATAAATTCATTAATTGTTTGAGCCCTTTAGCCCCTCAGGTATATTATCTGATGAAAAAGAGGGTAAGAAAATAACATTTCATCTCTTATTTGGGGTTATTCGTATGAGGTAAACGAAGAAGTAGTTTTTATATTTTAGCAGAGTATCCCGCGGCAGATTATTTCTGAAATGACGGACAATTTGCCTGGATCTACTAATGTTAGTAGAAAAGATCCAGAGTACATAGAGACAGATATGCCTGAGATTAACTGTGAATTTTCAAGTTATAGATATTGTTGTGTGTTTGGAGAATGACCAACTCGAGTAAATTGAGTACTAACTGTCAAAATGGCTGGTGGCTCTTAACTATTTACTTCTTCAGAGCGTATTATATTTACTCATATTAGGTTTTTGTTTTTATATTTCATATTAGATTTTTGGAAATTGAAATAGGAATCGTTACCAACGTTTATTTTTCTGTTTAGTTTTAGGCGTGGTGGCATCTTACAAAACTCGCTTGTCTACCATACAAACGATAATCGAGAATCAAGAACACACGTCCCTTTATTAGGTTGCATTTCTTAACTCTTTTATTCTTCCAGTTTTATATTTCTAGCAAAATTATTTTTATAATAAATTATCAAAAATGGAAACTAGACCATTTCATGGTGACAATATAAGTCAGCAAAATACGATGCCTATTTCGTATGTGCCAATAGCATCAGCACCAAGTCAGTACATTATTGCAACTAATGGCCAAGAGTATTACGTAACTCCTGAGGTAAGTTAGTTAAATAACAGAAATTTGGAAATTTTGTGGAGTAGTTAAATTATAAACGGCACCACATAAAAAGTTTTGTATCATCGTGTCATCTGCAAATCTTTTGCATTGTCCGTCAGCGTTCTCATAAAGTTCAAAAAGACAAATTACGTTATTTTATTTATTCTCATTTTATTTTTCAAAAAGGCAAATTTTCTATTAAAATAAGTTTGTGACCTCAATGCAAACTTTAATTTTCAAACATCTCCAAATCTTTTTTTCAGGCTCCTCATTCGAACTGGAACATGCATATGAGATATCAAGGTAAAAAAATTATTTTCTAATAAGCTTAAGTTCCATAAACCCTGTAGGTTTCTACCAGGATTAGAAAGAACCTACTATTTCCGGTCTGAAATTGCTCAAACAACTTTATACTATCAATAGCGTAATGAGTTTTTGGTCGAACAATGAACGATTTTCAACTTGCTTCATAAGCATAGTTTGGCATTGAATTAACTACTATCAGAAGCATGTTAATCAGTTCTCAAAACTTCATCGCAATCTCATCAAGCCATATTTAGCTAAGATGATAAAAAAACAGGCGAACCATCGACGACAACCGACGTAAAATGTGTAGTTTCTCCAACAAAACTGTACGTCATGCCTGCCTTAATGATATCAATATTGTAATTCTTCTCCTATAACATATTATTTCGAAGGATTTGCTTTTAAATAAACTTGAACAATATAATATATATATTCAATTGCAGGTTACCCTGGGTCTCAACAATGCTTCGTGATGGTTCCTGATATTCTACAAAGTGGTGCCATGTTGACAGATAATTCGGGCAACGGCCATCAAAAAGTTGCACAATGCAACTACGTTCCAGTTTCTCAATGGACCCATATACCAGATGTAAGACTAAATCCGAATTCTCAGGAATTCTACCAAAAATCCCAACCGGTTCAATATCAGGTAATAGTCTACATTTTAAAATTTCAGATTTCCATATCTCATTGTTTTTTACACTTTTTGAAGTAAACTTTAAAAATTTTACATAGTTTTTTAATTTGAACAAACTCGAAAAGTGACACGAGGGAAATATATTCATATGTTTGGTTTAGTTTTCTAAGCAGTGCCCATTTTGCTCATAAGAAAATACTTTTGAATCAGTCTTCCCATTTCTCATATATTTTGCGCTATTGATTGCGTATTATCGATGAATTGTGAACAAAGCATCAGAATACAGTTTATCCCTAATTTTCATTTTTGAGACTTCAAAATAAATGCTTTATTTTCATTTTCAGCAGAAGATTGAAAGCTCAAAATCAGATCAATATCAAGAAATAAGATATGTCAGCAGCGAGGGAGAATCTATTTCCGGTTCCAGCATCCATACAAGATCGAATAGTACAGACAGCAGCGAGAACGGATTGAGTTCGAAACTTGACAAACTGAATCTGAGATACCAGAGTGGCGACAGTGGAATCGCCGAAACTTCTTCTTCTTCTGCGACATGGAGTAGCGATGATGACGTCGATAATATTACGTCACAAAGAATTACGTCACAGAGATTACAAACTTCACCAGAAGAGATACAGGTATAAAAAAAATAAGAATAAAGAATCTCTGGGATTGAAAATATTGCCATTTTTATAGCCATCGGTATTCTGACATTTACATATCTATTTATATATATATTTTTGCGCAATATGTCATATATATTCCATTTTGCATTGACTAATTCATTGTTCGGTTTTCGTACCTTTACCAAGACTGCTAACAGGCTAAAAATACCCGCATATTCTTGGTTGAATGTATATCCATGAGGTGGATTGGGTCCAAACAATGAATTTCTAAAGATTTGAAGGCAATATTTGTAACCTGTCAAAGTAGTTGCAATATCAAGCCTTCAACATTTCACCAACTTAATTCCAATACATACTCATGAGTATAATTATGACATCCATTCCTACTACTACTTTTAAACCCATCGTCTTAGAATCCACAAACAATATATATGAGATTTAGAATTTCATGTTCTGTCTTTTAATAGGAAAGATTGTGGAATATTTGGGATGATGAACGATACTGGAGAAACGTTAGACGACCACCCCCAGACAATGTTCTGTGCTGTGTCATTGCCAAACAAATAGAATTCTACATGTCTGACTCGTACCTGGCCAAAGACAAATACCTACTCAGACAAATACGATGCAAGAAAGATGGCTACGTTAGTATCAAACTGATGACATCATTCAAGAAAATGAAAAAGTTGGCGCAAGATTGGCCAGTGCTCCGTAGTGCCATCGTTCGAATCTCTCGTACTCTTGTGGTGAGTGGTGAAGGAATGAGAATCAGACGCAAAGTACAACTTTCTGAGGAACTAAGGAAACCACGAATGTTAACTTCTATTTTGGTGAGCATATTTATTGTACTAATTACCTAGTTTGAATATAAAAATGATGCCGACTAAAAATTACTATACAACATTTTATTAATGATTGAAACATTTTCCCAAGAAATAATTTGGTATTCAAACGCTTACTATGAAATAATATTTCTTTTTGTAATTGGGTTCGTCACAAACGTGTATACCTTTAATAATAGTACACTATGTAGAAAACTTTTCGATATGTTATATGCAACTTCATTTTTATTCAGGCCATTCGCCTACCTGACACATATAACGCTGTGGATAAAATTACGTCTCTTTTTCGAGTATTTGGAGAAATTGGCTTAGTTCGATTGCTGCGCCCAGATAAAGCTGTTCCTGTAGATTTGCGAAACTATGCAACTCAAGTTCCTGATATAGGTAAGTCAAGTCAATATTATATAACTCAAAATCTTCAATTTTTCTAGCTACAAAATATTACAGCTAACTTGATGTTTTCTTATATTCTCAGGTGTTTCGCTTTGTGCCGTGGTTGACTTCGAGTCGCCAATTGATGCACTTGGTGCCGTAAGAGTTTTGAAGACTAGAAGCCGTGAGTTAGCAGGGGAGGAAAATGATCAGAATGAAATCGAAAATCAGGGAAATATTTACAAAGAAAGTGAGTTGTCAGAAGAAGACGGCGAACGTTTGAGAAAAATTGTAGAAGGTTGGTTATTGGTTACTTTTGATTCATATCTAATGTAAAGAGTTTGTTTATATGTTATGCAAATTTTTCGTCTGACTCTTCCATTTTTTAATCTTGTGTTGTATGTTTTCTAGAAATGCCAGACCTGGCCAACATGCGCCTTGCACTACTCGGACCACGCGTGCGGAGAACTTTATACCGCCAAGACCGAAACAACAATCCAGCCAATATAGAAACTAGGATGAAATTTCCGTCACACAATAACGATATCTTCACGAGGCGAACAGCAGAAAACATGTCATCTTTTACAAATGGATACGAAAGAAACTCAAACACACTATCTTGGCGAAATTCCCGTCCAGCATCAGCAAGCCCCACCAAACATAATAATGTTCTACGACAGCCGAAAGGTGCTCAGGATGATGGCGGTTTCATATATCGCAGGAATATTAGTAAATAAAATTGTATATATATATATATTTTTCAATATTTTGTAGCCATTGTACCATTTTCCAGCTTTTATACCATCTTTATATGTATTTGTTATATCCAATTACAATATTATTTATAGCATGCAAAGTTTTAATGTCAAATCTCTAGATAAAACCATTGAACAATTCTATAAAAGGCTCTATATAGATAGGATTCTTATATATAAAGTAAAGGAGATTAATTTAAATTTGCTCAATTCTCAATTCTCTTGGTCATATATGAAAATGAAATGTACATTTTCTGTGATGCTTTTTTCATCCTATTTTTGCTAATGACCTATTTTCTTTCGTGCCTTACAATACATTTTTACTTTGAATATGAAAATTTGCATTATTAGCATTGTAGGTCTACAGTGTAGAGTCTACACAAAAAATACGTTACCGCTATAACTCGTCAACGATATTCACATTGCGACTCTAGTGAAGGACTTATTCAAGATAATAATTGCTAGTATAGATAAAGGGATGTTGATTGTGTCTCAGTTGGCTGAATGAAATTGAGTTGGAATTGATAGCACTTGTGGCTATATTAGTGAAATATTGCTGTTTGATCCCCCAAATCGCGTGAATGCGAAAAGAAAGAAGGAATGCCTACATGTTTGACTGACTGAAAAATCACAGTAATCTTTCTGTAAGTCTTCAATATACAAAATGCGGTGGCTGAACGGATCAGCATTAATGATGAGTAAGTTGACAATAACTGAGTTTGACCGTAATCTATACTATGTACAATAGTCTGAATATGAAAAAAAATATTGCATTTTTCACATTCAGTCTTCGACTTTCGGGTAGCCCAGTAATAAACGCACTTTTATATACTAGTTTGGTAATTAGGTTAGCAATGCGAACCGCGAAAATCGTCAATGTTGAGTAACAAGGCTAGTCTAGCATTTGTCGCTCGTGCTCTTCTATATTGTACATATCATTGTCCTCATCATCTGTTTGGATTTGAACTTACAGTCGAGATTTAAATTCATCGTTGAACGCGGTAATTTAAACAACCAGTGTACAGTGTACAGATATTTAGAATGGCAATTTCCCTTTTGTTTTGTGTTTGATAACCAGCGCGATCATTTTGAGTCCCAACCGTCACTCCAACACAGAAGAATACGGTAAATATCATTGCTGTTTATTTTACTCAAAATTGTTTAGTATAAAGCAGGGGTGGCCAACCTATTGCGCATGCGCCAAACGTGGCGCATTGCATGATTAGAGGTGGCGCATTACATCTTCAACCCTTTTCATGCCAAAATTGTTAATTGCACTTGGCTTCTCCACGCCAAGCCGTCTTTTTACGATTTACTTGGTGACTTTTGATTGTACCTAAAATCTATTCTCCTTACTCCACGTCGCCCACTTACGGCTTGTTGGAATTAGAAACAACAGGAGGCGATTATCGACGTTAGCTTTTGGACGGACTTTATGAAATTTATTCTAGACTTTTAGCAAAAATTAGTAAAATTTACTATTTTTTCCCTACTGAAGTAAAAAGTTCAGAACTTCTGGAAAAATAGAAAATCGTCATTTATCAGCTTGAAACATGGATTTTCCATTGCCCAGACTTCCCAAATATCTCCCAATAACCATTGAACAACCAGTAGAATTGCCCAAGCCTAAAAAATTTATTATAAATAATCCCACAACATGCTGAAAATGACCCCTAAATACCACCTTTTTCATCCAAACTTCAAATGACCGTTGTCAACAAAAGCCAAGCGTAAAATCGCTTGCTGTGACGCAAGTACTAATCTCGAAGAAGCCTGGAGTAAAATCACGCGACGCTAGGCCAAACAGCTGATTAGCAAAGGCCAATTAGAATCGAGGGTAGAGTAGATATTGATACTAAAGGCCTGCAATATACAATTGGAACTAATTGACTTGAAAACTGATCCATCATTGAAAATTAAATTTGATGAGCTTTCTTCAGTCCCAAGTGCATCTGACATGATAAAGTTCTGGCAATCGTTACCCCGTGGAAATTTTCCAGAACTGAGAAAATTTGCCCAGGGTTTTATATGTCGTTTCGGAACGACATATAAATGTGAGCGAACATTTTCTGCCATGGAACTAATTAAAAGCAAAGCGAGGTCAAGACTTACAGATTTAAATTTGAAGAATGCAGTGCTCCTCTCAGTAACAAACTTAACTCCAAGAATAAAAAAACTGGCGAAAGTAAAACAGCAGCAAAAGTCTCATAAAGGCGGTACTTAAATAAAATTGATCAGTTTTATTTATTATACTTCCTTGCTTAATTTCTATTCATGTGAAGTTGTAAATTGTAAAAACTACATATACGTGTGTATATATGTGTGTGTATTATAAATTTATATAATTTCAACAAGAAGCGGACATTAGGCGTGGGAATACAAGAGATTTACGGCGCATCTGAAACATTATGTTTAAAACGTGGCGCATGGTATGTGAAAGGTTGGCCACCCCTGGTATAAAGGATTGATTCTTGTCTGCATCGTAGACGGCGTCAGTTTGAACGGGTTGCATGGATAAACCAAAGTAACCATACGAGACAATGGGCCTTTAGAATGTAACCCAGGAACCGTATAGCCAGGAAAGTTACTGAAAAATAATAGTAGACTTGTTAGTTCATTTTAGTAGTTGCGGTTGAGCATACAGATATAATCGTTGCGCTACGATAACGTGACTGTATATTCTAGGTCATATTAATTATTATGTCCGATTAATGTTTCAAAATTACGTTATCGAGCACGTTGACATACTTTGGTTAGCACATAAGCATACGATGATATTTGACTTAACCAGCACCACATCATGCTGGCAGTGACCTGGAACCGAAGAGTACTTTGCATAGAAATTCATTTCAAAATGGTAATCTGTTTACTGTCATATCAATAGCGATGTATTTCTACCTAACTTCGACTATATAGTTACGACAAACAGAGACTTCACTTACTGATATGTACTCGATGATGATGTTTGGAAGACACCTTGTCTCTGTGGATATTTTATTCTTTCAACTGGTTCTCTCGGCACAAAACCACCATATCCGGGTAGCTTTCGAACACGTGACCTGCAACAAAGAACATATCGTCACGCTAATAACCGAATTGCGTAAGCCATTTTTAGCAGTTTTGAGAAAAACGTAAAAAACTTCCTAATGATATTGTTATGCCATTGAGAGTCAATAATTTGCCATGGTTCAATTTTCTGATCGTAGCCGCATTTAGGTTAATTTGTATGACGCAGTTAGGTGACGTCATAATGGCGCATTGTGACTTAGGCAGAAATGTGTCTATGACTTGGGGTCATACGCAATTTTGCAACTTTACTATATGCACCAGTCCTGAAAACTAAACATTCCAAAACCGAATGTAATTCTCAGTATCTACAATGTCTAATCCCCAAAATAGCTAATCAGTTTCAATTACATTATTTTTTATGTTTAAAAATATATATTTCATCAATATAACACGTTCTGCATACCCACCGAAATAAGACTAAAATTAAATATAAAGAATAAAACAGCAATGCACCCAATATAAAAGCCAACCAAGGTAATTTGACTCGGACGGTGAATATCACAAGTGCACGTCTTCCTATACTGTAGTAAAAATTCAAATCAATACGAGACAAGCTAGAATCCGAGATGCAAAAACTCGAAAATACTTCGCCGAAGTTAATTTGCCTTTGTGACGTCACAATAGTCATGCGGTAACAATGATAATTCATTATGACGAAACAATTGCACAAATGTGCATTTCATACTAAATCTCCATTTTTATGGGTTTCGGAATTCTTAAAAAAAATCTGAGTTAACAGACAGGTTCACAGCATTACATAAATGCCTACTATATAATAAACTCAAAATCGCCAAAAATGACTTACGCAATTCGGTTATTAGCGTGACGATATTATAAGCCGTTTCTTGATTTATCGAAACTTTTGGCCAGTGATTGTTTAATCATTCCACGCCAAATATTCTAATATTTCGTTGCATGATAGAAATCAAATTATGTACTGAGGGACGTTACGCATGCTTCGAATCATATTCGAACAGTTATTCGACCAACCAGCAAATGAACCCTAGTCAGTGAAAAATGGTCAACAAAGCTCCATTGTTTTAAAAAACCGCGTCTATCTTTACAACAGTAATTGCATAGATTTTCACTCACTGATCCGCTATAACATACGAACTATTTGTTCTGTAATTTTCAATGCCTTGTGTAATCGCCTTTTCTACTTCAAGCTGATTTTGTTGATTCTTTGAAACTTTATTATCTTTGCAACATGTGCTCTGGCAAAAAGGTGAAACATTTTTCTACAATAATTTTTAGGTTGAACCGAAAAGGCATAATATTTTACAACTCTGTTGGTGCTTGTTGTATTTTGTTTTGTAATAGTGAAAACGTAATAAATTGACTCACACGTGATATGGGCTGTCTCATTTGCAATCGATCCCAGGATGATGCCACTGTTTGCCAGGCACCCACAGATGATTCGTATCTTTTCGGTCTGTTCCTGACCACATCGGCATTTTTTTCCATTGTTGTTCGCGGTACCTTGATAATAAAACGAGAAATAAGGAAATATTGCAATGTTGCTACGCCATTATTTGGTATTGTCGTAGTCTACATTAATATCTGCTAACCTTCTATTTTTTTGCTCTTTTTTCGCCCGCCCAAGTGGTAATTTTAACTACTTATACAGCGTCGTTCGTCTTTCTCTTTCTGCTGCTCTACCTATTCTCAATACAAACCTTCCAATTCGGAACCGTCAAGCATTCTTCTTCTTGTTGTCTATACGTACTTGGTATCCACCTCAGACGAACAATCATATCATCTAAATGCTCCCCCTGTCTCAATGCATCTTTTGCTTCTACTACATAATTCCCCGAGGAGTCTGAATATTATTGGAAAAATACCTTGCGCTTCAATTTTTGTTGAATTTGTATTAAAAAGATCCTTTGAAACAATATGCAAAATGAACGGAATAGCTGTGAAATTGATGCTGTTAATAATCGCAAGCAGTTAATCCATTCCTTGGAACTAGTTTGATCTAATTTAAAGCACTATTGAAACCAAATAACGCATAGAATCGCATTAATTCTCTAATTAATCTCATTATTCAACTCAATTAATTAACTCAATATTTCTCTGCAAGACTTTTATATAAAAGCAATAAGTCTGACAATGGTTTACCTCACATTATAAACTGGGGAACTCTTATCCAAATTAACAGTTTAATATGGGTTGCTCTATCGGCAAGGTTCATAATTTTCATAAGTGCGTTTCGCTATTTTCTCATTATTTATTAGATGACAACTTGCTTTCATCCATGACTGTCAAACCCCAACATCATGTCAAACGTACACACTTGAACACTTTTTCTTTCCTCTTTTAAACTTTTTATCTTGTGGTCGTGGACAAGAAACTATTTCTTTATGAGCACTGAAGAAAAAATAGAGTAAGCTATTAATGGTAAGAAGCAACGGATTTTTTTTTATTTTGAATCAGAAAGGTTTTTCTACAATTTTCTATTTTTCTACAAATTTTACGCTGTCTCAAACATGTTGTGTCCCACACTTGTCTTATTTAGTTATTCAACTCTTACAAAATAATTGGTCTTTTTTAGCTCAGTCTATTTCAAAGTATGACGTTTATTTCAAATAAATTTATGTAACGGACTTGCTAACCCAAGTTCAATTATCAACTTACTTTTCAACAGGTGCATCAGTAAAACTGCCAAGACCCAGACAAATGGGATTATCATGAGTGAGACCGATAGGCCGAGCGTATTTTTTTCTGTCTATATAGTCAGCATGAGTTCTGCATTCGACTAACTGTTTGTCGCCATGTTGAATAACTGGGAGAAGAAGTTGAGTTGGCTGTTGGGAAATATGGAAATAAAATTACCATTGATTATGTGGAATAAATCAAAGATATACAAGAGATCAATGCTTAAATATATTGACACAAAGTTCACAAACGATTACCGCAATGTCAGCAAAATTCCAACCAATTGTATTAGGAAATGTACCGAATATCATATGGATGGTTGAATCTTGTTTAAAAAAAAACAGCAAAAATTGGGGTAAAATATCGAGACTGGTGGGACTGCTAGAGTATTTGGGAAAAATCAAATGAAGTAATAGTCCTCTAACGACTTCTTCTAGTAGTCTACTGAAAATGGATAGGGCAAGTGGAGTGAATTTTTTGTAACTGCGCAAAAACAATTTTGCAAAGCGATCTACAGTATATATATGTTCATTTCGTGTCCAATATGTTTTATTGTTGTGTGGAATTCCCTTAAACCGAGTTGTTTTCATTTTTAATAACCTTGTTGATGGCAGTTTCTCAAAGAAATTGATCTATACAGATCTCAGTGTTTTGCAACTTAAATATAACTATCGAGTATATCTTTCGTTAAGCTAATCCACATCATAAAAATATGATTAATTAGTTATTGTATTATAATCACATCCAAATAAAAGATTCAACTTGAATATATTCATCTACATAACATTGTTTTATCAATTATTTTTTATCAGCATTTTCTGGCAGAATAGTTATTTTACTTATTCCTATTTGTGAATATTATAGTGCTAATTGAGATAGAAGCTCGATAAACTGCTTTACCTGATGCCTCAGTGATATCGGCCGTTGGTATCGCGTTGGTCCTTTAGCATAAAATGAGGAATACGTAGATTTGAAGTGATCCTCCCCAGTATATTTGATAACCATTTTTGCTAGTCTACGTTTTCAGACTACTAAGAAATATCTGAAATACAAGCTTCTAATATATTTCCAAATTTCATTCTATCGTTACCCAATATGACGTCACAATAAACTTTAATTTGCTATATCGCACTCAGAAATCGATATATATATAGCATAATTCTTATGTTTTTTACTTGAAAAAATAAATAAATCTAGCACATTTGTTGCCGATCTATGGAGTGCTGGCCTGATATATCCGTGATAATTGGCGGACGAAAAGGAAAAATTAAATCAATTCGTATGGCGTATCGTGATGTATCACGCTGTATACATCAGGATAACCCGTCATTTCTATCTCCATCTGACGTTTGATTAAGTGGAAAATACCTGATGTCACATCAAGACTAACATGCTCACTCCCACAGTTATTTTGTAACCTAGTCCTTTAGCCTAAATTAAAGTCGCTTTGTAATATGGAGATAATTTGAAAGTTTTGAATGCGAAAACAGATCAGAACAAAAGTGAACTAGTGATACAAGATTCATTTTATTTATGCCCGATATTGTCAACTTTTAATTTACTGGAAATGTTAATTATATATATTTCGCACAAAATAAACCATGATATGGATCATTTAGCATGGCTGTAGAAGCAGAAACTGAAGAGAACTTCATATTGGTGCGTTATATTGCATGCAGTGATTTTGAAATCAAACATTTGTACAATTTGAATGTTTCTTATTTCATAAATTGGAAATTATAAATATACATGGATTATAGTGTAAAGCAGCCACTTGAATTCAACTCGCGTAAAATCTGTTTGTTGCTGAAATTTAAAAAAATCAGCGACCAGGTGAAATAAAATAACAATCTGATGGATCCCATAAAAAGAATAGGAAAAATAGTTTCACAGAAAACACAGCAATGCTCAAATATATGGACACGAAAGCCAAAATAAGATAGTACGGGTATGCAATCTATCACAGTAGACTATGGACATAAGATGCGCACTTTTTGAATTTGATGGCGGCATCGCACACAAAAAACGAATCCCATAGAACCCACAAAAATAAAAATAAAAGTGATAGCCTTCTAGCGAAATGTACAATCTTTAATCACTAAAAATTTGAAAGCAATTGGTCCTGAGGTTAATGAGAAATGCGATTTTTTCAAAACAAAAAAATGCTAACAAGGAAATGAAGAAAAACAACAACATAATAATAACAAAACCATCCATATGTACGTTTCATGTCCCATAATTGAGCATATCTATCAATAGTATCAATCCACTACATGTTTAAAAACTATTTACGTGGATATGATATTACTTTTCTGTTAAACTTTTGTAAGACGATATGAATTCACGAACATATTGAATCATCGTGTACTATAATACTGGCACTGCATTTGTATATACTAATATACCTACTTTAATGATTTAGATATTCAACATTTTGTATTGTTTGGTACTGTTTAAAGCAAAAAATTAAAAAAAAATTAAATCATTTATTCGTCAGAAAAAGTTCTTATATTCTACTATCACATATATATACCATATCTTAAGTCCTATAAAACAGCATTTCATGCTTTCGAACATTTTGCGTGTTTTGAGCTTATCTAGTGATGTTCACTTATTTACCTTAATTAAGGCCTCGTGTAAACACCGCCAGCGATAACAAAATTTTCTCCAGTAATATAGCTGGAGTCGTCCGATGCTAAAAACGCTGCAAGTCCAGCACATTCCTCGGGCGTCCCAAATCTTCCCATGGGCAAATGGCTCAGGAATATTTCTTTTGCTTCCGAATTTTTCTTAGCTTCTTGAAGAAATTTTGTTTCAATTCCACCGATGGGTATGCAATTTATTCGGATGTTTAATTTCTGTAAATCCGGCATAAATCCACGTGCCATGGCGTTCACCGCAGCTTTCGTAATGCCGTAGATGCCAGGGTAAAGGTGAGTGACGTAAGATGCTATACTTGATGTGAGTACTATAGATCCCTGATAATCACTCTTAGCCATAAACGGAGTAATTTCTTGAATCATTTGAAAATTTGCCTTGATGTGAAGTTCTAAGGTCTTATCAATTACACTTTCAGGCGTATTCATGATGTCGAAGGGATGTGGGTTCACGCCTGCGTTTGAAACAAGAATGTTTATGGAGCCATATTCGTTCATTGTGAATTCGACGAGCTTTTTCCTGTCCTCTGGTTTTCCAAAATGACAAGTGACACCGGATGCCTAATAAAGGGTGTACAAAATTAATTCCAGGCTCGGTTGATGTTAGTAAACAGGCATTTGAAAAAAAAATATTAGTGGAAAACATTGATATATATATATACCTTGTATCCGAGTGTCTTCATTTCATCAACTGCACGATCAACATTCTCCTGTTTTCGACTGCTAACAACAACATTGGCTCCATTCTGCCCGAGTCTTTTTGCTATTGCGAGACCTATTCCATCTGTTCCGGCGGTGACAATTGCTACTCTTCCGTCTAAATTTCCAGGTTTATTTGAGGCGCTCGAAATAAAACGGGAAGGACGGAACGAAACAAGCTTTAGTAATGTTGTAGTTCGAAACATATTGCTGATAACTGTTTAATTAGGTTTATAATTTCTATGAAAATAATAAATAACGCGAGTTGAATTTTCCTCCACATCTTGAAAGTTCAATTAGTTTTTTTTATTCTTTTTCCAAAATAGTTGAAGTAAAGATTGCGAGTGAAGAAGATGCGAAAAACAAAATTCAACATAGCTGAGGTTCTTGGAAAAGGTTCATCAAAATTTTACGGATAAGCGATATGTTTTAACAGGAATTTCCAAACAATTTTCCAGGTTTCTTGAAAGAGATATTCCTGATCACCTTATCAGAAATACGTATAACAATGAGTCTTAATCAGTTGCTTAACTGCAGTTCAATGGTGTTTTTTATTTATACAGGGTTATATATGTATATATATATATATATGAATGCGTTATCTGGAGTGCTATGGTGTTTCTCAAACCCCTTTTGAAAGCAATGACTAACCCTTTTTACTGTCTTTCACTCTCAACCTATTCGGAGCTATCTCTAAATACTTATTCTATAACTTCCTGTTAACATCCAAATATTCTCAAATAATATATTATCTTTTCAAACCAGCTTCATTTAAACTTCGAAACTATATTTCTGAGCCACTATAAAAAGCAACAACACTTGCCGGCAACAGTTTCGCAATTGGTATGCCCTTCAGTCCAATAGTTCATGCGAATTCCGAACTTGCAAAATTCACTATCGTTTTTATGTTACCTTGACACATTTATTTCATAATTTCGAGTACTCAACGCCGATGGCCTTGGACTTTATTACGCGACCATTTACCATTCCAAATTCCTAAACACACAGAATAAATGTTTGATTACGCTAGAATAGTCTTGACTCCAATACGAAATTTGGATAACTTTTGAATTTTGGTGATTTTAATTATTTTTACCCATGCGTTGTGGTGACACAATCTGGGGCGAATTCTCGTAATTTCTCCAGTACTTACAGGAATTTTTATCAAACCGCAAACACTTCGAAGACTTTACTTCATGTATGGCCACATATAAGGCAATAAGAATAATGAAATGACGAGTCAGCCAATGAAGGTCGATGATAGTATTTTGAACTATAAAAGCCAGTATATATTTGCTCAGTATACAACGTCGACCTCGACTGGTTTGCATAGCAAATATTGCATTTGTACGATTGTTCACAGTGCAAAGATTGGTGAACGCATAAGTGACTATGCTTTCCTGATGCTTGTGGATTTAAGTGTACATGTATATTATAAAAATGAAATTAATGATATTATACGATATTGGGTTACATACAAGTCATATCTTCACTGACTACAGTAGGCAAAGCATAGGCACCTAATTGTATTTTGAAGTGTTTTACTTCCAGTTAATGCCATAAATAGTCAGTCGCCGATAACTGAGAGGTGGTAACCTTTCAGACTAATCAAAGTAATAATTTGTTCATTTCGAACAAATTGTTCAATTCCGAGAAATGCTGTTGTTTCTGATGCTGCAAAAGACATTTGCTGAGCATTCAATTCTGGGTGAAACACACCACACGAAAATGTGATATATATAATATGTTACAGACAGGGTTCAATCCAAAATTACAAACCATTGACTCAATGAGACGATTGGTAGGTTTAGAGTTTGACGTTATCCGTGACGTCTCCTTCTACTAAGCTCTGGTATTAGATATTTATCAAACCAGTTTCTTCCAGTGCAGATGTTGTTGTCCTCCGCAAAAAACTCGACGCGAATAAGTCACAAGACCTTCTATTCAGCTATTGAATTTCGCAATCCTTTTTATTGATACGAGTCGTGATATTTCAGACAGAACTTGCGTAATCAAGATGTAACTATTGTGTAAGCGTCACGGCCAACTCCATGGAGGCTTGAATTTGATAGACATAGTGGGAGTCGTGTTTTAGCCTACCAGACGGCGGAGTCGATCTTTTCATGAAATAAATGTGGGCCCACAAAGGAGTTTTTAGTATCAAAATTTAATCTTTGCAAACCGGTACATTGTTAGTTACCACATGTAGACTAGCAGCTTTGAATTCCATGAGTATAACTATTTGCAAGAGGAATGCTGGATTTCTTAAAGCCATGTCATATGACTTGGCGGCAGAAGACTGTGAAGCTATTCTATTAGCTAACTTTCGCGTGGAGTATGTAAGCATATATAAAAACTCCCCTAAGAATTGGAGTGGAAACGAAAAAGAACATTTTGTAGTTAAAAAAATTATATTGTTTGTATAATATATCTATATATAAATGTTAATTACAACAAAGGATAATATTTAAATATATACGAATAAAGCATAAATATTTTGAAACAACGAAAAAGTGTGTAGAAGGTGAGAACAAAACTTAACCGAAAAAATTCTATGAAAAATCAGATTCGTTGTAGTTCTAGTACATATCTTAAAAAACTAAGTTAATTCTCACTGACCACGGCCTACCACAAAATTACATCTTAGCTACTTTGAAATAACCATGCCACGAAGACAATAATGACATAAAAAATTTGCCAGGTATGAACGCGACATGGCGCTCATCTAGCACAGACGAAAATAGAAGGTTGTGTTCGGATGAAAAATTATTGGTGCCAGACGCGGTCTTCTTTCGAAGCGATTCTTTTTCTAATTTGATTGTCTCTATCTTTTCGGTAAAATTATAGTTAATTTTTCCTTACTTTCTCTTTATTCAGGGCAAAGCAGACAAGGAATGTTTTGACGCCACGCTCCCAGTTTCATAGTAAGGCTCCTTTTCTTCAGACAATTGTGAGCGAATGTTTTCAATAAGATACGATGCCAAGGCTATTACGTGAACAGTAAAAATAGGATACCAAAGCACAGCCAATATGCATGAAATAAAAGCAGCGTGCATCCTGCTGACTCCTTGTCCGGGACTGCAAAACAGTATCTTTCGGTTATAAAATGTGATAATGCGAGCAGTGGCCCGCAAAGTTTTTTTTAGGTGAGGGTCAGATAGTAAAATGAAGAAAGTTTCAAAGCCCACTAACCATAAAGTTTGTGCGACCCACAGTTCTCCGACCACTGTGATAGAGGATTATACACCATATATAAATATTATAATATATTTATGTAACCGATTTATGTGCTCTCCAATATGTTTTTTTCATCTTCTTAGGTTAAGATAAGTCAGGATCAGATCAGAAAATTAGTCGTGGGTCCACAATAACAGGACAGAACCAATTTTTTGGGAAACTTTTTCTTACTATTGTTATGATTAAGAACATTCATTTGGAATCCATTAGCTAGCCAATCCACAGAATAAATATACGAGATAAAGAAGGTTGGATTCTCTAATACATTTAAATAAAATTACTCGTAAAAAGACAAATCTATCTATTGATTTATTTTACTTTTCCCCACCAGCGTTACAACAAACACCACATGGCATATGCGAGAAAAGTAAGAATACAAGAACTGTGAGGTGTCTAGCTAGAATGTTAGATTATTTAAAATAGAATGTGCAAAGCTCGTTAATTAAAAAAATTATTTGATGTGACTTTCACGATAAATTTGATGATTCTTGCTGCTGTACAGTAGGAATGTAAAGACAAAAAATTATTTTTACTATTAGTTATCGCTAATTATCTCTTACCTGCCATCAATCTCTAAGATAAAAAATTTGTTTTCTTCCATTTTATATGCAGTTACGAAGTAAATTTCACCGAGTTGCAGAATCAGTAGAAATATAAACACACATATTTTTACAGTGTTCCCTTTGAAAGGCGCTGTATCCGGCAGTGGTTCGTCTACGTGAGGATCCATCATCACATGACTCTTGGCTGATGTCCAATCATCAACAGTCTCTGCTACCGCGTCGTAGAAAACGTCAGAGCGAGCAGAAGGAAATGGTGAAGATGGCGATCCAGGTTTTTTCGTGCGACGATTAAATTTCTTGACTAGTTCTTTCACTAAATACAACAATTCAGAACTGCAAGCTGTTCCATTTGGTACCAAGGTCATGATCTCTTGATCATCGTTCTTTGATGGTTGCTACACATCAACACAGATGCATTTTGTGACGTTTCGTCTGACCAGGAGCAGCCGCGGATATTGATGTACAGGCTCTTTACCAAAGACATATCCAGACAGATTAAAAATAAAATCACAATTGAAGAATGGTCAGACGAAACGTTACAGAAATATATTTGCGTTAATGTGCAGCAAGACTCTCCTTCTATCATACAGAATTGTCATATTTATTCTTGATACAGCATACTAGCATTACACACATACGAATCGACTAGCGGGAAGGCAAAGAAGAAGAAGAGATAGTTAGTCTCGTGTACTTATAACTGATAATCACAAAAATGCTATATGTTGAAAAGTATTGAGCGCATAAAATATACATAACTATATACTATCAATAAATTGAAGTCGACAAAACTTATTATTTTATGTAATAAACTTAGATTATACCGGAATCGTTATCCTTGTAATCTGCGCTTTGTTTGCCCTCATGCTGTTTAGTCTTGCTTTCATTCGATCGTGATCGTTTTTTTCTGAGAAAAGCTTTCTTTTCTCTCTCGTCTTCAAATCTTACTCCCTTCTTTCTTTGAACGCCTGATTCAGGCTCGTAATGTTTAGCACGAGATGGTGCTATTGAGTAGTGAAGAATCCGATTTTACACGTCAAACCAATCATTTAACAATTTTTCTCAAATAATCATCTCGTTAAATAATCCTATCCAAGCACACAAACTAAGATATTTGCAGAAAAAACGACAACAGTTATTAATTTTTTATGGATTTCATTACGCACCCTAAGAAAATAGTGACATTTCTTATTAAAATAAAAGCATATATAATCACATGGATCTTTTGAAAAAAGAACCACAACACGCCCGATCAACAATAACAAAAGTAAAATAAAAAGCAAACCGGAAGAACTCCTTTTCTTAGGGATGGTCATCTTCAAGCCGCGTCCCTTTTTGCATTTTCCAGTTTCCGAGGAATCCTCTGATTCTCTTTTATTCACATATGTTTTTTTCGTCACGGATTCACGAATGTTTTTAATTGAGAACTTTTTCAAAGAACTCTTCTTGGGTTTAGCTGACGGGCAAGGCGTTGGTGGTGGTTCGTAGTAAGTCTACAAATTATAAGTATTTCAAAATGAAAATTAATACTGCAACATCATGGTGCATGGACTCGTAAACAAAGACAACATTATGACATCATTAAGCTAACTCAATAGTTCGTAGATTTAGTAGAAAATTTCGCAAAATAGAATTAATGATAATTGAAGGATATAGACCTGGCAATGGCAAACTACGGCCCGCGGGCCAAATCCCACCCGTTTGGGCACGGCGCTTATTGATTTTCTCTTTTGCTTTTGTAACACTGTAGATATTGCGCATAAAATGTAACTTTTTACGTCACACTTACATGGCCCGCCAGTCTGGATGGGCAAATTTTTTGGCCCCTGGTCCAAAAACCTTGCGCACCCCTGAATTATAGACGCATTGAAATTGACGCAATAGCGGTGGCCTAGTGATTGAAAACGTTAAGATTTAGGTTTAAATCCTATGCCTACCACCTAACCCAGGGTGTAATAAATTCGGTTGACACCAAAATAATATAGCTCCTCAGCGGAAAGCGTCATATAAGAATATACACGCAAAATCAAATATTATTAAAGGAAAACGGAAGACTGACTGCAACTGTTCCATTACAATATCAAAAGAAGAAGTTTTTAAAAGCTTCCTCTTCACTTCGATTATTTAGGATACAACGTGTATTGCCCGATGCTTGACTGAATCGAAATCAACAACGCGAAACTTCTAGTATAATACAACTACAGCATGGTAAAGTCATAGTTTATCATAGTTTTCCAAAAAAAAATTAGCGCCATAATCATTATTCTGTTCGTAAATTATTGAAATACTTGCCTCGCTATCTCCGTTGTTTATTAATTGAAGACCCGAATCAGCTGCACCAGCTGGAGGCCAAGGTGATTTTTGATTGTTATTTGAAGCAGCAGGAAGGTGTTCTACCATTTCCTGTAAACTTATGGCGTCTTCTTCGGTAAAAAATGTTAAATTGGAGATACCTAGAAGGAAGAAAATTTTAAATATTGCAAATCCAAAAGAGTACCACTTGTCCCATTTGATATACTTACTATTACCATGGGCTTAGACTTTTTTAGTATTATATCCACCCTTACTTACAGCATAGAGTAAATCTCATTTAATATCCATACTTAGACCGCATGTAACAGACATAAAAGTGAGTTTCATCTTAACGTCCTGTCTATATATGATTGATATGTTATGACAGGGTACTCAACTGACGGACCGCGGTCAGAATCCTCATCTTTCGAGTATTCGATTCGGACCGCACCTAGTTCTTTATTTTGGATCATTGGTCCCACTTTTGATATAAGAAGGCTTTCTTTTATTAAATGACTTTTATGGTTTGGAAATTTATTTTATAATTTGCTCATATTTGCACCTTACTATATATGAAAATAATCATAATCACTAGCCGGCCGAAGAAGTACGCGTTTAAGGATGTCGAAATATAATTTCTGGAAAGACCGGACATCAGTAATTTTGAAGATTTGTATACGAATCTTTGGTAAATATAGTTGACTAGCCTTGTGTTATGGTATCGATTATGGTAAAATAAACATGCGTGTTTTAGTATGATCACCGTTACGGTGCCGACAAAAAATATCGCCACTTACTTTGATCTGGATTTCCCACCTCTCGGCAACATTTTCTCGGACAGCAATTGGCAAATTTATCAGGTTTCTTCCCCGGCACATCTGCTGCCCCCAAGTGAGGAGAAACCTCAAAACATTCAGCTATCACAGAATTATCTCGTATGTGGCGCTCAGCCTACAAAATGAACAACAGACGGTTCAACGGACGAAGGTATATTAAATCGAAATTGAAACTCCGCAATATAATTATATTCCCCTGATACCGATATCTTGTTCATTTTAAATTCATTAAACCAGAGTGTTATCTATAATAGATTTGATACCTGTAACAAGTATTACCTCAAATCGTGAGCGCGTGAATTAAAATAAAATAAACCGCATGTTGAGTGGTCAAGTACACTATGTAGCCTCACTCATGTGCCTACAGACGCACGCATTCGAGACCATATGCACTCAATACAGAACTACGTATCAAATACAAGTACGTTCAAGCAACCTTGGAAGATATTCTCGTTCGACATATGACCTGAAATGTTTAGTGTCCATCGGTTCATACTAACGAGTAGTGCCCGCCTTAATTGGTAACCCTATCTATTTAGTTCAAGCTCTTGGCACTACAGGTTGTCCGTTAGATCAGTCTTCTTTACTTCTAAGTGCGCGTGATTTTACTCTAAGCCGATATTCTCAAAAATATTAATTCACGGATTTTTTTTTTAATTAGAAAAAATTGGTACTCCAGAAGTATATGAACCAAGATGGGGGACACCGGAACGTAGTATGTGTACCAGGTGAGGGTTAGGCCATAATTTTATTCTAATTTTACTTATTTTAGTTCTATTACGAGTTCGGGGACTAGCCAAGTGAATCCCGTAGTATTTGCACCTGAAATTATAGCCTACTAACCCTAACCTGGTACACATACTACGTTCCGGTATCCGCCATCTTGGATCACATACTTCGGGAATACCGAAAAATTAGTTAAATATTTGCCTGTAAATTTGCTGACATTGTGGCGTCTATATTAGTCATTTGACCTACGTGCCAATACATTTCAGTATTGCTCTTTAGTTCAATAAAACACATTTTAGTCAAACCTGCTGCACTAATCTTTCGCAATATCTAGACACTCTCAAGACATCGCCAGAACCATCAGGTGTAGAAGTCGGAGGAGGCATCTGTGGTGCATCAGTTGATTGCGTATGAGATTCATGTAATACGTCAGGGTGTTTCAAACCACTTTGCCCACTCAGAATAGCTATACCAAGAAAAGCAGGAAAGACATTTTTGTTCACTATAGTTATGCCAGTAAAATATTTCGGAATAGGGCAATGTTGCCTGATTATTTTAATTGCTGGATGAGGTATAAAATGAGTAAATAAAACCATTTTTTAACAACCTTATTGTCAATATTAACGCTTAATTGCGAACAGTTTTTTTTTTTTTAAATGGCCACTGGTGTGTGAGAAGCTATTTTTTGTGAGGACCGCAGTTTTTTCGATTGGGATATTCCGTCCATCCGGGTGAAGTGTGCTATCGCTCCATTGGTGACAAAATGTTGCATATTTTGGAATGCCGCACAAATTTGAATTCAATTTCTAACTTATTACGATTCTAATCATATATAAGGTAATAAAAATTCATACTCTCGTCTCTGAGATTTGCCATTTTGGTTCTCACATACGCTATAGATCTGGCAGTAATATGATCAGCAGGACAGTTAGACAGCAGAGGTTCCATGCGCAATCTACGGGAACTTGTAACACATGATGCTGGAAAATATAATGTTTAAAAGATGTAAATCGTGCAAGAACAAAAATCATTTTAACAAGGAAGACAGTTGTATTTAAAAGAATCATGTGATACTTCAAATTTTTATGAGGATTGTCAATAGCAGTAAATCTTCTAACAAATATAATTAGAAAATACTGGTTACTCAAAGATTACAACAACATTATAAACATTTTCACATTATAATTTTCCGTAATATTTACAGTTCAAGCATACATTGTCAAGGGTACTTGTTACATGGATGACGAATTTATTTAACAACTTCGAACTATACTGCTATAACTCTCGCAATCATATTAAACAACTTATGCCGTTTTCTGCTTTGTTAGAAAAGCTCGAAAATTTCACACATTCACGAATGTATTCGAAAGCGGTGAATAAAAATTAGTCGAAAAGCTGGCCCAAAATATGCACAGTCGACGAAACACACAGATAATCGGTATACAAGTTTTTGATATTTGAAAGTGGACGTACCAGTAACTGTTTCCAATATGTTTCACTCGGGTTGTAAGGTACAGAGAAATATATATTTATATCGTTTTAAAACATTTTATTCATATCGTGGTAATCAGAATGGCTAAGGAAATCTTAAGGATAAATTTGGATTTTTAATATTTGGTTGCTCTTGTCCATAAAATAATATGTAACGGGAGTATTTACGTCAATATACGTCACGGCCGTAATTTCAGTGGAAAAATCTAACTTTCGGTTCTGTTTAGTCAGTCAAGGTCAACTCATGCTTGGCAGAAGACCAATTATCTCTGGATATCTACACCTTGCGACAATCTCTAAATAGGGAAGAAAACGAAACGAAAGAAAACCAATGATACTATTAAATTGTATACATCCTTATACCAAGTGAAATCAACCAATGGAATTTTACACACAATAAAAAAAATAACAATGAATATACACGTATGTACACGTTGCGGAGATACCAGAACACCGCAGGTTTCGAACAAACTATCAGTTTTGTAACAATAATGTATGGTCACAAGACAACTAAATATTAAGATTAAAATGGCGCAACATTTCGAATGGTATAATTCCTACAGTAATTGACATATGTTAACAAATAATTAGTTCAAGTACCTTCCTCCATTTTGAAATATTTGTCCGAAACGTATTGGTACGGAATACATTTCCAACAAATTTTAAAAGGAGGATTTGAATCAGTGACGTACCAGAAAACGGAACTGAGAAACGCTATTCATAAAATTATCACTACAGAACAGTGGTTCTCGAACTTTTTAAGCTGCGCCACCTTTTTAGAATTTGTCAAGTCTCGATAGAGCATATTATTACATAACAAATACAAGTTTCACCGCTACCAAGGTTTAGAAATAAACTTGCCGAATATCGTGTATCTTGGCTGACAATCGATTCTGCAATAACTTCGGCAGTATACGAAAGTTATTGTCTTGCTCTAAGAGTAGTGTGATAAAAATTTTTCGCAACGATAGCAGTGGCATCAGAATGTCCAATTTTTTCTAATTCCAAGCGAGCGAAGAATCGGACTCGGAGGAAATTGTAAATTAGATACTGAAGTTTCAGCAGTCATGTAACATTTATGGTTTCGGAATATTCCTTTTTCGCTGTTTAGATAATACATGAATACTGGCAATGTTTATTGAGGGATTTTCAACACTTACGACTAAAAATTAGGCAGGTGTTAGATCTGAATTGAATGATTTGAAGAAATCTCAAATAAATGATGAAACATATACTCTGGGTACCATTACAAAATCAAATTAACAAATTAAACGGAACATAAAAAATACAAAATTTTGTGGCGACTCCATTAAAATGCGCCCAAAGAACCGCTCTTATTGGTAGCGGTGGAAATTTTTATTCGTGTGTGCAGTTATCTGCATATTCAGTGCTCATTCATTTTTGTGTATATATAACTTTAATACCGATCAGTCGATCGCGGTCGAAAGTAGGTTGGCCACTCCTGATCTATAGAATACACTCTAATATTTGATGGAATTCTAAGTTTCTTCAAAAATTTTTAGTGTCAATCCCGTGAAACTTTTTGTACGGATTTGGTACAATGAGGGTCGAATGTGTACTGGAAAATAAATATTATAAGAGAGCAGTCAATCATAAATGACAATAAATCATAATATCAGATATATTAGACAAAACTCTTTAACAAAACCGACAGTAGTTTCACTAAACCTGAAGCAATTAAAATCAAAACAATCATGGAAATCTTTGCTGCAATAAAAATGTAACAGATACGAAGAAACTTTGGTTAAAATTATATTTTATCTATAAATAATGAAATTGAAAATAAGAATTCATAGGAGTGGAAACACAGTGAACAAAAAAGGCAAGAAAGTAATCGGTAAAGTAAAGGTTTTTACAAATATTTTACATTTCAGATTAAACGTTCTGGCAAACTCTATTAAAGAACGACGCGCATATGATTGATTTAGTCTAGTATCTGTGACCCTTTACATTATTGAAAATTTTCAAATCTTGCTAACCTACGGTGATTGATGTGAAAAGGGATAATGTGCCTATATAGAGTTCGAATAAACAATGTGAAAAAATATCTATAATTGAAACTAATAAAACTGATATTAGAAAGGAAATTAAATGATATATATATTATTGCAGGGAAAAACAAGTATGTACATTTTACACAATTACATGAAAAAATTTATTAAGAAATTGTAGGGAATTCCAGACAACAGTTAAATAAACAATTGTCCAAAGAAGAATACAAGAACAAGAACGCATCGGATGAAACGAGATGATCCGCTTCTGATACAGTTAATTTATATTTGGTGTATTGCCGGATTATGTGTGGACCTTATTTTGAAATGGGAAATTGTGCAATTTCTCGACAAAGTGAAACAAGAATCCAAATGTAAGTACTAGAAATAAAAGTAGTTGTGCAAAGACGCACCAAATATAGGTAAAACAATAACAGTTTATTACGTCACTCCATTTGAATTAAGCAAAATAAAAACTCCGAAACCAAAGGATATTATTTTAAATAAGCGTTCTATATATATATTATATATGAAATCGATTATGTTAAAGATATTTCCGTTACGATTTTAGATACCATACGGTAATTTTGTCCACTGAATTCGATATAAAATGGGCTCTGATTTCCTATGTAGTCAGTCTGTCGGCCGAAACTCGTCCTATAGTGATCAAATACCTGGTTTACTTCACGATGGCAAGATTTCATTTTGCAGTGTTGTTATGCTTTTTGCTGATGGTTTTTTGCGCTTCACCATGCGATGGAAAGAGAAAAAAAGCTTCTCTTGTCGATTTTGAAATACAATATAGTGAAGTCATCTATGTCGCAAACAATTTTGCAAACAATGACAAAGCTCTAAATATGGTAAGTATTAGAGATTAATGGCAAGTATGTATGTATAAGTATGTATATGTAAGCTTTTGCAGGCACTTTTGTCTAAGTAGCAAACTATCAACATACTTTTTCTATCATCAACGGTTTGTGCTTACATTTATCAAAAGAGAAAAGTTATAAATGATAACATAAAAACTTCTTATTTCAAAATCCTCTGAAATATGATTTGTATGAAGCAAAATAATCTGATGATGGCCAAATAAAATGTTTTTCTACGTTAATAATATTCAGCAGATCTTTTTGGAGTATATTTAAAATTTCGTTATCTCTTTCAGGTAGAGAAGAAAACAAGCAAATCAGACATACCTAAATCCGACTTGAGAAAGTTGTCAAAAATCACAAATTATCTGAATGTAAGCGAAGAATTTGTGAAAGCCTTCAATTTAAGTCAAGAAGAAAGAAAACTGTTGATATTACAAAAAAACATATTGTTTTTGAAAAAAATCTGCGGGTTGTCAAAGAAAGGAATCAAGTGTGAGGTATTAACTTTCTTATTATTAATAAAATACTGAATTTTCATACAATATCTTAGTCTCAATTTATATTGGCATCAAGATACTAAGTTGATTACTTATAATTTCTTTGAATCCTTACCATTTACTTACAACTGTGATAATTCAATATCAAATAATTGTCACCAACTTGAAACAATAAACAACATACGTAAATTTGCATTTAAAATGTTATTGTATATTTTCAGGATGCCTGTGAAGAATGTCATAATATCATATCCATAGAAGATCTTGTGAAAGTCAAGAACACCAAAAAGGTTGGTCATCAAGTTTACGGTATATATAGAGAAAATAAATCTCTAACAAAGGAGTCGAATTTTATGTAAATCTTGCAAATCAAAATCACAAATTTTCATTTAGTATATAAAGCCCGCCAAATATGTATATCCAAGTAAGTTTGGAATATGTATAGTGTTGACTATCAAATCCTTTTTATGTAGTCGTAATCAATGCCCTGTCATAAACTCTGTCCGTAACATGAAAATGGTCGAAATTGCCAAGTTTACTACTAGTAAAGCAGAATGACATATATAACTAAATTTCTATTTGATTTTCTGTTTTAATAAGCAATATATTTGATGTTTTACAGCGCGTTAATTTCGAAAACACTGTAAAGAGTTTTCTAAAGAATAAAAAGAAAGAAAAAGTTCCAAAAGAGAAAAAGAACCATAGAAAAATGTTGATTAGACAATATTATAAAGTTAAGAAAGTTGACCGTCGTATGAAGAAAAATGTGTTGTATCGATTATCCGTTCATAAGATTTTACTTGGAGAAATTCGTTGTAATAAAAACAAAGAAATGAAATAGATCAACAAAAACAAGATTTTTAGTTTTCATTGATTTTCACGAGATGTTCATTCTTTCATCAGTTGTGCTGAACATATGAAAAGAAATTTAAATTTTTTATGCTGATTTCAGGCCTTTAAACGAATTTCAACAAATGATTGTCAACTTTAATTTGAACAGGTCTTGAAGGTCCCTCGAGCATGTTGTTGTGAACATTTGAAATGAAAAACAATTCCCGAATATATAATCATATATCAACGTATATTATTTAATTAAAATATATCTTTT